AGTCAGCTCGAGCTTGGAGGATAGACGCAGTCTGCGACGGCTAGGTGATAGGAGGTTAGGCGCTGTCCGAAGGGTCCTGGCTGGAGGGGGCCATAAACAGGGGTTCACTATTCGCTCCGGGAAATAAATCTTAGCACAGACTGACGTTGTGACGCGTGGTGCATGTGTGCGTGTGAAGAGCGGTGGGACAGCGATCGGCGTACGACGGTGTGTGTGTGACTATAAATCAGTGTGGGTGTGACGCGCGCGCATATTAAAATATCAACGGTGGCCCGCGCCGGCGCGTGTCTATGCGTGCACCGCCGTGTTAACAATGAGACACACGCGAGTGTCACTAGTGTCTGTGTGTGCACCAATGGTGTTAACGGTGAGACACACGCGAGTGTCACTAGTGTCTGTGTGTGCACCACAGTGTTAACGGTGAGACACGCGTGAGTGTCACTAGTGTCTGTGTGTGTACCGCGGTGTTAACGGTGAGACACACGTGAGTGTCACGTGTGTCTGTGTGTGCACCACAGTGTTAACGGTGAGACACACGTGAGTGTCACTAGTGTCTATGTGTGCACCACAGTGTTCACGGTGAGACACACGTGCGTGTCACGTGTGTCTGTGTGTGCACCACAGTGTTAACGGTGAGACACACGTGAGTGTCACTAGTGTCTGTGTGTGCACCACAGTGTTAACGGTGAGACACGCGAGTGTCACGTGTGTCTGTGTGTGCACCACAGTGTTAACGGTGAGACACACGTGAGTGTCACTAGTGTCTATGTGTGCACCACAGTGTTAACGGTGAGACACACGTGCGTGTCACGTGTGTCTGTGTGTGCACCACAGTGTTAACGGTGAGACACACGTGAGTGTCACGTGTGTCTGAGTGGGTGAGTGGGTGGGGGGCCGCGCGATCGCCGATTAATTTATTAATATCCGGACCGCGCGAGAACGGTCGCCTTGTTGACACAACGGCTTAGTGGAAATTATTAATTAAACCCCACACAGCGGCGAGTCAAACAATTACGTAATCCACGCGCTTAGGACGCGCGAGGAGGGGGAGGAGGTCATTGACCCCCCCCCCCCCCCATGGCGGGTGGGGGGGAGGGCATCAGCCTCCCAATTAGAAGTGGTGCCCCCCCCCGCCCGTGGTGGGTGAGGGGGAGGTCGGCCCCACCTCCTGTGGGGGGCATAAGCCCCCCACAAGAGCAGTGTTACCTTTCACAAAATCACACCGGTCCACTGGTCACTTTGGTTGTTTCTGACTTAAGGGCCCCGGGTTCGAACCCCCACAGCGGTATTCCTTTTGCACATTTTTTTTATAAGTTGCAATTGCGTCATGGCGTCATCATCTGCGTCATGGCGTCATCATCGGCGTCATGACGCCATCGCGTTTTCACGTCGCGCGATGACGTCACAAAGCGCCGTTGTCACGGCCGCGTGGTGTCGTCGGTGCAACCTCTTTGGCGCGCCGAGCGACGTGGGTTTGTGTGAAGCCGCGGTGGCTCAGAGCGACGGCTCCAGACCCCAGGGCGTTTGAAGGTGGCTGGTTTCGAATCCCGCAAATACGACAAGTGTGGACTAATAAGATGGACAGGAATTAATAAAAACCGAACACCTGGACCTGTGTCGAATGGATGAAGGACAAAGCACGTGCAGCAGATGATGTTGTGTCAACAAATGCAGGCGAACCTTTAAAGACAAGGAAACATGCCGGTATTGTGAGTGATGCAGGTGAACCTACAAAAGTGAAGGAAGGGCGGGACTAGGAGATACTGAGAGAAGACAGCGAGGTGTCAGAGGAAGAGACGAGAGAGCAATGTTTTTCCCCCCAATACAAACATCACCGCTAGGCGGCGCTCTTTCAACCGCTAGTAGGGGGCACTTTTTTATTGTAAACCTCAAAGTCTAATTTTACTGCAAATAAAGGACTCCACCGGGGTTTCGACGTTTCAGCTGCAGTACCAGCAGTTTACGGCAAAATCACGACGATATCAAGCACAAGCGATTGAAAAAATGCTACGAAACTGGAAAATGCCACAAACTGCAATTTTACGTCAAAATGTACTTTTAAAAACGAATTAAGCAATTAAAAACAATCATTGAGGGTAAAAACAGACTAAAACGAATGACAGAAAAACAAATGCCAATAGAGTACATGGGCAAAACAAATTTTCTATCGGCTAGTAATGGAAACGATTTATTTATGATAAAACATTTTTTTTAGCAAAACCTTTATACAGAACAATTATCGAGAGCACGTTCAAATGTGACTGGAATGTCAGCATGTTATAAAGTAGTACCACGGTGCTTACGTCCTGTATTTTAAACTGAAAAGACTGAGGCGCAATCCCCAACATCACAAAGTAACAATCTAAACTCGGGCTGTTGGAGAACACCTCCCATGGGATGGTGTGGCCCAACCGCGCTGTGGCAGACAAGGCAAAGTTCAGAGGAACGAGAATCAGATAACTCCAGATGATGGCTCCCCTAGGTGGGAGACGGTGGTGACCTTCTCGCAGGCGATCTTGTTACGCTTTTTCGTGTCGCCTTAATCACAACGCATTACCGTCATCTGACGAAAAATGGACAGGTCAATGAGAATTTACATGGGATCAGCGGTGCTAAATGCAGAAAAACGGCCATCGAAAGGGCCACAAATCGAGATCGGACATGGCCTTCCTGTGTACCAACTAAACAATGACGGGCGCTCAAAGACCTAAATGTGACTTTGAGGCCAGAAACCTATCAGGGAAAACAACACGGACGTTTCCTTGCAGGACAACCACGTTAAGGACAGCATGCGGATCGTTAAGTTACAAAATAAATGGTTGTTACATCCTTGTTGTCGTCATGTACCACACCGAAAGATGGCCCTCGCTCGCCACCTTCATAAGACCCAAAGTCTACCACCAAAAAGTGACGGCGCACCAACCAATAACTCCCGGCAGTAGATGATGCTATGGTCATCAATGAATACAAGCTCCCGAATAAGGAATGGCCATCACCGACCTCGGCCCAGCAGTCACCTCACCCAGCTACCACCACACACAAATGGATGTTACTCGAATAATGACGAAGCCACAAAGAAACTCGAGGAATGGTTGTCTGCACAAGACGCGCACCTCATTCGGAGACCCAAACACTGCATCTCCTCCTGGCTTTGACATTCCTCCTCGAATACGCTGGTTGTTGCCATCGACCGCATCAGAACACCAACAAGGCCGTTAAAGACAGACAAGACACAAGCGCCAACGTTGGCCATGCAACTCACACGATGGACCATAGCAGTAAACCACTGCCAGTCGACGTGCCAATGGAGAACACCACGCAAACATACCACCACCTCGACATTGGCATTTCACCCATGTTTAATTATGCACGTTACCTCCTTTCCAAATACTTTTATTTGGTAAACTATCAGTAGTGTACTGTACTTCAGTATGTCCTTAAGCTGGAGAAGCCCTATTGTGATTAGCCCCGCGAGCTGTTTGCAATTTCGCGCAATGGACGATAGGTTAAGAGGCGCTGATGGGTTGAGAGACATCATGCAGGAGTTAGTGGGAATTAGCGCCCTCCAGCAAATCATGAATACGACACAGTTCTGTGCATGGAAGCACTTCCGGCAAATTCAAGCAAACGGAAAAATCACGGTGGGTAATGATGATTGACGTGCAAATAAAACAAACAGGAAACCAGAACATATCTCTGCGATTGTGTTTTTGTCCTCTCCGTTCAGAACATCTGCTTTTGCCGTGGGCGAAGCACCGCGTGATGTCCTGCTGCTTTCCAGCCAGGCCCACGGTTCTATTTGTGTCGTAATACATTGAGCCGAGCGAGCTGGATCTGAGCCCATTTTTTTTCTGAGCAGTCGCGTTCTTATCCGAAGCGCGCCCTGTTTTTGTGGTTCAATTTGTCCTGAAGACGTTTGAACAACATGGGAAAAAAAATGGTCTTACATTCCGTGTGCTCTTCAACCACTCGTCCACCATGCCTCTTGTCTTTATAGCAGTGCCGGATTAAACTAGTGTGGGGCCTGTAGCATGTTATAAAGGGGCCCTAAATTAACAAAAAAACCCACAAATATTAAAACACACAAATGTTTAACTTGCGTAGTAAATTGTATTTTTTCATTTGCTATACAGCCGGATAATACGACAAATCGCTAACATTAAAAACCCAGTCGTTCATAAAAGTTGAAGGCGGTATAGTACTATAGTAATAGAGCAAGTGCAGAATCACTGAACCGGAATTGATGGCTTGAAAGCATTTAGCGCGGGGTCCTTGAAAGTGCGAGGACCGTAGCATATGCTACTAGGATAATCCGGCACTATTATATAGTATTCTGTCTAGATATTTCTCCAAAAAAGTGTTTATCAGCCTGTAACTTCTCACGGCTATGCAAACGGCTGCCACATTCTCTCCCACTCCTTCCTTACCTTAGTTGGTCTTGTCCAGCCCGTGGCTTACGAACATCTCTGATTTAATCTCGCTCGCGTCTTTGCTCGCATCCTTTCCGCTATCTGCTCGGCAGTTGTTGTCCAAGCGAGAGAACTCGAAGTAGAGAGATGCCACCTGGTGGCCTGAAAGGGTGCCTGCACATGTTGTTTACACGACGTTTACGAAATGCTGGCGTTTTTAAAGGTATTTTGGTCCCAAGGACATGATGATGCAGAACCATTAAACATGATTTAGACAGTGTTTGGTATTAAGTTATGCACTGCCTGGTATTAAGTTATGCACTGCCTGGGACTGATTTTGTTTCTGTTTTTCACATTGACAATCGTGTTTTTTCACTTGTGGGAAATTTGGCCCTATATAAATACTCATGTGACCACTGCATTTAGCTTAATACTGTGCAGACATTTCGAAGCTCTAGCTTAACTGTTGAGTTATCAGTGTAACAACGCAGATGTCCTGTTGATCTATTATTCATATGGACCCGTATGTGCAATAAGCATACATTATGGTGCTTTGCAAAAAAAATCACACTTAGTGCACTCAAACAAGTATGTTCTCTTGTTTATTTTGTCACCTCTGAATAATATTGGTAACATTGCATAGAAGCTATTTTGTATTTACACACTTCTGGGTTACAAGACGACTCTTTAACAGACTCAGTTACATCAGGTGACTGTTGCGAATTGGCCAATTACACGTGGCTATACCCCAAGGTGGCAGTGGAGCAGTTATATTGCAGCAATGGTCAGTTTTCATTTTGGGTGGAGAAACCCCGCCACTTATAAATATGTTATTTAGTAGAAAACATACGTTTGTGTGTTTGGTTACACAACTAGCACTTTTTTTTTTAATAAACACACTGCTGTTGTTTTATTGCGAGAGTGCTGTGTCGTGCGTTTAGCCCCTTAGATTACAACATATTACGGGGCGCTTTCTTGGTCGTAAAAAAAACATAACAAAGCTTGCAGTGTGTAAATTGTTCCAGAGTGAGTACAATGAACAGTTCAGTTGAAATGAATCGTGCTCTACAGCTGTTTTAGGGGGGGCTATCTGAAGTGACGCAGTGGACTCTGGATACAGTATAAGCCCACCTAATGTGGTAACATTAACCAGTTCTGATATAACCAGCACGTGCTTACAAGGCAGTGATGATGGCGGGGGAGGGGAAGAAAAGGGGGAACTTCTGATACAAAGACACTGCTTCGGACATAAAAAAAAACCATTGTCGTCACATCTCACTCAATCATGATTTGAAGCTTTCGTGACTGCAGAAATCCATACTCTTTGGTTCTTTCAGTAAAGTCACGTAGGTAGAAAATGAATAGATCATGAAGTTTCGATCGCAACACGAGCAATCGTCATCAGGTGTGACACAGCAGAACTGCTGCAGTTCTCTGCAACACAAGCAACCGTCATCAGGTGAGACAAACACAGCGATCGAAACCCCGTAATCTATTTATTTTCTACCTACGTGACTTTACCGAAATAACCAAAGAGCATCTCACTAGATATTTAACGGAACGCTGTTCGACTGGTCTCAGAGCAGGCATGGCAGTGAACGGCACCGCCTATCTATGACCATCCTTTATAATTGTGGCCGATCTTTGCTATGACGCTACGAGCAAATTATGGAGCACAAACTAAGCGCGATGGATGTGGCGTGTGCCAAATTAATTCCGGGAGCGTTGTTCAGGGCTGTTCATGCAGAAATTAAGCACTGTGATGCTCTTTCTATTCTGCTTTTTGGTGTCGAGTTTGTTGTCTTTCCACGCACCTCAGATTAGCACGGTTGGCTACGTACGGCGCGAAAGAAGTTCAACATACATACATAAGCACAGCTTTCCTTTGTCCGCATGGTAGAGAAAACACAACTGCTGCTGCTGTTGCACTGTGGTCACATGTAGTCATCATCCATTGTCGCCAGGGAGCTGGGAGCCCTGGAATTGGAGAGGTGGGGCGAGTTGTAACCCTGCAAAAGGAATGGAAAATTAAAAATAAATGACGGGTGTTTTTTTTATTTTTTAGGAAATTGTACCGTTTCTGCAGGAACGACCTGGTTTCACTTTGTGGTGCAAGTGGCAGCAACAACTCCACGTCACCCGAGAACCGCTTGATTGTCTGCTTTGTTTTTACACTGGGCACACATCCTGGTCATACACATGGCTGAGTTAATGCCAGCAGAGCTTAGTCAAAGAGGTTCACCTAAATCGTAAAGTAAACCATGCCCAGCTGATAAACAAGTCAACTGTAGCCACACGCAAGTCAACTATCGTCGATGCGTAGCCAGATTCAAGTTTGAGTGTCACGTGAGCTAACGTGTTTCGAAGGTTATTTATTTGAACATGGATACAGCATGAGCTTCATAAAGAAAGAAACACTTCAGAAGTGGGAAGGAGGTTGGGAGATATAGGCGGTTATGCAAGGCCGTAATTATATTACATATTGGGGGGGGGGGGGGGGACACATCCCCCTATATTCAAATATGCTCAAAATGTCCCCCCAATAAATTGCTGTAAAATAGATTTATGTTTATATGATTGTGGTTATGGTTGTACTTTATTAATCCCTAATCTCTGCCATTACATACAATGAAACAAGAAAAGGTAAAAAATAAAAAAACAGAGCAATGTAATACAATATACACTATTAGACATTATTGTAGAAAATAAATAAAAAGTTAATCCTATGTGTCAGTGAATTTTTTTAAATATTTTAGGCAGGAAATTAGTTTTCAAATTTATATTTTTTCTGGGGGGGGGGACCCTCAGACCCCCTGGAAGATTTGGTCCCCCCCAATGTTGACTCCATGGCTACGGCCTTGCGGTTATGTGTACCACAGTTATATTTGGACTTTACTAAATCCAATTCCATTACAATGGACGGTCATCCAAATCTGAGAAATTAATGTAGATACAGCAGTACACAAACCAGATGTAATAGCTGGACTGGGAAAATGAGGACAGGGAAATGTGTTGTGTTGGAGGGCCTTAAGCTGTTGACATTCCCTTCGTATTTGAATTCTCAAAAGATGACATTCACAGCGGCTTTAACTCTTGTTTTTATACACACGCACTGGCAGTGACGGACATTTAACCATTATTTAAAAATGTTTGCTAAATTACACTCATTGCCATTAATTTACTTCGTTTAAAGTTGTGCACGTAAGTAAATGCACCACAGACGCAAAAACACAAGTTTCGAAGCAAAGCACCGTGTGAACATTTCAAAAACAAACCCGGGGCCCACACAGAGGTGAGGACAAAAAACAAAGGGCGTTTGAAAAAGAAAAAAGGGAGAATAAAAGGTACCAGAAATGAAGCACGACAAGAGAAGAGACAGCAAGGGGCGGACATTTAGTCATCGGCATCTTTCCCAGCGTAGTCTACCGAGCTGGAGAAGCCCTTGGCGGCCGAGCCGCGGTTCTTGGTGCGGATCTTGACGAGCGCCGACTCGGCGATGTCGGCTCGCTCCTCCGCCTCGTCCAGCTCGTGGATGGTCTTGCGGTACTTGGACAGGTTCGTGTTGGCCTCTTCCTCCTGCGGACACCGGGTGGTTACGTTCACCTCACCCCCTCCACGTACCCAGTTCTCTCGGGACGCATCAAACGGTCAAATCATTCGTTCGTGTGCTTTGTTTATAGCCGAATGAGAGTCCAATAGTTTGGGAAACTGGGATGGTGGCGAGATGTTAACTACCTCGCCTGGTCTACAGGAGGTCGTGGGTTTTGATTCCGACCCTGACACCTGTATATTTGAAGTTTGCATGTTCTCTCTCCTTGTGGTCACGTGGATTTTTCTACAGGCCTTCCGGTTTTTACCTCCACATTTAGAAACAACATCACGCGTTTAGAGTATTTGGCTGCTATAAATTTCCACACGCTGATAAGCCACTTCGTCGTGTTATAACTTGTGATAGCCAGGTCGCTTCTGACAAGAGGTTTTTAGCTCAGTGGGCCTTATCTAGTAAAATAAAAAATAGTTTACAATGTTTTACTTGCATGCAATCCAGTGTTACCGGTTTGATCTCCCAGCGTGGCAGACAAAACGGTGGTGCACATTTCTTAAATCCTCCCCGTCTGTCCACCCAGTGGTATAAATGAGTATTCCACAATGAGTCGGGAGGTTGTGTGTGGGTACTGCCACCTCTTACAATGTGTCAATGTGTCTGGCCAACATGAAAGAGGAGCCCCCCCCCCCCCCCCAGAGGGGCCCTATTAAGATTTCTCTAATCGAGGCCCTTTCACCAGCAGTGGCATGAGAAAGGCGATGTTTTAACGCTGCACCTTTTACCGTCATATTCAGTTTCATTAAATACAGTTGAGAGCCCAATGCCATAAATGCGTGATATGTTTGCTTGATTTTTGTAATGACGGAGTGAAATTCCTGTATCTCAGCTTTTTGTTGTTGTTATTGCAAGGCTTCACTTATTTTCTACGTTAATTTTTTTGAAAAAAAATACATGAAAAAATCTCCCATACAACCTTTAACGCTGCTGAGGAAAAGCATTGTTTGCAAGCCCCGATGAAGCATGGCCCAGCCACTGAAGATGCCGGTGTAGGGGTAACAACACATGCTGCTTCCCAGTGCCAATGTTGACGTTTCTTATCAACACTTCCAAGGGACTCATTTTAGGCCAGGGTCAGATTCCGTTTTTGTCAAGCAAGGGGTCGGATACCAATGTCCACTGATTTCGAGCACATTCCCAATAATACTTAGCTCCTTACATTCCTGTCTGGTAACATTTCTCAGCCTGATAAGATAATTCAACATTGCACTTTAACGACTTCGGCAATTACCGTGCAAACGTTCAGGCACTCTGTTTAAAAATACCCTCCCTGTGAAACGGCATCTCGCAACGTTCCCGCATTATTCACGCGATGTTAGCCGCGGAGGTTCCTTTCTCGAATGTGTTCACAGACGTACAACAGGAGGCCCGTGTTGCTTCAAGTGACTCATGCATTGAGATTATTTCCGTTATTTAGCCGCAATTAATTTTCCACGTGACGAGCCACTTTGTTGAGCAATCATTGGTGGCCAGGTCGCTTCTGCAAAACAAGTTATTACCTCGGTGGGCTTTGCCTGGTAGGATGGGGATGGTTTAGTTTAATTTGCATGTGTGTTGGGTGATTTTCTTACCCTTCTTGTACTGTGCACTCCTATCGTGTGTTTGTGTTGCCCCTAACGGACATCTGTGAAAAAGAGCTTTATAGCTGATCGGATTCCTCCAGTATAAATATCCTGAGTCTTACTCCAGGGTGCGCTGCAACGCGCTCTCTGAAAGGACACAGCGCGTCGTGCCGAGTTCCCCGAAAGTGAATTTTCGAGTTGTCCCATGGCACGCGGCACGACCCATAAACACTTCAGAGAGCGATGGGGCATGACCGCGAATGCCTGCGCAGTTGTATCGCCATCTTCTCCGGATTATAAAAAAGCTCTGGATAGTAAGACGCACCCCCAAACCTTGCCTGGTGTCAATAACGGTATAAAATAAACACGAAGATCCCCCGTTTAGCCTTAACAGACTGTTGGGACAAGTGCTGTTAGCGAGCACCTATGAAGGCCGGCACGACACACAACGGGGTGGGTGAACCAGCACCACGCGCGGCCGCCTTTGTCTCCCCCGTGGCCATGTTTTTACACAACGCACCAGGTAATCATTTGAGGCTGAGTCAACCTAGGGAAGGCCCAGGACCGGTTCAGATGATCGTCACCGGTATTGGCCGTGAGAGGAAATCAAACCCAGGTGGCCATTTTCATAGCGCAGCGGCGATAACCGCTCCACTGCCAATAACGGTCATACCAATCTGGTCACACACACACACCAATCTGGTAACACACACACACACATACCAAACTGGTCACACACACACATACCAATACCCGCCAGTTGCCACTAAGTGACGGTGACGTCACCACGGCGCCTGTGCCAGGCCAGGTGCACTTTGAGGCCACGTGAAATGTCAAAGGCTCGCCGCTGACAGGAGGTCACGGGATAAACCCAGGTGCCATGGGTTGACTGAGATTACTGGCGGATGCACCGGATGTGCCCCCTACTGTGCCAACCACCGGACTGCAAGACGCACCCGCTTATAAATCCGGAGAACGGGGGGTTATGGTATATGCGGTGATAAAGTGGCAAAGCATTAGGGAGCGACTCCACACCACGAGCTCAAGCTGCCGCTTGTAGGTCTTGATCTTGCTCTGCAGCTTCTCCACCAGCTCCTGCATGCGCGCCTGGTTCTTCTGATCCTCGTCCGTTTGGAAGATGAGCTCCTTCATGCGCCGCTCGTTCTTGCGCAGGCTCTTGATGGTCTCGGCGTGCCGTTTCTGCTCGGCGTCGAGCTCGCTCTCCAGCTCGCGCACCTTCCCACAGACGGCGAAGGAGACCACACACAGCGCGCGGGCAGGCGGAGAAAATGTGGCCTTGGCCTAAGTCCGAAATGGCACCGCTAATCCTTTATTTACCCAGAGGGAAACCTCGGACAAGGGGACATTTACGATTATGAACTGACAACGCCGCTCAGGGCTCAACTAGGGTAGCTGTTTTGTTCCGTAACGTTTATTTTATTATGCTGTATGGCGACAAAAAAACGCGTCCTCTTCCAACTTAGAATATATTTTAACTATTAATTTAAACACAAAGGTGCCTTCCAATTTCACTGTGGATGAATGAATAAATGCAAGGCAAATACATAACAACAGGTCGTGTTGCCTCGGAGGAAGCATACTCTGATTTTAATTAAACAGGAATGTTAGCTCCCGGTTAGGATATGCTGCTTACTGTTTCTACCATAATGGGAAAACACACCATGGACATTTTCCGAGCAATGAAATCCAACCCAACCCAAACATATTAACAGTAAATATTGAATATTTCTGATGACCGCTTCTAAAACTCAAGCAAGTCGAATATAAATTTGAGAGAGCTTTGATTCAACACTGATACAAGGTGTCCAGTATTGGGCAGAGCAGTAAGTGATTATTACATCTATCTGAGTGGAGTTGTCCGTGTTAGCACCTCATCTGGGTTGTCTCCGGGTATTCACATTTCCTCACTCGGCTAAAACAATCATCGATGGAGTTAGCCAAACAACTTTAATGCAAGACGTTTCTTACGAATAATATTGATATTCAATGCAGCTTTCTTGGGGAAAGGTATTAACATCACTATTCTGAAAAAAACAATTTGGTAAAATGCAAAGTATCAGTTTCTGTTTTGATACTGGCACAAAAGGTTCCCTAGATATCAGTTGCTATTTGTCCGTAAATATTAGATTAAGTATATTTTTACATTTTGTTATGGAATAATTGAACCGATGCTATCACGACACTGGCGTTTGCTTGACGATGCACGTTGCCAGCGGACATTCATCATCACTCTGTGAGAAAAACAGGCTTATTAAACACACAGCCAGCAATTTAGCTGAATGTGTTTGGATCCTTCTGGCATCCGACTTTGGGCCTGAGACACATCCATCTGCGCGCAGCTGACACCCAAGGCAGATTTACAGGAAACAGCGGGTCCTGAAACAGCTTTTAACATGTGCAGCAAATTAACTGCTAAATTTACAAGAATGCGCTCAAAATGAGCCGGACTACGTCTGGGAAAGTTTAAACGTCACGCTATACCTGCACAAAATATTGCACGATCTTTGTAATCAAAAAAACGATCTTAACATTTTCCAGAATTTGAATTAAAACTGCGTTAAGTAACCAAAAAAAAACATTACCGCAGATTACAGGCGCCAGTGACTTGCTCGTCGACGGCTTACACGTTTTCTGACTTCACCGTGGCATGTTTATTTGTCCATTTTCTGTTTTTTTTAACTCCATAAAACATACTAAAAGGAGCGCGATACATCAATCCGTCTTAAAAAAAAAAAAATTGGGCCCCGGGCATTCACGCACATTATGAGCAAATGTGCCGAAGTGGCTTTCAATCCTCCATTCATTTAGGGCCACTTTTTCTATGCACGGTGCATTACCTGTACCCCCCCCCCCCCCCCCACACACACACTACTCCCCGGGAGCATTGTTCAGATTCCACTTATTACAGCCCTAACGCTAATTTACTCTCGTTATTGTGCGTCCATAGAAAACCACGGCTGCAACAATTAACTGCACGTTTCACGAACAGCTCGTGGATATTATCTTTGCCCAACGAAAATGCCTTGCGCTACCAACACAGGCAATTCCTCACGCCTCGAAAAAATGACAAGGCTTTTAGTTTTCTCGCTTGAAAAAACGTTAATGGCTTGAACGTGTTAAGGAAAACAGTGCAGACGGATACAAACGAACCTGGTTATATTTTGATTTAAAGCTTTCGTGACTGCAGTAATTCATATTCTTAGTTTTTTCGGTAAAGTCACGTTGAAGAGAAACAACAAAATAATAAAATATATATATAAAATAAAAAAAATTCTCACGACGTTTCGACCATAACTCAAACGGTCATCTTCAGGTGTGTTGGTTTGCATAAATTTATGTAAAGTCACGTTTATTGTTTTATAAATATTTTATTATTTTGTTGTTTCTCTTCAATGTGACTTTACCGAAAAAACTAAGAATATGAACCTGGTTATGTACACGCTAATTTGCATCTAGGAGCCTTCATCAAGATTTATAAGTTTTTAACGGTGGCTATAGCCGAATTGGGTAAAGTCACATAGGTGAAAATAAAATAACAAAAAATCACGACGTTTCGGCCACAACACAAGCGGCCTTCATCAGGTGAAGGGACGAGACTGTCTGGAGGACAGCGCTGTCCTCCAGACAGTCTCGTCCCTTCACCTGATGAAGGCCGCTTGTGTTGTGGCCGAAACGTCGTGATTTTTGTTGTTTTATTTTCACCTACGTGACTTTACCCAATAGAACCAAAGAGTATGGATCCTAGCAGTCACGAAAGCTTTAAATCTAGAAGAATTGCCGAATTATTTATTTATTGTTAGAAATATAAGCACTGAGATCCATGACCGGGGTGGTATGTGGGTGGCGGGTCATAACTTGAGTGCGACGCGTGAAACCCCTCAATGCTCTGGGATGCGTGGTGATGTCGCCACCTTGCACTTTCTCGCCCCCAAAGCCATCCAGCCAGCCAGCAAAACGTTGTTACAATATACTATGACCAAGAACAGAACATGTAAAAGGTAAAGTTGCAGCCCGGCAAATGCTCACTCGCTCCGCTGCTGACGAAAGGACGTCCACTCGAGGAAGTGCTAGAGAGCCCCTCTAGGGGGTCTTTGGTCTACTCTTCCACACTGCCCATCTATGCTGCTGGGTGGACAGAGGCGGTGGGGGTGGGTCGGCGGAGATTCAAGAAACTTGCACCGTGACGTGAGATGGAATCGAACCGACGACCTCGGAATTGCAGGTCCAGTGTGCTGACCAATATAACTAGCGGCGATGCCAATTACATTTTGCATGCGGATGTTTTTTTGCATTCACTGCATTACATTGTGACGAGGACATTGGTGGCCTGAACACGTAAAAATCACACTGGAGGAATGCGCAATCTTTTATTTTAGAAATTGTGTAATTCAGAAACACGTGAATGCAGCGCAACATGTGCCCCATTACAGCAGTCACACTGCAAGCAGCCAGGCTGTGTGTGGTCAGAGCGGTGGGGTCGCGGTTAGCGCTGCGCTGCGCTACGAACCCGGCGACCCGAGTTAGATTCCTGCTCATGGCCAACACCAGGGACGATTATCTGAATTTATCCTGGGCCTCCCCTAGGTCGGCTCAGCCGTAAATGAGTACCTGGTGCAATGTCTAAACATTGCTACTAGGAAGACAAAGGCGTCCGGGCGTGGTGCTGGTTACCCAACCTCCAGTGTGCCGTGCCGGCTTTCATGGGTGCTTGCCAACAGCACTTGCCCCGACAGTCAGCTAAGGCTACACGGGGGATCTTTGTCTTTGTTTTTTTTGTGACAAGTGAATTTACCCTCATTGACAATGCCAACTCCCACGTGTGCGGTAAAATTGGTTACGTGTGGTTGAATATATTTGTTGGGAATGTATTTTGTTTCATGAACCCGCTTTACTGGGGATGCTGCCACAGTACAGTGGCGAGCGTGACGGGGCTTGCGGTCGAGAGGTCGACATTTTAGTTCGTTCTCTCTCCCACACGGCAACTGAAACAGTGGGGCAAGTTTATTAGATCACCTTAAGTCCCACCGCCTCTGTACAACCCAGCCGTATGAATGGATACACCACGGTCGATCGGAAAGTCGCATGCGGTGGGGTAAAGTTTGGGTACTTCCATCTCTTCGAAGATGTCTGGCCGGCTAGTAAAAGTAGCGAAGGCTAGTATGTAATCCTTCCCCCAGCACCTCCAATTAGCACGGTTGGCTATGTATGGTGCGAAAGAAGTTCAACGTACATACACACATTACGAGGCCCTTCCGCCATCAGTGGCGTGAGCCAGGCATTTCAGCGCCGCACCTTTACCTTTTACTTTGCTATCCTAGCCAGAAACACAGCGCGGGTACCTTGATCTCCAGTTTCTGGATGATCTTCTTGCCGCCTTTCATTGCGATCTGGTCAGCCTCGTCCAGCTTGGCGGAGAGGTCCTTCACCGTCTGCTCCAGGTTTTTCTTGATCTTCTCCAGGTGTGTGCCGTGGTCCTGCTGTTGCCTCAGCTCTTCCGCCATGCGGGCAGCCTGGCGCGATGTCGGCGATGTTCACGAGAGCGAAGAGAGTCAACAAGGGCGCGTTTGTCACTGTTTATTTCAGGGGCACGCCCGATGTGATGTGGAGCGCACAATATGGCCGCAACGCAATTCAGCTAGCTGCCAATCGTAATTTAACTGGCGTTGCGTTCTCTCCGAAAACATCGCACACTCGGTTGTAGTTGAGTGGCCGTATAAGATTAGGGCTCTCACCAGGTCCACGTGCTGGGGTTTAATTTAGGGTCAGTAAGCTGCGATGACATGCTTCATATTTAAACCAAAAAAAATCTGCATTTTTGGTATTTCATGTCAAGCTTTGCGACCCACCCACCCACGTGAAACTGACTCGATGATGAAGACCTATGTGGAAATTTCTGATCAGTGATTTAAATTTGTTTTAACCATAAATAATGCTGGAGCTCTACTTACATCGATGATGGCCTTTTTAGCCTTCTCATCTGTGGACCGGTACTCAGAAATCATCTCCTCATAGGTCATCGTGAGATGCTGCAAATCGTTCTCCAGCTTCTTACGTTGACCATTCAAGTGCTGGTTCTAAAAAACAAACACAAGACAAGAAGTATTACTAAACATTATTCCGTAGAATATTTCTCACATCGCCAAGCAAAAAAAAATGATTAACGTTTAATTATAAGTGCAAAAACATCTTCATGGGTGTCGAAGGGCAGTCTTCCTAACTCCATTCAATTAAATTTTTGAGTAAGAACTCACCCCCGCTAAAGAGGGCATCGCAATACTTTACAGTATGAATTAAACTAATATAAAATCAAGGTATTTATAAATAAAAAAATGAGGGGCCATATTCAAGGAAAAGCTATAAGGAGAAAAAGTATTTTTGCTGTTTCCAGAAACATTCTCGATTGAGTTAGCAGGGCCTGGCCTGAGGAGTGAGTGCAAGGTAAATCTACCAGACGTCAGATATAGGTGATAAAACATTGTTACGTGCTTTAGATCATTAGTACGCCCCTCTCTCTCTCTCTCTCTCTTTGATCCACGCATTATTAGAGTTTGCATTCTCGTTTACAGTTTATTTGACATTGGAGAGGAACATTCTCAAACCAAAGTTAATCATTGACTCGTGCTGAGGCAGTAGCACTGAGTCAACAGTGGAAATTCCATATTTCCATGGCGGACCCTGTCTGTCCAAAAGATGGCCTCTGTTGACCACTCACTAATTGATACTAAATTTTATAACCCCAGAGAGCCGATAGGCTGAATAGTCCCCGATTGGGAGTTCAACTTGCAACGTCGCTGTACTACCTGCCATGACATTTCCTTCAGAAACACGATCATTAATGAAAAATCGTGGAACAAAAGTGAAATGTATATTGGCCCACGAAAAATACTCGTTGTTACTTTTCGCCGTACGAAATCATTGGCCAACGAGTATTCGTTCGTGGTCCGATACTTGGGCGAACGAAACAAACACCGCAACCGCGACGGGGGCCTTCACGGCTACCGCCGCCGCCGCCGCCGCCGCCGCCGCGACGGCGAGGGCTAACCACGGCACCGCGGGCGAACGCTCTCACCTGCGTGTCGGCCTCCGAGTGCCTCTCGCGCAGGTCGGCCAGGTCCTGCTCGACGATCTTGCGCGCGCGCTCCGACACCTCGAGGTTCCCGCGCAGCTCCTCCAGCTCGGCGAGCACGAGCGCGAGACGCCGCTCGGCCACGCTCTGCTGCTCACGCAGCTCATCCCGCTCGCGCCCGTCCTCGTCCATCTGCAGCTGCGCGTCCTGCGGCGACGGCGACGCAGCGGCACGGCAACAGCGGTCACTCCGGGCCACGTGACCACATCCAGATGTAAACTGCTGTTCGCCTTTTGGCGTCCTCTGGTCGAACGCTGTTTTTTGAGACTAGGCTCTAAATGAAGCTGTCTCTGGTGTGGACCAAACAGTTTCAAAAACGATGCATCGTCATATACTACCAGAGCATGTTTTTTGTTTGCATGTTCACCACAAGTATATGTGGTTAATGCAGACATGATTCCTTGCAAAAGGTTTCAGTTTGGTGTTTAAGCATCTTAACACAACTGTTTCATTGCCGGAAAGGGTAAAACCTATTCTTATACATATATTTTTTATAATTTATTTTACCAGGTAAGACCCACTGAGCTATGTAGCTCTTTTTTCAAAAGCGACCTGGCCACAAATGATAGCTCAACGAAGTGGCTTATCACGTGGAAATGTATAGCAGCCAAATACTCTAAACGCACGTTGATTCTAAATTTTGAGGGAAAAACCGGAGAAAATTCCACGCGACCGTGGGGAGAGAGAACATGCAAAATCCAAATATACAGGTGTCAGGATTGGGATCGGGATCGAACCCACGACCTCCTGTAGACTAGGCGAGGTAGTTAACATCTCGCCACCGCGGCGCCCTAAGGATGCTACCAGCAATGGCACAACACAAATCCCATGTTGCAGGCGAGCAGCTCTTGCCCACCGTGCGGCCGATGCGTCCACTATAAGAGCTGGCCTCTCATCCCACTGGCTCGCGGGGAAGTGCTGCGTTGCTCCCCATTCTCCGCAGTCATCGTCGTTCGCGACAGACAGCCGGAGAAGAATGGTTAGCACGCTGGACTTGCGACCTGGAGGTCACCAGTTTGATGTTCGATTCTATTTGCCGACCTTCGGGTTCACGTGCTGCCAAAAACGCTCTGAAGAAGGTCACTGCCCAACAACATTCGGCTTCACGCGAACGCCGACAAAGGTAGATTGTTTTCAAAATAAGTTTGAATGATACTTACATCATACCCTGTAGAGGAAGCTCTCCGTGGCTTTCTCGAGTGGAGGCCTTGAATTGGATTCCTGGTCACGACCACCATCAGTGGCGTGTGATATCTGAACCCGTCCTGCCCACCGTTAGGGCTAATGGTTACTCCGACTATACAATCCGCAAAGCTATCACTCAAACCATGAAGAAGAACCCTCTTGAGGAGCCTTTCAAAACCATCACTTTACCCTACATTGCTGGGATCACAAAAAAGATCTCCAAAATCTTGAATAAACACAAGATCCAGGTCCGTTTCAACACATTACATAAAATCCGTGATCTGGTTCCGTCTGTAAAAGATGTGATTCCGGACATACAATACCCTGGTGTCTACAAACTAAGTTGCTTCTGTGGTAGTAGTTACATTGGAGAAACCAAACGCCATGTCTCGGACCGCATTCGTGAACACAAAGCAGACCTTAAACACGGTAGGACCAACACCTCGGCCGTGGCAGATCATTGTTCTAATTCAGTAGGCTCACATGCCATTGACTTTTCCAAGACAGAGGTTCTTTGTAAGCCATCTGGCTTCCATGAGAGATTCGTTCATGAGGCTATCCACATATACAAGCACAGAGACAATTTCAACCGAGATGGATTCTATCTTAGCAATCATTGGAAAGATTTGATAAACCATTTCAGGTCTTAATTGATTGTTCACGCTTACAGTGGCTTTCAGACAGCATACATTATAAAAAATTTCGTCTCCCCCCTCCTCTTTTCAGAATATAGATGGACTAGTCCTGGGTAAACTGCCAAATCGTTGTGCGTGGCGCTAGCGTTTTTTATAAATAAATAAATGCGCCGTTTAAAAATAAATTTATGCGAACCAACACACCTGAAGACGACCGTTTGAGTTATGGTCGAAACGTCGTGAGAATTTTTTATTGTTTTATATATATTTTGTTATTTTGTTGTTTCTCTTCAACGTGACTTTACCGAAAAAACTAAGAACACCTGCACTGGTTAGGCACTGCCTCAACAATACCTACTTTACTTGGAATGGCTCCTTCTACAAACAAAATGAGGGTACCCCCATGGGATCCCCCTTATCACCAGTGATAGCCAATATTTTCATGGAGAAATTTGAATCAGACGCCATCCAGACTTCCACCCTCAGACCTTCCCTGTGGAAGAGATATGTGGATGACACTTTCGTCATTTGGCCACATGGCCTCCCAGCTCTGAACCTTTTCCTACACCACATCAATTCCAGACATCCCGCCATCAAATTCACCATGGAAGTGGAGAAAGATGGCAAGCTACCATTCTTAGATGTTCTGTTTGAGAGGAGACCTGATGGCTCATTGGGGCATTCTGTCTACAGGAAACCCACCCACACAGATTCCTACTTGAAACCTGATTCCCACCACCACCCAGCCCAAAATAATTCTCTCATCAAAACTTTATACCATAGGACTCATTGCATTTCGGACCAACACCACCTGACCAGTGAATTAAAACATGTACACCTGGCCCTCAAAAGGAATGGTTACTCTGACCGTACCATCCGCCAAGCTGTTTCTCCCTCCATACAGAAACAACCACTTGATACTCCGGTCAAAACCAACACACTTCCATATATAGCAGGCGTTACTAAAAAGATTTCCAAAATTCTAAACAAACACAAGATCCAGGTCCAGTTCAATACAGTACACAACATTCGTGATCTGATCCCATCCTTGAAGGATGTCATTCCTGATTTACAGTACCCCGGGGTTTACAAATTGAGTTGTACCTGCGGTGATTGCTATATCGGTGAGACAAAGCGACATGTCTCTGACCGAATTCGCGAGCACAAATCAGATTTGAAACACGGCAAGACGAATTCTTCTGCCGTGGTTGATCACTGTTACAACGCTGTGGGGGATCACGATATAATTTTCTCCGATACCAAGGTTCTTTGCAAACCCACGGGCTTTTATCAGAGATTTGTTCATGAAGCAATTCAGATCTACAAACACAGACACAATTTCAACCGAGAGGATGGTTTCAAATTAAGCAACCATTGGAAAGATGTTCTAAATCGAACTAAACATTAAACTAATTTCAATGGTACAGTATATTTTTTCAAGTAGTGGTACCCCAAACTTTCGCAGCTCTTATAAATTCCCTTTTCACACCATCAATAGGTAAACTCCCCCTCCCCCCCCCGTGCCAAACGGCAAGTCCACCGGCACGTACACCACCTCTTTCCTAAAATCCGCCAATCAAATGCTAATTTTTATGCTAATTTCTTTGTCAGAACACCTTGTTTGCTCGCACACAGTTTAAAGGTCCGCTGTCTGAGCGTGGTTGTGTTTCGCTAAATTATCCTGTTTGATGAGTACTAGGTGCCTCGGTGAATATATATGCTCTGACTTTAACATAGCTATTTCTGTGACCAGTTACAAGCTAATCACTCAGCTATTTCAATGCTAAATTCTATGCTAATTCCTTTGTCAAGGGGTACCTCTGCGGATGTGTATACTTTAACTTAGCTATTTCACTGAGCCATTTCAATGCTAAATTATATGCTAATTCCTTTGTCAAGGCGCTTTGTTTTCTTGTCACACAGCTTAAAGGTCGTGATCTAAGCGTGGCTTCTCTCACTCCAGCGCTGTCCTCCAGACAGTCTCGTCCCTTCACCTGATGAAGGCTGCTTGTGTTGTGGCCGAAACGTCGTGATTTTTTTGTTATTTTATTTTCACCTACGTGACTTTACCCAATAGAACCAAAGAGTATGAACAGAAATAGCAAGTATGGTGTTCCATGCTAATCTGTGCCTTTTACTCGTGACGCCTCTATTATTAGCTGCTCTGGTGCCCAATTACTTTGAGAAACAAGACATCTGTGTGCAGAAATATCCCAAGATGATTTGGCCAATCCAATCACGTTCCTCTTTAAAAACAAGTGTCAAAACCAGTAATAGTTTGAAATTATGCAGATTAAAAAAGTTAAAACCGATGAAAGAGAATATCTAATGCTAAAATGTATTAACTATTATCACCAGAATATTATTCAAAGAAATGTCTATTTTTTGGCCAAGGCTATGCATGCATTTCAACGTACAATTAGGCACGGGATAGCAATTATTTTTCACGCAGTCGTATTTAGTTTATCTGCGCGTCGTCCTTGAGCTTCCAACTTCGGGAGAAACATCCACATTTCTCTAGCTGTGAGAAAGTAACATTTCCCACATTGAGAACCACCGACTCACTGACGTCATGTCTGCTCTCTTCGTGACCCTTCTGTCAATGGCATCCTTTGGTAATCGCTATAATTGAGCGCGGAGACAAAAGGAACTGCTCCGTAGTTGGAAAAAATTGGGAAGCCGGGAGGGAAATACAATTATATGTTTAACAAGGACGTTTATTTTCTTAACTGAAATGCACTATCGCGTACATTTCTGAATTGGACGGCATTGAGCTGTCAACGAGCAGAGATGGATCCAACAGAATAATGATACTAAATTCAGGAACTATCTCCAGCCGAAGATGAAATTCAACAGTCACAATAAAAAAGTATGGAGGCCAGAAACGAATGATTTATTATTTAAACGTTAATGACATAAATCCGGGTCAAATGTCCCTCCTCAGACACAAAAGGCAGCAGGAAGCAACGATGGCTAGACAGTACGATACTGTACTCAGTTACAGTAAAATTACATCTGGGGTAGAGTTGCCTTGTTGATGGTCACCGCATCGCGCGCTTTCAGATGCGCTCCTGCGGCCGTCTGGAACGCTCTTCCTTCCAATAATAGGAAGCTACTGGAGCTATGCACTTTTTTATCATCTAGATTGAAGACGTATTTCTTTAGAACTGCTTTTTATGCTTAGCTTGTTGTCCTTCCTCTGCACCTCCGATTAGCACGGTTTGCTACGTAAGAAAGAAGTTGAACGTACAGAAATACAAGGCCCTTTCGCCACGGCCTCCACTCTTTTTAGCCGGGTGACCACGACAAGGCTGGGCGCGGGATACACGCGCCAACATTAGCGATGTCACCTTGGCACGCGGAGCACGCTGGGATTCTTGCTACATCGCGTTTTGCACTACCGATCAAACAATTGATAGCGTTGATAGCGGCGCCACCACCCATTTATGGGGGCGGGCGAGCCGGGGGGAGTGCGGGCAGGCGACGGCGTCACCCCGAACAGCAGGGAGGGGGCCATCGGGCTCCGGGCCAACGCACCTTGACCTGCTGCTGCAGCTTCTTGACGACCTTGCCGGCCTCCGCGTTGGTCCGGCTCGCGTGGTCCAGCTGCAGCTCCGCCTCGTTGAGGTCGTTCTCCATCTTCTTCTTGTGCCTCAGGGCCTCGGCTCGCCCCTTGGCCTCGGCCTCCAAGCTCATCTGCATGGACTCCATGCTGCGCTGGTGGTTCTTCCTGCCGGAGGCCCCCCGCACCGAGGTGCACAGCGAGCGTTCACAACGTGCGGCACGGTGGGGTGGTGCCCGGGGCCGTGAAAGACTTTTGCTTTAATAACACGTAGTAGGCTTTTGCAACTAAGATAATCCGTGATAGAGTTTTTTTTGGGGGGGTTAGACTTTGCTTTTGTTCGTCGTGAGAGCACGGCTTTTCTGAGCGCTTTTGGAGGGCGATGATACTCTCGCAAAGGTAGGGTTGCTACCTGTCCTGGTTTTGGGTTTTGTGAGGACATGGCCGGTCCCAGGGAATGTCCCCCACTGCTCCGCATGGCTTTGATCTGCCAAGAAAACTACGGTGCTCCATCAACCGCTTTAGAACAGCGGCTGGTCGCTACGCTTACACCACCTCCTCCACAAGCGGAGAATTAGAGACAACCTACAGGGTGACTGCGGCTACCCGAACCAGACAATGGAACCTGTATTAGTCGCGCAACTCCCGCAGCTATGGCACGGCTCACAACTTGGACATGTGATTTACACGGACTTGCCATACACTAGAAGAAGGAGGACATCTGTAACTTTTCCCAGGGCAATAAAAGTCAGCTGTACAAAAAAATCACCACTCAAGACAAGGCATTCTCATGTAGTTCTCTCTTCCCTCATCCGATATTCTGAGATATTCTTCTTCTCATGATTTTGTCCTGTTTTTTTTGTACCTCAGAGGAGGCGCAACTCATGGGACAACAATGTGCAACAGGAGTCAAGCACTTTGCACTTATTTTATTATTTTTTCTATCTACGTGGCTTTACCAAAAGACTCAAAGAATATACTTTGCCTTTGTTAATTGTGAGAATACAGCAGGGACCTTTCCCACAGCTATGACGTTGATGCCACAGAGATGTAGCTTCTAAATGTCTGCACCTGTCAAATATTTGTTTTTACTGCACCTGTGCTAAGTATGGTTCATTTGATGTCAATAATATAAAATATTATGGGACCTTTTTGACAGTTTTAAGGTATGAAACGTAAGAATGTTTTTTTTGTTGTAGGCCAATCAGTTGCAAAGACAATGCATATATTATCAGAGCATGTTTGTTTACGCATTCACCAAAAGTACGTGTGGTTAATGCAGATTTGATTCCTTGGAAAAGGTTTATATTTGGAGTTTGAATATCTTAACACCTGCTGTTTTATTGCCAGAAATGGTAAAAGCCATTCTTACTTTTCAATATATAAAATCGTATTGTTGCAGTACGTTAATGACTTAAATCAATTCAACGTTTAATCAAATATGTCCAAGGCGTGGATACTTGATACGTATTCTACCTTTTATATGTAAACTCTGCCACGTCAGTAGCTTTCATTAGTTAAACGCTGCTCAATTTCCAGACGTTAACGGCTGACAGCCCTTTGCGTCTCTCGATTTGCACAATGGCAGGACCACGTGAATTTTGTAGAAAACCTCAAAGAATCTGAGTCATTGGTAAATAAGGAAAATGCAGATACAGTACTGTATATACAAATAAAGTCATTTTTAACCTATAAGGTGTCAAACAAACATTAACTCAACTAGTAGATAATCTGTTGCTCTGCAACTTAAAAAAAGAATCTTACCTTTCAAGTACTTTGCACTCCTATCGTGTTGTTGGTTGTTGTTGTGACTTTCTGACCCTGTGCCTCTACTGAACATCTGTGAAAAGGAGCTTTGTAGCTCATCGGATTCCTCCCAGTGTCAATAAATATTCTGATTCTGAATAAGAGGCAGCTGTCATCGTAATTATTGTTCCACAATCCTCACTGGGAGCACTCACTACAAGTAATCTGCTTTTGTATGTAATAATAAAATGCCGATATAATATGTTAAATATATATTATGTATTCGCCGAGGTTTTTTCTCTAAATAATCTCTAGGATTTAAAATAATATGTCGGTGAAACGATTACATTGATAGGAGCACGAATTGGAACGTTGAATCAGTTTTAAATTAACCGTGTCAGTCTACTCTATTCGTTACTACAACCCCCTCGGTGTTGCTATCATGTCGTCCAAACTTCTTCGGCCGCTTCAACTCGCCGTTTGTTCCACAGGAAATCCCGTGCAGCCAGTTACCCAGCTAGTTTCGGTGACAATGAATCAGCAGTCACGAACAACAACAGGGCTATTGTTGTGGCGGAGAGGCGTCCAACCGGCAAGCCACGAAACTCGAGGACACACGTTTTATTCTCTGGCGTAGCGCGATTGCTACGTGCGAGTAAGTGAAGCACTTACACGGGCAAGCCAGCAGAGGGAGGCACGCGACAAACTATGTGACATTGCACGGCGAATCAGTCGAAGCAACCGCATTCAGCGCTCGCGCGTGGCTCTCGCGTCGCCGCTACTTCCGCTCTCCGAATGCAAAACAGCCGTCACTGCAGCTTGCCTTCAAGGCTCGCTCGGAGCCATTCGGTTTGGTCGGGGTGTCTCGTCACCAGAACAACGGCTATGTTCGCACGCCGAAACATACACCACTGGGGGTTGCCACCTGTTCCGACATTTCCAGGTTTCGTCGTGTCTTTTTTTAGGTTAGCCGTCCCCGGAAAATCAGTAGGGCTTGCCAAGTCCCAATTTTTTTTGTAAGTTATGTAATAATATGCTGCTCAAGATAATACAATTTAGCCGTGTAGTTTTCCCGCTCCTGCGATTGTGGGAAATTCGTTTATCCATTATATGTGTCCTAGACTGTTGTACCTTGAACCGCAATCTCGTCAACCATCACACAAACTCCGCTCATCCTCGCAGGAGCGGATTTTGGTGTAACCATAAAACAAAGACGGCCACCGCATAGCGCGCTTTCAGATGTGCTCTTGCGGCCGTCTGGAACGCTCCTCCTTCAGAAGTGAGGAATCCACTGTGGAGCACTATGCACTTTTAAATCATCCAGATTGAAAACGAATTCCTTTAGAACTGCTTTTTGCGTTCAGATTGCTGTCCTTCCCCCGATTAGCGCGGTTGCCTACGTACGGCGCGAAAGAAGTTCAACATACGTACTTCAGAGGTGGAAACCCTAATGCATACGCTCAACGGATGGGGTATCTATGTACGTTGCGTGTTGCTTGCCAAAGTACCGCGTAGGTCGAGCGTTCATGGCACGTGCGCGCACGCGCACACAATAAGCTCTGGAGAGAAAATAGGACAGCACCACTGTGGACTTCCTTCACAGCAGAGTGATGTATCACAGGTCTTTGAAATTCTCCATGCCAGGTGTGCCCAATTAGTGTAATTGGATACATGGCTGCATGGCCCCACTTCAATTACCTCCATTGGCTGCAGCTGGCACTGGGAATTTTAAAGCCCCCCCCCCAAAAAAAAGGCTCCGCTCTCTGCTTATTCCAAATGGAAGCCCTGGAGAGAGCGTGGGGGCTCAGGTGAGTGAGTTGTAAGACAACCGATAACAGCGACCCCAAAGGACTGGACCCAACCCCCCCCCCACCTCCCCCACCTGATGGCCTCGAACTCATCCTCCTTCTCCTGCACGCGACGGTCGATGTCGGCCTTGACCTGGGCCAGCTCCAGCTGGATACGCACCACCTTGCCCTCTTCCGACTGCCGTGGGGAGAGGGAGAGAGACAGCGCGCACGCGGGCGATTTAATCAGACGGCTGGCTGCTGTGGGCAGCTGGGCCCGCAGGGGATCCCGCGGCAGGCCCTCGACAGACGGCACTTCTGAGCCCCTGTGCAGAATTCGGACTCCCCATTTTTATCCATCCACTGTTCTCCGGACGAGGGGCTCTCTAGGGCCGCCCTCTGTCAGAGGCCCCTCCTGCCAGCGATGGTGCGAGCGAGGAATTGCAGGTGCCGCCGCCACCTTTACGTATTCCCTCTGGCCCCCCAAAGCTGTTACAATTGTCACTTCGCTCTCTCGGCTCTCTAGGTAGGGTGAGTCATTCTTCAGAGATTTGGACAAAAGAAAATTGAGTCTGTCCAGAGCCTTCTGTGCCGAGTTGAGTTTTTGTTTGCAGGTGACCGCCTCGTTAGTGATGCAAAGTGGCTTGTTTGGGGCAGAATTATTACAGCTTCCTGGCATTTGAATACGTGTAGCCGCAATCTGCGCTTCGATTTACACTTGCATCCAATTTTGTGTAATTCCCAACAATTCAGCTAAGGCACAGAGACAACTAAATACAGGGAGGGTTTAAAAAAAAATACCCCACTAATTTCTGAGCCTTTTGCTTTCGTCTTAACAGCTGGTTCAATGCTTAGAAAACATGGCTTTGTGTTCGACAGAGGAACAGGGTAGGGAGATGGCAGCATGGAAGGAGTGTCACGGATCTGTGGCACGGCACACGACGTCCAGGAGAGATCTGGGCTTGCGTCACCACAAAGCAAAATATTTAAATATTTTTTTTGTAAATGCGATGAAGCGGAGTTCGATTAAAAGATCGGCACCTGTGGCAGCTGAGGCGAGCATGTTGTGTACATAGGTTGCCATGCGATCTAGCAGCTTCTTTACAATCGTATAATTTCTCCCAAATGTTTTAATTGGGGTATCTAGAAACGGATCTCCCTGTGTGATGGAGCAATTAGGAGGCAATTTAGCATTCAGATTTCGCAGCTGCTCGTAATCCAGGTGCGGTGCTCAGGTTGGGCCACGTGTCGAGTGCTACCGCTCTCAAGTTTTCGCCACGCACTTCCTGTGAACATCTCGAGGAGTTGAAAGTGTTAAAGATGCAGGCAGCAGCAGCAGCGCGTGGAAACATCTGAAGAGGGAGAAATGCTAACCGCGTGGCCTAATCCCCGAAGGCCAAACACTTAGGTTTGGAGGCACGTTACACTGCTCACCTCCAGGGCAGCAGAGGAAGTATGTTTTTGATCTACTTGCACAGCGTTAGCTATCCCCCTTGCTTGCGTGAGTTGGATCCGGACAGTCTGGTTCCCTGTAAATATACTATATATGAGGAAAAGGTCAAATATCTTTAGCAGGGCCCGTTGGAATAGGAACTCTTTGAGGCGGACCGGAGTAAATCGAGAATCGCAGAGTGTCGTGGAGTGTTGCACGGGGCATAAACTTGGATTCTGAGATGGGGAAGCATAAGAAGGCGAGCATGTCTTGAGATGCGGGTACGGCGTAGAAAGGAAACAATAAAATTGCATGGAGATAAAGGGAAGTGGTGAAGTTCTGTAGCAGGTTCATGGGGAGGGAAGCCTCGTTAGAGAAATTAAAGAGAAGACACAAATACGTGGAATGGGCCACATACTCCCGAGGTGACAGCTCTGTGAAGAAAGATCTACAAGGAAGGATTGTTAGATGAAGGCCAAGAGGCAAAAAAAAGCACAATTTGGCTTGATTACTTGAAAAGGGCTCATTATAGTTTAATGAAGTAGAAAAACGTTGGACAGGATAACGTGAATCTGAGCCAAAGACCTGCCATTGGTGAGAGGACTAAATGAGAGAAAAGAGACAAAGTAAATATGAATGGTATAACACACCGCCGCCACTTGTGAAGAGGGAATTTGCTCAAATTAACATGTAGGCTTTCGCGACCAATATTATTCATAACAAAGGAAGACTTCTTCACAATTCTGCCTAATCGCCTGATGAGGCTGGCTGTAATCACCAGCGAAACGTCAACGGTATTCGAATTGTAAATGTTTTGATTTAAAGCTTTCGTGACTGCAGTAATTCAACGTGAATTTACCGAAAGAAATAAGAATATTGTAAATGTTGTGGGTTTACTTTCCAGTGCAACGGTGGTGCTCGACTGGTAACGAATTGCCTCGTTTTGTTTACGTGACAAACCCTACTAATTGGCTGCGTCGGGTGGCAGCGGGTTTAACGACCCATTTATACCCCCCCAAAAAATACCATCTTCATTACGGAGGGAATTTGCGTTCGTAAAAGTCGGTGAGTTTCACCTCCAGGGCTGCTTCCGCCTCTTCCAGGGAGAGCTGCAGTTCTTCCTTCTCCAGTTCCAACTTCTTCTTCACCTTCTGCAGCTCGTGAGCGCTTTTTCCTCCCTCTCCCAGCTGCTCTGTCAGATCGGTGACCTCCTCTGAACGCATACCGAGAGAAAACAACAAACAACAACAATGACGCAGAATTCTAATTTCACGTATAAAAAGGCCTTGTTCGACTAAATTTCAAATTGACAACAATGTGGTGAATGCATTCCAGATTAAAAGATCCGTAATCGAGGTTTTTTTTTGGGGTTATATCACGTAAATATAAATGTGTCGTTAAATCCGCCACCACCCGACACGGCCAATTAGTAAGGTTTGTCACGTGAACAAAAGGTGCCAATTCGTTACTGGTACAGCACCCCGGTGTGTAGGAGAGTAAACCCACAACAACATTTACAATTTGAGTACCGCCACATTACGCTGGTGATTACAACGAGCTTCATCAGGCGACAGCCAGAGTTGTGGAGAAATCCTCCTCCTGTTTCGGTCTTCAATACATGGGGGTGAATGTGATGTCATCACTGTGAGCCAATCAGGGGGGGCGGGGTTAATGTATTCATCTAAATTACAATGGACGTATTTTTGGTTTTGTTATTCACAGGTAATTAACATACATAATATAATTACATCACGCATGCACTTTATGCGTATGTACATTGTGGTTGTATTTTCCGGCGAAACGTCATACTCGAATTCTAAAAGCTGTGGGTTTAATCTCCAACACACAACAAGGGTATGCTGAACTAATAACGAATTGGGCACGTTCTGTTTACGTAATAAACCGTACGAATTGCCTGCGTCGAGTGGTGGTGGCGGGTTTAACGGCACATTTATATTTACGCGATCTAATCGACAACAAAAAATGTTAACATCTCGGGATCATTACAAAGGTTGTACAATTTGACCTTGAAGGGTCTTGTTTTCTCTCTTGAAGGCCTCCAGCTGTTCGACTGCCTCCTCATAGCAGGTCCTCAGCTTGAAGATCTCGTTGCTGTAGTTCCTGCACTCCTTCTGCGACGAGTCCAGCTCCGACTGGACCTCCTCGTACTTCTGCCGCCATTCCGACAGCTGCTTGTCAAACGAACGCTGCTTCTTGTCCAAGGAAGCTGCAGAGCTATTGGCCTTGAAGAATGCAAAGAAAAAAGTTTGACATACGAATAACTGCACGCGTAACACCAATACAAAACCAAGACCCTGTGCTGATCGCTCGCAAATGAAATTCCAACTGACTTAATGCCACTCCCTTTCATTTATGCGATGAAGTCCGGAACGGATTCCACCCTGGGCGATGTATGCAAAGATCATGAGGTCATCGTGGCGAAAGCCATTGATGGACACCACACCTCGATATTGCCTTCGACCCATCTGCCAGATCCCATAGCTGTCGCACGGTAGATACGCGAAGCGACGCACACAAACGTGGCAGAAAATAGGCGGAGTGGAAGATGTGAAAAATGGTGGATATATGCAGTGGAAAACAAGATCAAGAATACAAAAAGGTATTGATCAATGCAGAAGTTCTGGCCAAAGAAAGAGAACCATGGCGGGAATTCCTTCAGACTCATTCTCGCGAATAATGAGCCGATGAAACGGGGCAACGATGCAAATTTCAAAGTGTGGTTTTATCACCTCCGATTATGTACGGTGCAAAATAAGTTCAACGAACATAGCAACACATGTCCTATCGCAAAAATGTGGAGGGGCCAGACCTTCTCAAGGTCGAGGGTAAGGTCTTCCAGCTCTCCCTGGAGTTTCTGCTTGGCCTTGTCCAGGCTTGCGCACCTCGCTTGGGCGGCTTCCACCGCCTCCTCGGACTCCTGCAGCCGAGCGGCAAGCTTCTTCCTGTTGCCCACATCATACGCTGTGCCAAACTGTACACCGTGCCAAACTGTACACCATCTCAAACTGTACACCGTGTCAAACTGTCCACCGTCTCAGACTGTCCATCGTCTCAGACTGGACATCGTCTCAGACTGGACATCGTCTCAGACTGTCCATCGTCGCAGACTGGACATCGTCTCAGACTGGACATCGTCTCAGACCGTCCATCGTCTTAGACTGTCCATCGTCCATCGTCTCAGACTGGACATCGTCTCAGACTGGACATCGTCTCAGACTGTCCATCGTCGCAGACTGGACATCGTCTCAGACTGGACATCGTCTCAGACTGTCCATCGTCGCAGACTGGACATCGTCTCAGACTGGACATCGTCTCAGACTGTCCATCGTCTCAGACTGGACATCGTCTGAGACCGTCCATCGTCTTAGACTGTCCATCGTCCATCGTCTCAGACTGGACATCGTCTCAGACTGGACATCGTCTCAGACTGCCCATTGTCTCAGACTGTCCATCGTCTCAGACTGTCCATTGTCTCAGACTGTCCATTGTCTTAGACTGTCCATCGTCTCAGACTGGACATCGTCTCAGACTGTCCATCGTCTCAGACTGTCCATTGTCTTAGACTGTCCATCGTCTCAGACTGGACATCGTCTCAGACTGTCCATCGTCTCAGACTGGACATCGTCTCAGACTGTCCATCGTCTCAGACTGGACATCGTCTCAGACTGCCCATTGTCTCAGACTGTACATCGTCTCAGACTGTCCATCGTCTTAGACTGTCCATCGTCTCAGACTGTCCATCGTCTCAGACTGGACATCGTCTTAGACTGTCCATTGTCTCAGACTGGACATCGTCTCAGACTGTCCATCGTCTTAGATTGTCCATCTTCTCAGACTGCCCATCGTCTCAGACTGTCCATTGTCTCAGACTGTCCATCGTCTCAGACTGGACATCGTCTTTGACTGTCCATTGTCTCAGACTGGACATCGTCTCAGACTGTCCATCGTCTTAGACTGTCCATCTTCTCAGATTGCCCATCGTCTCAGACTGTCCATTGTCTCAGACTGTCCATCGTCTCAGACTGCCCATCGTCTCAGACTGTCCATTGTCTCAGACTGGACATCGCCTCAGACTGTCCATCGTCTTAGACTGTCCATCTTCTCAGACTGCCCATCGTCTCAGACTGTCCATCGTCTCAGACTGGACATCGTCTTAGACTGAACATCGTCTTAGACTGTCCATCGTCTCAGACTGCCCATCGTCTCAGACTGTCCATTGTCTCAGACTGGACATCGTCTCAGACTGTCCATCGTCTTAGACTGTCCATCGTCTCAGACTGCCGATCGTCTCAGACTGTCCATTGTCTCAGACTGTCCATCGTCTCAGACTGTCCATCGTCTCAGACTGGACATCGTCTCAGACTGTGCATCGTCTTAGACTGTCCAACGTCTCAGACTGGACATCGTCTCAGACTGGACATCGTCTCAGACTATGCATTGTCTCAGACTCCTCGGTCAATTTGCCAGCCCATTGCTGGATCTACAACAAAAGCACTATGCAGCAGGCGCTATGTTTAAAGGCACGACTTGCATGTATGTACTCCTCCAGTGCTGGATTCATTAATTAAACAAAATGTATACACCCTCTGAGGGAATTTCAACTATTCGGCTTTGATAACCTGCCTGATTTTGTATAGACATTAAAATGGAGGAGCTACAGATGTGCACATTATAAGAAGTGATTATGTGCTGGTATATGGCATAAACTTTTAATTCACATGGCATTTCCTAAAGTGCACATTTACATAAAGTGTCTGCAACATATTTGTAAGTAAACGCTTTTAATATAATACATGTTTCAACGTTTGTCTACGCCATATGCACTCTATTACAACCCGCTATCCTCCGCAGTTAAGTCAGACTCAAGCGCGAATGTGCCTTTAACAAAGCCGTGCGTGGCGGGGGGGGGGAGATTTTTTTTCGTTTCTTTTTTTTAACTCACTTGGTGTCCTCAAGCTCCTCCAGACGGCCGAGCGCGTCCGACTCGTACTTGCTGCGCCACTGCGTGAGCTCCCCGTTGAGGCGCGAGATGACGCGGTGGAGCTCGGCCTTGCTCTCCTGTTCCTCCTCCAGCTGCTCGCGGAGGAGGTCGCAGTCGTGTTTGGCGTTGGACATGCCCAGGGACACCATGCCCTTCGCCTGCGTCGCACCCGGAGGTTCAACATTGAGGATGTAACACGCGGTTGTTTTTTTCGCAGGTAATTATTAGGATTCATTATTGTTTGTATGAGGCCACAGAATGATCCGACTGATCTGTGTCATTGAAGAAGCCTCCCACCAACACGACACAGCCCAAACAAATGGACTGTGACATAGTGGGAGCATTTTACGCCCCAATTTATTATTGTTTTAGCTCACCAGTAAGTTGAAGAACAATCCTCAGAAGAAAATTTAGGAAGAAGATATATGGCATTTCGGTTGATATTACATCAAAATCATTAAGCTCCAGAAAGTCAGAACAGCAATCCGGTGAATTGGAATAAGCGTGTCACCTGACCTGGTTTTCTTAAATCTGTCGCATGGCCTAATTTGTACATTTGTTTGTGTGAGTTGTTGTTCAACCTAATGGTGAGTTGGAACGTTCATAATTGGCCTTTTTCAACGCTTTCACACAATGTAGAAATTAATTTGTGTGCCTGTGTTGGGCGGCGGAGTGTTCCTTAATGCAGAGAGTTTTGTCAGATTGTTACGTGACCTAACCCCCCCAAAAATATATTATGAATCGCGACTTAAGCGTGTTTGTAATTGAGGTTGGGCGGGTGTGGCTAAGAGGTCAGAGCGCTTAGCTGCCACCGCTGAGATCCTGGGTTTGAATCTCAAGCACATACAGTGAGGGAAAAAAGTATTTGTTCCCCTGCTGATTTTGTACGTTTGCCCACTGACAAAGAAATGATCAGTCTATAATTTTAATGGTAGGTTTATTTGAACAGTGAGAGACAGAATAACAACAAAAAAATCCAGAAAAACGCATGTCAAAAATGTTATAAATTGATTTGCATTTTAATGAGGGAAATAAGTATTTGACCCCCTCTCAATCAGAAAGATTTCTGGCTCCCAGGTGTCTTTTATACAGGCAACGAGCTGAGATTAGGAGTACACTCTTAAAGGGAGTGCTCCTGATCTCAGTTTGTTGCCTGTATAAAAGACACCTGTCCACAGAAGCAATCAATCAGATTCCAAACTCTCCACCATGGCCAAGACCAAAGAGCTCTCTAAGGATGTCAGGGACAAGATTGTAGACCTACACAAGGCTGGAATGGGCTACAAGACCATTGCCAAGCAGCTTGGTGAGAAGGTGACAACAGTTGGTGCGATTATTCGCAAATGGAAGAAGCACAAAAGAACTGTCAATCTCCCGCGGCCTGGGGCTCCATGCAAGATCTCACCTCGTGGAGTTGCAATGATCATGAGAACGGTGAGGAATCAGCCCAGAACTACACGGGAGGATCTTGTCAATGATCTCAAGGCAGCTGGGACCATAGTCACCAAGAAAACAATTGGTAACACACTACGCCGTGAAGGACTTAAATCCTGCAGCGCCCGCAAGGTCCCCCTGCTCAAGAAAGCACATATACATGCCTGTCTGAAGTTTGCCAGTGAACATCTGAATGATTCAGAGAACAGCTGGGTGAAAGTGTTGTGGTCAGATGAGACCAAAATTGAGCTCTTTGCCATCAACTCAACTCGCCGTGTTTGGAGGAGGAGGAATGCTGCCTATGACCCCAAGAACACCATCCCCACCGTCAAACATGGAGGTGGAAACATTATGCTTTGGGGGTGTTTTTCTGCTAAGGGGACAGGACAACTTCACTGCATCAAAGGGACGATGGACGGGGCCATGTACCGTCAAATCTTGGGTGAGAACCTCCTTCCCTCAGCCAGGGCATTGAAAATGGGTCGTGGATGGGTATTCCAGCATGACAATGACCCAAAACACACGGCCAAGGCAACAAAGGAGTGGCTCAAGAAGAAGCACATTAAGGTCCTGGAGTGGCCTAGACAGTCTCCAGACCTTAATCCCATAGAAAATCTGTGGAGGGAGCTGAAGGTTCGAGTTGCTAAACGTCAGCCTCGAAACCTTAATGACTTGGAGAAGATCTGCAAAGAGGAGTGGGACAAAATCCCTCCTGAGATGTGTGCAAACCTGGTGGCCAACTACAAGAAACGTCTGACCTCTGTGATTGCCAACAAGGGTTTTGCCACCAAGTACTAAGTCATGTTTTGCAGAGGGGTCAAATACAATTTCCCTCATTAAAATGCAAATCAATTTATAACATTTTTGACATGCGTTTTTTTGGATTTTGTTGTTGTTATTCTGTCTCTCACTGTTAAAATAAACCTACCATTAAAATTATAGACTGATCATTTCTTTGTCAGTGGGCAAATGTACAAAATCAGCAGGGGATCAAATACTTTTTCCCTCACTGTAGCCGAGTTGGCGGTTTCAGCTCGGTCACCGATAAGAGCACGCAAAATGATCACGTTAAATTTGGTTCCGCACTTTATTTGGCTCAATTCCAGCTCTGAGGATGAATATTTAGGTTTCACTATCATGCAACAAACAAGATGCTCATATGCAGACTATGTAGGAAAATGCTGTCTTCTACTGTGTGAACCAGAGGCTACTTGAAGAGGTTGTCCCTTGATATCTGTGCACCATTCTTTAACACTGCTCATTGAGAGATCTCAATGGATATTTAGTTGAATTACTTGAAGCCGATAGCATAAGTGGGATAAAATTATGGTAATCATGAAAAAAACCGTGTAATCATGTTCAGTTAAAAAAATGTTGTGTCGGACAACCATCACTCGATGTTCCGGACATCTTTGTTGGCTTGTTCATGAATGTATGCGTCACTAATCAATTTGTTTGACCTGCACTTCACGTGCAAGCTTCCATTGTTGGATGAGAGCATGGTAGGAAGAAAACACGACAAAAAAAACCTTCCGTCCATTACGGGCACACTACGTTCACTTAATTTCTGAAAGAAAAAAAACGACATTTGTGCAATACTGTAACACCATAACTCTGGCCCCGAAACCTCTAGCCCAAATCGATCTGATAAAATGGCATCCTGCAACATAACGGATATATCATTCTCTTCTCGTTCATTTCCATAACCTTTGATTACATATTCTTAGCTTTTTCAGTAAAGTCACGTTGAAGGGAAACAATAAAATAATAAAATATATATAAAACAATAAAAATTCTCACGACGTTTCGACCATAACACAAACGGTCGTCATCAGGTATGAAAAAACCAACGGCAAGAAACATTTGAGGTGTCGGTTTGATTACATTTCAGTTTTTTTTTACTTAACGGTGCACGCCTTGTTCTTTTGCGATGCCTCTAAAAAGATGCCGTCGTATATATATGTCCGGCATCATGTAAAATGAAACATCCTATCCTGGAAGCGGCCGCAGAGACACGCATTACTTTAATAGGGAGCAATCACCTTCGTTTCTTCATCCAGCGACCTCTTGGTCTCCTCCAGCTGCGAGGACAGCGAAAGCTTGGTGCGGCTCAGCTGAGCGATCTTGTTCTCCCCCTCCTCCAGCCGCCGGAGATTGTCGCTGTTTTCGGCTGCAGAGAGCGGCGGTGGCAAGTAACGGCGCCGGTGTTGTTACTGCCCCCGCAAAGCGTCGCGCACCACCCCCCCCCCCTCCCGGGTAACGCGCGCGGTCAAGTGGGGAATTCCTATCGCGCGCGCCACGCAATTGCCCGTCGGGAGACAGCCGGCCCCACCTGAGAGCTTCACTTTGAAGTTGTTGACCTCGTTGAGGGTTTTCTGCAGGTCCTCGCAGTGCGAGCTGGATTCGCTCAGGTGATCCTCCAGCTTGCGGATGTGCATCTCGGCCGACACCTGCGGTGCACGTTCACACGTGCGAGATGCGAGTGACGCTTGTAGACTATAAAGCGATTTTAATATATATTTTTTTTATTTTACCCGGTAAGGCCCACTGAGCTATACAGCTCGTTTTCAGAAGCGACCTGGCCATAAACGATAGCCCAACGAAGTGGCTTATCACGTGGTAATGTATAGCAGCCAAATACTCTGAACGCGTGACGCTGATTCTAAATGTGCAGGGAAAGACCGGAGGACCCGGAGAAAAATCCACACGATCATGGGGAGAACATGCAAACTCCAAATATACAGGCATGGTCAGGGTCGAGATCGAACCCACGATCTCCTGTATACCAGGCGAGGTAGTTAACATCTCACCACCGTGGAACGCATATGTAATCAATTAATTACAATTGATTACATATCACCACCGGGTGGTGGTGGGTTGAACGACATATTTATATTTACATGATCTAACCCAAAAACCTATATTATGGTGGAAAGTTAAAACAATCAAAACTAGTTTAATTTCAGCACGCAACTGGTAGTGGTACACACATCGTGCTGCGATGGCTTGAATGACCGAGTTGCCTGCAGGATTTATCACAGTGCTACAGGACTGTGCTTCAACCATCATGATTCGGTCTCTATTGTTTTGGGCTGCCATGTAATCTGAGGCCCTCAGGCTGCCACCCCTAAAGCCCCCTGCGCTGATCTGGCCCTGCGTACACGTGCATTGCGTATGCTCGTATACCGGATTTTAGGCAAAATAACGATGCGGCCAATATTTTGTCGTAAGACCCTCCACCATCCGACAGAGTCCGAACAGATTAAATAGTGTCGCGTGCAAGCGTTCAACGTGCTGACTAGTATTGCTTCAGGGAGATGAACAGTTCTCACAAACAAATTTAGAAATCGGCTACGAACTTCACACGAAACTACTGGCAGGCATCTTCCGGAAAATCCAGGAACATCAAACATAAAATCCATGGAAGTCAAAACGATGAATACCTCTATGGCTTACACACGTGCATGCATGCTCACGCTGTGGTGGCTTTACCTTGTACTTCTGAGATGCCTCGAGGCTGGAGGCGAGGTCATCGATCTCCACCTTCATCATCTGCTTGTCCTTCTCCAGCTTGAGCTTGATGCGCTGCAGGCTGTCCAGCTGCTCCGTCATTTCCACCGTGGACTCGGCCTGCCTCTTGCGCAGGGCGGCCATGGTGGCCTCCATCTGCAGGGAGGACTCCTCCATCTCCCGACGCAGCTTGAGAACCTCCGACTCTCGCTTCTTGTTCTGCTCGATCTGTGCCCACCAAGGTTGTGGGGGGTGAGGGCAATATCAACAAACTATGGAGTACAGGTGCAGGAGCCATGGTGCAGTTGAGGGGGGGTGTCGTCGTCCCCCCACCACCCCCCGTGTTCATCACTTGGTACTATGGGGGGGTGGTAAAAGACTTTAGCCACCAACCTAAAAACCCCATGGACAGCTGGAAAGCCAATTGACTTAATTTTGACAGTAAAATTGTATTAATTAATGATTACTATTATTATAATATTTTTACGTGAATATATAACAAAAAAAGTATAACATAGCAGCGTCGAGTGGAGAAATGCTGTAGCTCAGGGGGATTTGAGCTATCGCGCATTGAATTCAGTCGTCACAAAAACTACGTACGTCACCGTGTCCTGTCCTCCCAGCTACAGCAGCTCCACACGGCGCAGGGAGAATGCATTTTTACATTTCACTTTCGTGGCTATTTGGTACTATGGGGGGGGGGGGGGTGGTGGTAAAAGACTTTAGCCACCAACCTAAAAACCCCATGGACAGCTGGAAAGCCAATTGACTTAACCTTTGCACGTGATGGCGAAAGCGGAGTTCTCTGTGGGAAGAAAAATCCCAAACGCACAGGGAGATAACACCGAAACGATTGTACACGTCGGTTAGCAACCTAATCACGTAGCCATTACATGTAGCCTAACCACTGATGGAATCAGGGCATACTGATGTATTCTAGCAGAGTGCATATGCCCACTGTTGCAAGCACTCAGATATTCGCGTTGATACGCGCATGCCAGTTTCCACGCGTGTGCCGTGTTGCTCTCCGATGCGTTTTTGGGTTGTTACACCACGGGTTGTTCGACGTCCTCACTGAATTCAGTGCCAGAAGAAGCCCCCAGCCCCGTGGAGCAAAACGTCGGACGTCGTCCGAACAATCCGCAGGTGCAACCCAAGGTGAATGTCGTTTAGACATATACATCGTTGCGTTGTAATACTATTTACCGTGAGTCATTAAATTGTATGCAGGCAAAATTATATTTAATTACTATTATAAGGATTACAACCTCAGTCTTAGGCCCTGGTATAGTGGCAATGCATGACAGAGCGATGTGGGTTTACATTTCCACGCTTGAATAAGCACCGAGGGCACCGCTCATCTCCATTGAAGGCACCCGAACCAGCGGTGGAAGTGTCACGCTGCTATAACAATGCAAGGCTTGCCATAGGACGACTATTGTCCCCACAATTTGGTGCTGAGTTTATCGACCCCCCCCTCCCCTGACAGACTGATGGGCTGGGTTCACCCCCATCCCACCCACTCACCTGGGCTGCTGTGGCCCCCCCCGCTTCGTCGAGACGTTCCGTGAGCTCCTCCAGCTCCCTGGCGAGGTCATTCCTCTGCTTCTCAACCTGACGGGCAAACATATTTTTTGTGATTTTTTTTTTTAAAACGACACCAGTCAGCGACACGGAGGCGGCCATGTGGAAAGGCGGTGCAAGGCGTGCGCACGCCCTGATCTGATGCCGCTGAAGACGGTATGACACTGGTGCCCCCCCCCCCCGCTGCCCAGAGAAAATAGATCGCACCTGCCTGCACGCACGCACAGATGCTTCCCTGTTCCCTGTGCGTGCGTGCGTGCGTGCGGTGGGATTTTTGACGTACGAACATGTGCACTGTGTTCACATACTGATAAAGCGATCCTCGCGGTGCTTACGAGTGACATCCCGAAACCATTTCCTGCGCAGTCCCCTCTTCGCCGAGCACAGAATAATCATTCGCGTCGTTGTGGAGAATATCAGTAACAGAAGAAACACGCAGACCATGTGCCCCCTTCATATGTCTGTTGTCCTTCAACAACAAACCATGAAATATTTTTTTTGTTGCACATCCCGGCAACCGTGAGGATCTCCCCACGTCGGTGCCAGAGTCTGCTGATGAGACGCTGGGTGTCAACACCTGTCCAGGGTCGCTCACACTGAGCACCGCGGTGAGGTGTGGTCCAACAACCCCGATGACTGATAAGGCGTAAGAAGACCTTCATCCAGCAGTAGATTGAACGAAGGTTTTATATTATACAAAGTAGAAATGTGTTAAAGCTGCAGCCCTGCAATGTCTTGTTCACGCCACTGCTGGAGGAAGGGCCTCCACTAGGGTATTTGGCCTACTCTTCAATGCTGGCCACACATCTTGACGGCGGTGGGAGCACACCCACACTTGGCCACACCACACATAACCTGCGGTCGGCTCCATGTGGTGGTGTACCTATTCATGCTGCCGCGTGGACAGAGGGGTCGGAGAGCAAAACTTATTTTTTGTTTTTTAAACGAGAACATTTCTCTACTTTCGCATGCAGTATTTTCAAAAATAAAAGCATTTAAAGTCAGGCAGATGGCGCACTGTGCAGCGCTTGAAAATGTCCAGGGCAAAATTGATAATGCACATTATAATGCGCGCATGCCAGAGAGCGAGCTGGACAGCGGGGGTAGCGGGATTCCTACGTTAATTAAACGTAGATGAAAGTGAGTAACCAGAGTAGGCAGATCAAACGCGCAGTGTTTAATCTCACGGCTCCACTGCACTCTGTCTCAATATTTAGACTCGAGGGCTAGTGCTTGCACACTGCAGCTCAATGGCACACTGTGCACGGCAGCACAGAGGCTTTAAGTCTGCACATTACCACTATGAACGTCCCTTCTGAATACGTTTAAATGCAGTGTATTCGTTGGTTTGCATGTTGTTGGGGTTATTTACGCAGAAATGAAAACCCAACAAAATTGCAAAAATGTTTATAATAATGTTGCAATTGAAGTAGCATCGAAATGAGTGTCCTGACTAGATTACACATTCTACACCTCCACCCGTATGCTACGTCGGTAAGCAATAAGTATGTTTTGATAGTTTGGATTTACATATGCTTTGCACGATCTGCGTATTTGTTTATCTTTGTTTATCGCGTTCTCTGTGTTATTGTTTTTATGTTGTTGCCTCTGCCCCATGACCCGTGACCTTCACCATCTGCGTGGACCGCACAGATACGGATTCAGCCTCTCCGTGTGCCACCGCCACCCAGCGGGTCACCACACTTCGCTCTCCGCTTCTTCCCTCGCACTCATACACTTTGGAATTCCCTCCCGTCGTCTCTACTCCATAAGCTCTCATAACAACCTTGCTTAATATACAAAAAATAAATAAAAATAACACAACACACGTAGATTAAAAAAAAAAGAATCTATTACAACTTTGAGAGTGCTGTCTGTTGTTGCCCTTTGGAGATGTTGGGGCCCATTTGTCCTTTGCTCAGCGACTTAAAAACAAGAATTCAGAGTTGACTGCACAACTTTCTAGTGCGTGAACATTATGGTCTCACGAAAGCACACGCGATACGATCGATCCATCTGGCATGTAGCGATTAATCGATTCTTTAAGATATTTGTTTTTTACCCTCGTGATACACGCTTGTCGAAACGGATTATTTGGACTATCTGCAAATTATATGTAAATTTTAGCTTGAGACGATTAGAATACTAATTTGATTGTAGAATAACCAACGAATTATTTTTTGTTATCATAATGCCTAATCGTGATCAAATGTGGAATTGTGGAGGATGGTTAACAAATTAATCTGCCCAGCAATTAAAATAGTGGCGGTCCAGGGTCCCGATTAAAGTCAACAGTGTGCAGGAGTGGCTGCGGAGGGCCACGTGAAGTTCATTGCCATACGACGGACACAAACCATCGACGGAGTTGATTCTCACGACATATTAACGGTTTCCGCACGTGTCACGGCTTTAACGATTGCCATTAATCGACGAGCTGATGCGTCGAGGAATGGCGACCCCTCACCTTTGCTCTGATGGCCCGCTCGGCCTCCAGCTCCTCCTCGAGCTCCTCCACCCGGGTCTGGGAAGGATGAGAGAGATGTACGGGTAAGAGGCTGCGCTTCACAAAGACATTTATGGACTCACCACTCCGTCTGGCAAAACGAGAGAACGCCACGTGTGTTCTATTTACGAAGGTAGTTTTTATATCAAAGCGAAGTCAATTCGCCTCTTCTATTCAGACCAGTTTGAGTCGGCGGTTATCTCCGTTGGTGGCCCGCAGCCAGTGGTAGAGTCAACTCGACCCATCATTTTCTCGGGGTCAATAAACCACGTAGCAATTTGTGGGAATAATAGTTGTCCCACGATTGGCTTGCCCTTTTTATAGCAATGACAAATTTACAACGCTGGTTTAGGGCCTTTAATGGAGATGAGGCAGTGCCTGATACTTAATTGAGCATGCACATTTTGTGCAGATGTTTACCATGTAAACCCAATTGACTCCCTGTGACAGCAGGTGGTGCCTCTAGAGGAACACCACTGTTGACTTCCCGTGAAGTGATACTCATGCATTTACACCAGACTCCAAATAGGCAATGGTAATTAAATACATACAATTCTGGTGGAGCAGTGCCATAGCAGTTCGCACACTGTGCTAGGAACCTGACGACCCGAGTTTGATTCCCAGCCATGGTTAACGTCAGTGGCGAGTGAGGTTTGAAACCGTTCCGGGATCTTCCTTCACCAACCCGCACCGACCAATGTGGTGAAGAACATGAAATATTGATAATTGGTGGCATTATAGAGAATATTATTAATAGCATAGCTAAGCTGACAATATGTGTCCGTCATATATATGCCATTCCATTATACAACGTAATAATGCACGTGTTATATTTGAATGTTATAGAATGGCAACATCCAACATAAAATACTTATGTTATCTTGTACATAAAGTACACTTTTACATCTCCAACTGCAAGATACACTGGTATTGAAGGCAGACGAAAGAAGTCTTATTTTTTGACAGCGGGAAGACTCGTGGCCTTCAGATTTTCAATGCCACGCAGTCAGCCTCATGGCTTCACCTGCTGTCGTTTTTGAAACAGTACAGAAAGCGTACATTCCTTTAAAAAATTGTCGTAAAATCATATTTTCTAATCGAACAACTTTGAAAAAAAAAAACACCCAGCCAGCGGGAGTTGGGCAGTGTTTAGTGGCGCAGGGGTAGATTAGAAGTGACTGCCTGGCGGGTAAGCTGTAAATCCCACATGAAGCAGCTTGTTTTCATTATCAGCATTCCACCGCACTCCGCTTTCCAACAGGGAGTTGTCGGAGTCTCGTCTGCCGGGGAGAGACAGTAGCCGCTTTCTCGAGCCTTTTCGCCTATTATTCGAGCAGCGGGCACTCCAGCTTGTTCATGGACGCGGTCACCATCCCTCGCTTAAACGGCACGTCCGAAAATGGTGTTGGCAAGCAACGCCAGGCTCAGCTATCACACGCACGCGTCTGATAAGCCCTCGTACTTTTTGTCTGCGCTGCCAGGTATGCCGCCGAGTCCAATGGTTAAGCCTCGCGCGCCTCCCAATTATTGTCACAACCCGTGTCGGTCAAAGTTCTAGCCCCGAATTAAAACACCCTCGTCATTTAACTTCAGCGTGTTGAACGATCTCAAGTCTTGTTTTTTTATTTTTAAAACAATAGAACCACCTACGCGCCTTTACAAGAATGCCAGCGGTAATAGCGGCGTCCGTGCTTTCGAGAGATTCTTTTGTAAGAGCGTGACAGCTAAAATGGGTGAACTTTAACACGGACTAGGTTTGGGAATGCAAAATAGCCCCCCCCCACCCACACCCCCCATCATCAAGCCAGCATAGCTAAAAAGCATGACTCGATAATAATAATAATAACGTGGCTATTCAGTGTGTCTAGCCTGTAGCGCAAAGAGTCGGGGTAAAAAATAAGACAATTTTTTAAGTGTATTTCCCTTTCCCCTGGCTCCTGAGTGCTGTCGCAGGAGCCAGAAAAAAAAATCTCTAACCAAGAAATGCCATCAAGATGTGTTTTTTTTTTCACTCTCTGTGACGGGTGATGGTGCTCAGGGTTTTTAATGGCACATTAGAATTTCTCTCGCGCGCTTTAAGTGCTCGGTATTATCACCTATGATAGAGTGTTATTTTTTTTTTCCCCCCCGTTAACGCGCGAGACGCAATAAGCGTTCCAACACAGAACCTGTTGCCCACGGCTGGCGCTTCGTGAAACGCGATTCATCACAACCCTAATTGGGATTTGTTCCAAGAGTGAACGAAGGTTTGCACGCCGACGCCATCTGGAAGAGGAGGGAACCGCACCGCTCGCACCGAGATACGAACACGGCCACTTCACGGCTAAACAAACCGAGACGCGTGAAAGGAAGCACGGCCATCCCGGCTCCCACGATACCCCGCACCGACGATGAGCACGACTGCCTACGTGCGCTGTGAAAGAAGTTCGGCATGCGTGTACGTACATCACCTGGGTGCCGCACGCAATCACTTTGATTTCGTTATCAGACTGGCATACTTTCCGATGGGCCCTTCGAAACGAATCAATTCGAAGTTTCACGTCTTCAATTGTCAGTGCAGGGTTTCTCAGTAAAGCCTTTGCATGCGCACACCCCAAAGGGTATGTTTGCTGATATTTTCAGTCGGCGCAAAAAATCGCCACGCGTTACACAGTGTTGTGAACTAATGGCATTCGAATGAAGGTGAATTTAACGACCGCGAGAGTGCTACTCAGATGTTTACAGTGACCGCAAACCGTTAGCAGCGCTGCAAAAGCACGTGTCCCCTGAGTTCGCTGTGCTCGGATTGCGGAATGCCACCAAGGGAGCGTCGTTTTCTCAGCTGGAGAATATTTGAGTCTCGCGGATCGAATTCGGAACAGCGTTGCAGATAATTGTGTATTACCATCCAATAAACACGGGGGGGGGGGGGGGGGGGGCACGGAGGAGGCGCGATGCAGTGTTGGGGAGTTCCCCCTGGGAAGTTTATGCAACCAACCTGCTGACGGAACGCATGCACACGCGCATCGCGGGGGCCACCCAGACACCACACCCGCTCCACCACACACTACCTCGGCCACCGCACTCGGCCACCACACCCTTCACACCACACCCAGCCACCACCCCAGCACACCCAGACACCACACCCAGCCACCACCCCACCCCACCACACCCAGCCACCACAAGTACCCCACTACACCCAGCCACCACACTACCCCACCACACTCAGCCACCACACTACCCCACCACACTCAGCCACCACACCCAGCCACCACACCCAGCCACCATACCACCCCACCACACCCAGCCACCACAAGTACCCCCCCACACCCAGCCACCACACCCAGCCACCACACCCAGCCACCATACCACCCCACCACACCCAGCCACCACACTACCCCACTACACCCAGCCACCACAAGTACCCCACTACACCCAGCCACCACCACACCCAGCCACCACAAGGACCCCACCACACCACCCCACCACACTGCCCCACTACACCACCCCACCACACTGCCCACAGTGCCAGAGCAGGTTGCATATTCGCGGGCTCAATGCTGAGGATGTTTGCCGATAAGGTTTTGTGTTTTATCTGAGTGAGCATTTTTAGTCATAGTTATTAGTCTAGTCGATGATGACATTCTGCGCAATTGTGGTCAAGTCTCAGACTGTGGATTTCATATAATCATTCTCTAAGTCCAGTTGACTAAAGCAGTCGAAAAAATCCCCCACCCCACATCCACCTCTATATTACCATGATTATTGTAATTACATAAATGACCGTTTACATTTATGGCATTCCTAAGTGCGTTTGCCGCCTCTTAACATTGCTTCTATTCTCTGTTTGGGTCCATTACTCTCAGACTCGTTAATTTCGTCTCGTCCGTAAGCCACGCCCCTCGCTCTCTGCTGGGCGGCATTCGTGGAAACCGCGAAGCTTTGTGATTTTCGCCCACTCACAGCCACAGTTTGACTAAATTAAAATACTTCTTCAACGAATAATTTAATCGCTAAAAGCCAGAAGGAGGCATATTAAACGCACTTTGAGGAATCTAAAATGGCCTTTGAAGCATCCAATGTGACAACTGTCAAGTCCCATGCTGGTGGGTTAATATTTGCTACCTATTTGCAAGCATTTAATTAAATTAGCAAATAATCAATCACACATGTGCAGTGTGTGTATACACATGGAAATGTTTTAAAGTAAAATTCATTAAAATGCCTAATTAAATTTGTTAAGGAAAAAAATCAGTACCCAGTGGTAAAACAGATCAATTGTGTCCAAACAATGTACAGTAAAAAAAAATTCATGACTTTCCTGACAGTTACGATGTGATACGGCACATTATTGCCGCTAGACAGATTACCCGCATTGCATTAAATGCCAATCACTGCTGCTATGCCAGCTTGGGCCATCAACATCATTAGCCTTACGTGGCTTCCATTATATATTAACTGGCGAGACTGTTTCAAAACGGAAGAGTTCCTCCTGAGGTCTGACGACTTCCCAGGCTGTGCGACTCTATCTAACACCTGACCCATTCCTGTTCTGATACTATCAGCAGTAATTTCTATCCATCGGCTTCCGGCAGAAGGGCAAGCAGTAATTCTGAGCATAACAAAGAGGGGGCACATTCTGCAAAGCCCTGCCCCAAAGCCACCCTCACACCGCTGAGTGAAGGGACAACAGAGCTTTAAAATGAGGGCACGGAGGTCATGCGTTGGTCAAACAAGCTCATCGCTACGGTTTGCCTGAGTCCTTCATTCGTAAGGAAGGGTAGCAATCACCCCGGGAAGCCGCCTTCCCATTAACTTTAGCCCCAGGATCTGGCTTGTCACTTATATATTGGCGCATTAAACCATCACGCCTCGGACAGCTGGGATTTCGAACAAGAGACGTAATTTTATACAACGCATTAGCGCGCACACACCGTACGAGTCGTTTCATGCGCCTCCAGATGCAGAGTTAATAACTGTGCACTCACTTAGCAGGAAACACGGTAAATAGGTGACCTTGGTCATGAATTAACAATTCAATTCTATTTTAAGAAAACACATGTGAACATGCACACACACATATATATAGTATATCCCCTGTGTAGCCTACAGAGACTTTTGGAGCAATTCAATAATTGTGCACAAGGGTGTCGGAGGCCAGCATCACGCCCGGCTGCCTTTGTCTCCTCAGTAGTGATGTTTACACACCGCACCAGGTACTCATTGGAGGTTGAGTCGACCGAGGGGAGGCTCACGACCAGCTCAGATAATCGTCAATTTGTGTTGGCCGTGAGCGGGAATTGAACTCGGGTTGCTGGGTTCGTAGCGCAGCGCGCTAACCGCTGTGCGCGCGCGCACGCACGCACACACACACACCCCTGCACGTGCATTGACACGCACGCCCACACCCGTGCACATGCATTCACACGCACGCGCACACACACCACTGCATGTGCAATCACACAAATAAACACCCCTGCACGTGCAATCACACACACACACACCCCTGCACGTGCAATCACACACACACACACACACCCCTGCACGTGCATTCACATGCACGCGCACACACACACCCCTGCACGTGAAATCACACACACACCCCTGCACGTGCATTCACACGCACGCACGCACACACACACACACCCCTGCACGTGCATTCACACGCACACACCCCTGCACGTGCATTCACACGCACACACACACACCCCTGCACGTGCATTCACACACACGCACAAACACCCCTGCACGTGCATTAACGCACGCACACAAATGGTCGCTCACGTGCAAGCACACTCATTCACTTGCAGACAGACACGCACGCACGCACCTGCAGCTCCTTGAGCTTGCGTTGCAAGTTCATGGACATATTCTGCTCATCCTCAAGCCGGGCGTTCATGGCATTCATCTCGTAATCTCTCCTGACGAGAACAAGAGAAAACACGCACGGACCACAGCGAGTTACACCAGCGCGGGATGTCGATGTTCATGCCACGCACCTTTCATGAGACAAATTATATTCGTGACCTTTCGTGTGCTGACAGTGTTACATTACATATAAAAAAGTTTACACAGAAGTCAAATATTATTTAGATTCAATATGTAAGAACAGCATGTAAATGCAACAAATGCATCCATTTGCAAGAACAAATGCCATTTAAAAATATATTATATGCTCAAGGTCTTTATGAGCACAATAGCTACCGTTAAAAAAAACACCTTGATGACCACTGAAAAGAAAATATAGACATCAAATGCTTTATCTGGCAATAATTACCGGCTCAGTAACGATAATGATTAGATCACTGCAAAAAAAATACGTGGCCCTTTTATTTGTTTGACTTTTTTACACTCTGCCATTCCATTGGACCTCTCTAATCACAGGAATGAAACCAGGAGTTCAGATGACACCGGAGATAAGAGACCCATCGACCAAACAACCCCTGTCACACAAACCGCTGTCAAAACATCCCTCTTCCGCCGCACCTGCACTTAAAGTAAGCGGTAACTGGGGATCCACGGTCAAGCAGGTTCAGGTCTGTTACTGAAACGTGGCCTTCCACCGTCCTTTAGTGCAGCCGGAGAGAGGGAGAGAGAGAGAGATGTTTTTCGACTCGTACGATCTCTCCGGCTCATCATCAACACCAGACAGGATCCTGCCTAGCCATAGCGCGCCTCTCGCATCGACCCAACAAACTGGTTGTTGCGCCGCTGCTCAGGTGAGATAAGTCCCCTCTCTGGAATTATCGTGGACAAAGGTGCGCGTGTCTGGCGGTGTCTAGCCAAGCGCCTATCAGCACAACCACACAATTACCCATCGGCACCGCGATTATCCCCCCCCCCCAAAAAAAAAATCTATTAGATATGCCGGCACACGGCAGCAGATATAACGTGCCAACTGTATTGCCGTTTGTGTAAGGGTGGCCTGTGTCTATTGGGCAGAATTAGTCAATTAATCTGGCATCAACGCGTTATCCATGGCAGAAACCAAGCCGAGGAGACTATATCAAGTACTGTCACACGTTTTGCATGTTTGCTTCACAAACTGCGTCGGGTTTGAAACTTTTTTATTTTGTTTATCTTTTTCAACCACATTATAAATAAGGTCGACAAAACAGAACATTTCTAGGAGAGAAAAAGGAATTGTGTTTCATGCAGATTAAATGTCTAGATGTCTCGTAATGCATTCCCTCCTGCGCAAAAGGAACACAGTCGATCGGCATGCAACCCGTGGCAGGCTCAATTGTGTGTACTCCCACCTCTTCCAAGATGCATGGCCAGTATAGAAGAGTAGGCCAAATACACCCTCTAGGGCGGGGGTGGGGGCACTATCGGATTTTCTATAGTGGTGGACCTTCCACCAGCAGTTGCGTGAGGAAGACATTTCAGGTCTGCACCTTTACCTTTGCCCTTTGAAAAGATAGCCAAGGGGAGCTAAGCCTCCGCATTCCTATGGGAGCCTTTTTCTCTGCACGGGAATTCTGGAGCAAATTTAATTCTACAGGAATGTGGCCGGTCGACCCGATGTCTCCACAGCAGCTCCACGCGCACACAGACACTCCCTGCGCAAGACACTCCTCACTCACGTCTATCGTACCTTTTGGTGTTTTTTTTCTTTATGTAAAAATATTTCTTCTGATTGTGTTACCAGAGTTGTGTCGAATGTGATTAAGTGCCCATTTGTAAATCGTCACAGGGGCTGAGAACAGCCTGCAGATGCAGATATCACATAACTATTTCCGAGACCATTTATCCACGCACTTGTGGTCTCACGGCCCGACACACTTGGCTAGGGAGAAATGCTAATTGGATGGCAGCCAAGTTAATATGTATATTTTTCTAAATCTCAGCGGTGGCGTTTAGCCAAACGAAGTTACAAACCGAACTTCACGCCGATGGGATTTTGGCAATGCAATTCGTAGCTTGGCTGACACCATTCACTCGCAAAACACTTGAGAACGCAGTTTAAACCCCAGTTTAAACCCCAGTTTAAACACCCCAGTTTAAACCCCAGTTTAAACCCCAGTTGGCTACAACTCAGGATATCGGTGGTGCCGGCTCAGCACTCGGCACCCTGAGCCAGGTGGTCTGCTCGCTACTCACTTCTTGATGACCTCCTCCATCTCCAGCTTGTGCCGCTCCATCTCGTTGAGAGAGTCCACGGTAGACCTGAGGTCCGACTCCAACTTACGTTTGGCTTTCTCGACCTCCACTCGAAGTTTCTTCTCCTGGTCAAGGAGATCTTCCAGCTGCACACGATGCAGTGATTAGCACGGTTGGTTATGTGCGGTGCGAAAGACGTCCAACGTACATACACGTCACGGTTTTCCATAGCTCCCTTTTAAAATGTAGACTATGAAATAGCGATCGAAGCGGAAGGGTCACGTAAATGAATGTGATATAATTAGTATATGCGTTGTAACTTCGGCTGCATAACACGTTCATGCAACATAAACGACTCAAAATCGCAAATACCTGACACAAATTTGAAACCGCAAAAAACACAAAGGTCTCTAAATTATAATGTTTTCTTTAATGGAATTAATCCGTTGGTGCTTAACGTGACGTATATCTTCACGTATTGTTTAATCCGTCTCATGCTGACCATATGCGGTTGTTTAAAATAGCAGTGCGAGAACATGGAGACCTCCGTAGCTTGTTAAGCACGACATATTTTACGTGCTTCATTTTATAAATAAATAAAAAATCCCTCTTGATATCAACACAGCGCAACATCGAATGAAAAGCCAGACCTTTGATCAAATATAAATTAAACTTTAACGAACCGTAAGCCACAAAAAGGCCTTGCCACAAGCAGCTACACCTGTAGAGTATACTCCCACATACCTTTCTCTGTCTATTGGCAAGTGAAACACACTGCTGTGTACATAGTTGGAAACTCAATATGTCCCATTAAAAAAAAGATCTTTGAATGGGGGAAAAAAAACGAGGTGAATTAATCCCTTCCACCGCTTGGGCACCATTACCACAATTATGCAGAGTGCATTACACGAGCAGACACAATAAAACAAACATTGACTGCGCGCTTGACATGAATAATGCATATGTTGCCAATGTAGCTGTGGGGGAAGAAGTTCAAACAGCAAAGGCGAGAGAGAGAGAGCGAGCGAGAGTATAGCCGAGGTATTCTTCATTTTACATGCAAAGCAAAACCGACGCAAGTGAGAAATTGTTTCTTGGGCAGAGGCCAGGGGCAACTGCTTTTAACTTCTACCACCTCAGCACTAGCCGCGTCCGGCTTTGCAAGGGCAGCTGGAGGCAAATTCAGTTCCAACATTCTAAGCAGTCATGGAGACTGGCGACGCAGTGGTTATCGCACCGCACTCTGAACCCCGGTGCCCGAGATTCCAATCCGAAATGAACCCAGCTGCCCTGAGATTCCAATCTACTATGAACTTTGCCGCCCTGAGATTTCAATCCAATATGAACGCTTCTGCTCCGAGATTCCAATCCACAATGAACCCTGCTGCCCTGAGATTCCAATCTACTATGAACCCATCTACCGCGAAACTCCAATCCACGATGAACCCAGCTGCTCCGAGATTCCAATCTACTATGAACGCTGCTGCCCTGAGATTCCAATTCACTATGAACCCAGCTGCCCTGAGATTCCAATCCACTGTGAACCCAGCTGCTCCGAGATTCCAATCTACTATGAACCCTGTTTCCCTGAGATTCCAATCCACTGTGAACCCAGCTGCCCTATGATTTCAATTCACTACGAACCCAGCTGCCCTGAGATTCCCGTTCGCAGATAACGTGAGTGGCGAGTGATGCCTGAACTGGTCCTAGGCTGCCCATTCACCGAACCACACTGACGTACGTGGCGAGGTCCTGTCAAGCAACCCCCCATGACCCACAGAGCATGATCGAGGCTTTCATCCAGCTGTGGATTGATAAAGGGCTATTAACGATTAATATTATTATTATATCGTCCTGTATAGTATCGGTGCAGCCCATACAGAAGTTCACTCAATAGCTGTACGATAGCCAGATTTCGCCACGTGTTCAGTGGTACTGTAAAAGATACATCGTTCTATTTTTTTTCTAAATATATGTTTGCGAGAATTCACTGAATGCATGGGTTCCTCAAGAGTTAGATCCTGAAGCGGAGTAATGCTGACAAAAATAACAGACCTCATTTCCCGAATTACCTGTCTCAATAACCCTCGAGAACCACTCCATTTATTTTACTCTGATTATAAAATAAATTCCCTGCCAATATGACTGTCATTACGCCTTTTCCAATGTTTCACAGTAAGACATTGTTAGTTATTCAGCTTTTCCAGCGATCAGTGAACAAGACAGGTGATAGACTGCAATGAATGTCATAATTCTGTAGCTCATCGTTCTTAGCGTGTTTCCACGCAACACAACATTTGAGGGATATTTTCTCACACAACACATCTATGGGATTTGTGCCACCATTTTAATTTGATAGAAGCGTGACTCGTGGCCTTATGATGCAATGAGAACAGCGGGAACATATTACAAATAGGAACGGCAGGTTGAAAACATCTATTCATAATAAAGGTTTTTGGGTTAGATCGCGTTTATTTATAAATGTGTCGTAACCCTCCACCACCCGACACGGCCAATCAGCAAAAAAAGGTGTCACGTTGACAAAAAGACAAATAATTCACTACTTTAGCCCACCGGTGTGTTGAAGAGCGAATCCACATTTACAGTTTGAGTACGACGTTTCGCTGTTAAATACAACCAGCATCATCGTCGGGCAACCCAAAAACCTTTTTTATGAATAATATTGGTCGCGAAAGCCTACATGAAAACATCTACACGGCAGGTGCAACGTGGCCCATTTGACATTAGTGTCTGTAAGCAGTTGTTCAAATTCAAGTTGCCCACTTTGAAAAATAAGAATAGGTTTTACCCTTTCTGGCAATAAAACAGGTGTTAAGATGTTCAAACACCGAATAGAAATACCCTTTGCAGCACAAGATGTAGTTTGACTTTAAAGTAATAATAGCCCAGTGTACGGACAGGTAATCACACAAGCAGGCAAGTATATCATACATACATGACAATGCTTGAGATGACTAAAAGTACAGCATTACGTTTTGCGGATTGTAGCTTACCTCGGCAATCTTATTCTGACTCTTGTTGTTGGATCGTTGTAAATGTGCTAACTTGTCCTGCTCAATCTGCAAGTCATCAAGTGTAGCCTGTGGGCGCAACAGTGACAAGGGCAGAAGGTGATGGAGTGGACATCTGTGAAAAAATAGCTTTAGAGCTCATCGGATTCCTCCAGGACAAATACATATTCTGATTATGACAATCAAATGGGACAGTTTGCAACATTGGTATTGGGCAGACTGTAATCTGCATTACCATATTAAAACGCACTCATTGTCAACATCATAATTCATATTTAACATTCCACTTTAACACTCACTGTCAAGATAATGTGGTCTCAGTTCAATTATACAGATAGGCGTTGTTCAGGTAATTCTCAGCTGAATTTAATATTCAAAATCAAGTCTTTTTAACGCTTTCCAACCCAAGGCTGCAAGCGTCAATTTATCTGTGTGCCCATTTTTTAATCTATAACAGGGCTTCACGATGACTGAATAGCGTACTTCTCGACATGCAACAAACTGGAAATTTGTCATGTGGGTACTTTCCAGACTGTACACCGTGCAAACATTATTAAAATACACTTTTTTTAGGGGGGGGGAGCTCAATAATGCATCAATTTTTTTCACGGCAAGTGAGCTGTGACGTCAAATCTGTCACGTGACCCTCGCATGTTGAAGCCGAACGCGTTGTAGTGTAGCGGTTAGCGCGCTGCGCTACGAACCCGGCGACACGAGTTCGATTCCCGCTCACGGCCACCACCGGTGACAATTATTTTAACCGGTCCTGGGCCTCCCCTAGGTCGACTCAGCCTCAAACTATGAGTAACTGCTGTGGTGTGTCAACATCGCCAATGGGGAGACAAAGGCGGCCGGTGTGGTGAATCCAAGTCCCGGGCGAAGCCGGGTAGTAAAGCTAGTTTAAGATAAAGTTGGGTTACTATATGGGACGTATCGTCCAGAAAACTGGCCAAATTGATCAAACTGTTGCCGATTGTTCAATTTGGTTGTTGTGTGGATCATCTGGTAACATTATTGATAATTACATATTGTTGAGGATAAATGCCTGTTGGAAAACATTTATAAACCCCATTATTATGCCTGGTTTTTATTAGTTTTTTTGTCATTACTGCAATAATGCATCTACATTTTTGACATTTTAAACAATTAATTACAAGTCAAATTCACAATACTTTTTTTAAAGTATTGTTACCTTTGTCTCAACACTTAAATTATATCTGGCAGGCGCAAATATACGAGAAGCGAAAGCACATAATTCATTTGACATGCTCCTGTCCAATTTACCAAATGCATCTCTTATTATGCTTGCATCAGTTTTAACACAAATCTCTCCACCGATTTCCTACGAAAAAACTTGATAAATAAATCCTAGGTTGAAATTGTAACGTGAAATGCCAATGTCTCAATTCTAGTGTCACAAGACAGAGCCTGTTGAACTTGGTATCCACTCTATTAATATTACGACTATAAAACACTTCCAATATAGATTTTGTTTTTGGTTTAGACCACGTAAATATAAATGTGTCGTTAAATCTGCCACCAACCCGACACAGCCAATTATTAAGGTTTGTCACGTAGACAAAACGTGGCAATTAATTACTATTCTTGGTTCTTTCGGTAAAGTCACGTAGAAGGGAAACAATAAAATAATAAAAATATAAAACAATAAAATTATCACGACGTTTCGACTGCAACACAAGCAATCATCATCAGGTGTGTAAACCACAGCAAGAAAATTGCTGTGGTTTTATATTTTTATTATTTTATTGTTTCCCTTCTACGTGACTTTACCGAAAGAACCAAGAATATGAATCCCTGCAGTCACGAAAGCTTTAAATCAAGAATTAATTACTAGTTCAGCACACCGGTGTGTTGGAGAGTAAACCTACAACATCTCCAATTTGAGCACGACGTTCTGCTGGTGATTATAACCAGCATCACCAGGCGACAGCCAAAGTGTGGCGGGTGGTGGCGGGCTTAACGACACGTTTATATTTACACGATCTAACGAAGAAAACCTCTGTTATGGATAATATTGGTCGCGAAAGCCGACTACGTGTTAAACATTAATACGTTTTGATTTAAAGCATTCGTGACTGCAGTAATTCATATTCTTGGTTCTTTCGTTAAAGTCACGTTGAAGGGAAACAATAAAATAATAAAATATATAAAACAAGAAAATTCTCACGACGTTTCGACTGCAACACAAGCAGTCATCATCAGGTGTGAAAACGTCGTGAGAATTTTATTGTTTTTTATATATGTTATTAATTTATTGTTTCCCTTCAACGTGACTTTACCGAAAGAACCAAGAATATTATTACGCTTGTTCACCCTGGAAAGCCTCACTGAGTTTTCGGAAGGGTCCTGCCAAGTTTTTTTGCAGTAGAGGGTGATATTGCTGCTGCTGCTTTGCATAATCCAAATTGATACATTTGCACGTGATTTATCAGCATTGGGATCCTTGGCCAATACCGGTTACAATGTGCATGGTATTGTTCTTACTGTGAGAGGAACCCAGAAATCAGTGCAGAACAGGGGGGAGAGAGAACAGACAAACTCCACGGAGAAAATCGCCCTAGTTGGGATCGAACCCGGACGCTTCTTGCTATGAGTAACAAGTGTCACCACTGTGCCACCCTGCCCGATGACTCAGTCAGCTGATGCGCATGCTGCGTAGAGGACTGCGATGTTTTGGGTGGTTGGATAGCCGCACCTGATTGGCCTCCTCGAGTTGTTTCTTCTCCTTCTGGAGCTTCACAATCGTCTCGTCTCTCAGGTTCACCTCCTCGGTCTGCGTGCGAACCTTGTTCTCCAGAGCCTATGGGTCGGCGGCACAATCATCCATGTCCAACACAGACACCACACACACACTGCGCTTGTACAAGCAAGCCGCGGAAGGGACGGCTTAAATAAACACGCGATGGTTGTTAGTTTGCCTTATGCGTAATGTATTGTGTGTACTCTACCGGTGAGCTGTGTGGTGAGTGTGGTTATGCCTATGCGCCAGTGTGTGAATGCAGTCTACCTTACAAAATACGTAGACACCTTGAAGGAGACAAAAGGGATGTGTGGGGAGACGGCTGAATATTTTACCACTGTTGCTGTTTGCTACATCTCGTATCGGCATACTTTGCTCACCAAGAGCGCCCCGGCGAGCGACGTTTTTATTCTTCTTCAAACATTCCCACGAGTAGAGACAGTCGACATTGTATTGGCGAGGGAAGTTCCCGTGACTTTGTCATCACAGTGGCCTCTGCTCAAACTCGGCTCACACCTCTCTCTCATTCTAAACAAGAACTGCTTCCTACCGGCACACGTTCACTCCCCCCCCCACCTATCTCCCCCACCGATGATGAAAATTGTGCGAAACGACGATGTCTTCTCTTTGAAATTAATCTCACCTGCACATTTATTTTTTTCGCCCACGGAATGGGGGGGTGGAGGGCGAGGGAGGGGTCAGTGGGTTTGGACAGCTTCAAGGAATTCGATCTTTACGAATTGTCTCACGGTACAGTGCGGGAGCAACAACAGCAAAAAAGCCGCGTAACAGATACGGGCTTGGAATTCTTTGGGGGTCTTTTTTTGCGCTCCGATGAAAAAAAAATCACGAACATGGTGGTTTTTGAAGCTCTGGCCATGGAAACATGGCCAAGTGAAACTTGGCAGACAGGCGCATGCTGCTGCTACGGCTGTTGCAGGACGCGTAACCTCGTCCTGTCTTGAACAGGACTCGGTAGCGATGTGCTTGATTATGATAAATGTTCTGCCTCACAAGTTGTTGCGCACTTTTACACACCTCACTAAAGAGGCGTACCCAGCTCAGCGTGCGTTGTCTTTATTCATTGCCAGCCAAGTGTCTTCTTCTTCTTCATCTTTCAAAACTTGATGCTCGTGGCAAGTCTTGAAGCAACGATACGAGGTCTGAGCCATGGTGGCATCGCATCGACGCGGCGTCCAAGCTATTACTTGGGAAGGCTGGCAGTAAATCCCAAATGAATTCACGAAGTGGAAATGCTGATGCAGCGTCTTTGCAAGCGCCAAAAACGCGTTAATCAATTTCAATTGATTATCCTAAACGTCAAGATTTAACCTATGAGATATGAATGATGCTACGATGTTTACATATCGATGGTTCACTAATCTCCATTGACCGTGCTCAAGCAAGAAAATGACCCGACATCTTCCCGTGTCCAGAACAGACAGGATGTGGCCAGCGTCTCTTGATTGACAGGACAGAGAGAGGGAGGGTGGGGCCCTCTCAGGTGACAACAAGAGAGGAGGAGGAGGGCTCCCTGGTTGGAACAACAACAACGACAACAACAACAACAACAACGACAACAACACCGACGACAACACCGACGACGACAACAACGACGACGTGTATAACCTCGGTCTCACCTTCTTCTCCTTCTCAAGTTTGGCCACAGAGCCCTCCAGACTCTCAACCTCGATCTTGAGGTCCTGCACCTCGTTCTCGAGCCTGCGGCGCCTGCCGGTCAGCTCGGTCGTCGTCCTCTCCTCGTCCTCGAGGCGCGCGTTGAGCTCCGCCACTCTGCCCTCCAGCTCCTTGCGCTGCCGGTCCAGGGAGGTCACCCGGCCCTGGGCGTCCCCCTTCTTTCCGCGCTCCTGCGACACCGCGACACAACACGCGCATCGCAAGCCAGATCAATGCTGCCCTCCTTCCGTCCGTCCTCTCCAACCAGACTTGGATAAAACGTTCAAATAATTCGCGTGTGTATACGTGATGTGGTTTGGAGGTTATGCGAGGGCAATTGTTTTTTTTTACGCGGCTGAATTCTATGGCGATTAATAAGATCTCACGTTTTATCCTATATTTACACTCTTAAACAAAAGAGGCTTGCAAGCATGCGCTTTGCCGCGTTATTTGAAGAAAAAAATACAACGGGTTTTGGAAGAGTGGAAATCCATACGAGCCAGTCGAATCTTTTACTCAGCCAACGCACTCTCAATTTGAAAGCTTAATCATGGCCCTCCCGAGCAAGGAATCATTTTGACCTTAAAAGCACGGCCCCTTTAAAGCTGTTATAAAACTGTGAATGGGGCAGGCAGGAAGCTCGTTAATGTGTACGGACGAGGGAGCTCTCATCAAGCCAAGACGGGCGTCACATACTTCCGCAGCCTCTGCCGATAGAATCAGCTCCTCCAGCCTCACAGAATAGTCATCCCAGTCCAGCTCAGCCTCCGACTCGGACTCCCAGCCAGGACCCAGAGACTTCTCTGATAACGACAGGGACCGCTTCCTTCCTGCCTGCATCATTTCATCCCCCACTGGTCTATGTTGCTTTTTCTCTTGTTTCACCCCCACCTTGCCCGCGTCTGCCCTCTGACCTCCCCGCCCACGACACACACACACAAAATAATTATTACACGTGTAATTTATTCCAAACAGAAAAAAATAAATGCACACTATCACTTGCCCCCCCCCTCCTCCTCCTCCTCGCTACCCCTCTCTACACAGAGCAACGTGAAGCTCAGGACACTCGTTCAGTCAAGCGACTCCCAAAGCCGCTGGGCTGGCAGTGGAGGGGGTGGTCGACCCGCGCTTGTCTGCCTCTCGACTTCTCCGAGTTTCCCAGGTGACTCGCTCGCTCTGCCCCCAAACAACTCCCACCACCCCCCTCCACAGCAGCAGCAGCAGCAAACCCCTCCACGACCGCCGCCCGCCCTGCCACGCGCCGCGCCGATGGGCAACTCCACCCAATCAAGGATAATCAAGGATAATTAAGGATAATTAAGAGTTTTCGCGCATTATTTCATTGGAGGAGCAGCAGCAACTTTGATCTTGTTTGAGGCTGGGTATGGGAGTACGGGGTGGTGCGGCTTTGCATCACGCGTTCACTAAGTGCCGCTTTAAATTATTACGCACCGCATCTTTGGGGTTTGCAAATACAAAATATTTTAAAGGATTGTTTTACATTTACATTTTTTTTCGTATGAGAATTGTACCTCTAAACGAGCACCACAACTAATGTACTGCATCTCGCAGCCGTAACTAATTTTCGAAACGTCACCCCACCGAAACCGTCGCAAAAACATCATTGTCCAATTTTTAGTTTAGCTTTAAAGCAAACAGCACAATTAAGGCAACGACTTACTTGAACTAGGAAGCGAGGATGTTTAAACACTTTCCTCGGCTCGTTGTGTTCTATAAATGGTGACAAGCACTCGGCTTCTCTGCCCTGAGAGCTGCCTTCACGGGCGTCTAAGTAAACTCAAACGAACGCAAAACCGAAACGCAACACCGACTTAATAAAGCCGGTTGGTCTCGATGGCGTTGGAAGGAGAGGCAGGCAGGCGCGAGGGTGGGTGGCTGGGTGGGTTGGGGGAGTTGGATAAGGGAGCTTCAGGTTTGGTGGACAAGGAGCAGCAAGCCAGATGCCATTGGCCATCTCCTTGGTCGCGGCTTTCACAAGGCACCTCGCTAGAAGAAGAAGCCCCATCCCATTGGATGCTTCCGACGCTGCGACTCCACCCCAGCGCCAGGCGAAGGCTGCCCTGGCTTGCTGAACACAACAACCCTAACAGCGCCATGACCCCTCCACCCCTCACTGCCCCCTTGTTCAAGGTGCACCTTTTGTCAACGTTTTTATTGATACATCACAAATCAGGCTGGGTGGATTAATAACAACGCAGGGTCGTGAGAGGCAGTGGATTGACCGTGGCAGATTATTATTGTTATGGTGGGGGGTATTTAATGGGCGCTCTATTTTTCTGTCCCAACACCAAATAGATTACCCTTTTGCAAGGCATCAAGTCTGCATTAACCACACAGTACCTGTGGCAAAACATGCAAACAAACGCGCTCTGATGATACTATAGGCATTGTCTTTGAAACTGATGTGCCTACACCGGAGACTTCATGGCCTTGTCTGAGCAGTGTTATATCAGCGAATGCCCAAAAGGCGAATGGTACAAATACAATGTAAGTATGAGAACACTTATAACTCGTGTCGAGCAGTTTATATCTGAATAAGAATAGGTAAAACCTAAGAACAGGTAAAACCTATTCTTATTTTAATACAAAATATTTGATTAATAAGGACAGGTAAAAAGAATAGGTAAAAACTATTATTTTTCATCATCTTGTAAACTGCCAAAATGTCCCATATATATATTTTTTTATGTTTCTTCTGACTTTGGTTAATCATGAAACAATTGTTGTAGGATCTACACGAAAGCATGTAAGGAGGCTTCTGCTTGCCCCATGTGAATTTTCACGGTTTCCACATGTCACCAAGAGTCTTATCCAGTTTACAATTCATATCTGTTACGCAAAAGGGGGATCTCTTATCAAACATCATTCACGTGGCATTCCTTGGCAGCCAAAAGATGGGGCATGCGAATTCGAGCGACCGACGGCAGATCGCATCGGACTCACCCAGACTTTAGACAGATAGCCATCCTTCTGCACTGCCATTCCCCTCCAAATCATTTCTCAATAACAACATGCCAGTGGCTTTACATCTTTTTAATGTATGACATCGCCAGGGGAAATGTGATTCCGCAAGTGAAGGTGTCCTGGACATTTACTGTAATGTTGGAGAATACCTGTGATTAATGAGTTAAAAGAGTGAATTTAGATTGCCAGTTTAATATTTAAAATACCGTTATTTCCAAAACTATAACTTTTATTACCTAATTCCATTGAAGGATGCAACAAAAATTAACCTTGACATTGAAAAAAAAGTGAACTGTAGAGGAATAGGACAATGCAACTGATAACAAGAACTCCTTCATCTTAAAACTAATTCTCTTTAACTCCTGGGATGATTTCCTGTCAATAAAAGCTACCGTGAAATGTGACAATTTAGAACTAGATGCATAAACAATAATGTCGAGTGAAAAAAAAACGTGTTTAATATGTGTCAGCATGCACAAATGCTTACACTCCAACATGAAACACATAATTCCACATTTTTTGGAAAAAACAAAGCCCAGCTACCTTAAGTAATTTAAATCGACACCTAAATTACTACGTGGAGAAAGTGTGATTTGAAATATGTTCGCGTGCAGGTAATCCTTCAGCCAACGAGATATTAACGTCCGTACGGACCGTGACGGAGATGAGACCACACAGACGCTGAGGAATGTTTCGAAAAACATTCCGGCCTCACACACACACACACACAGAAAAAAATGAATGAAAGCTCTTCTCATCGCTTTTCTGTCCCGGGTCCATCACACAGTGCGCGCTGCACGCACGGCTTGCAGGAGCATGCATGGGTCGTCTGATAGTCTCGGAGCGGAGAGCGCGAACGAGAATCCAGCGCCGATCGCCGCACGCAATACCGAAGTGCACAATGCTTGCAATGCAAACACTGGCACGCATTGAGTGTGTGCGCACATGCAAATGTAAACATGCACTCGATTCACACGTCCACACCTAAGAATTCTATAGTGCTGGATGAATTTGCAAATGACACTTTGAACGATGCTTTTAATTATTTGGAGATCATTGACAACACGCTGCTGCCGTGGGTGTAGTGGTTAGCACACTGGGGTTGCCAATACAGAGTTTGCTGGTATGATCATCTCCTGGCGTAGCAGTTAAAACAATCGGAACATTTCTTAAATCTCCCCACCCCTCGATGCACCCAGCAGCAGAAATGGGTACGCCACTGTTCGTCTCCATTTCTCATAATACTTTACAGGTTTTGTTCCAATATTTGGTTTCCAAGGGGCACAAGGTCCTGCCCTCGATGAACGTACGTATGTTGAACTTCTTTCGCACCGTACGTAGGCAACTGTGCTAATCTGAGGTGCGGAGAAGGACCACAAACTGAACACAAAAAGCAGTTGATTAGGAAGCCACTGGAGCTACGCACTGTTAATTCTAGATTACAAACTAATTCCTTTAGAGCTGCTTTTCGTGTTTAGTTTGTTGTCCTTCCACCGCACGTCTGATGTGCACGGTTGGCTACGTACGGTACGAAAGAAGTTCAACATACGTGCACGTACATATGGCCTTCCCTCATGCCACCGTGGATTTGCATTCACGGCCGGACGGTCGATGAACTCACAGCGTCGAGCTGCTCCTGCAGGGCATTGCGCTCGGTCTCCAAAGTGGCCACCCTCTCTGTGAGCTCCTTTAGATCCTCCACCATCTTCTCCGCGTCCTGCAGGGCTCTCTTCATCTCCTCCTCCTTCTTCTTGCGTTCTTCTTCCTCCTTCAATTGGATGCACATCGGTCTCACCTGCCAAGTCACGACAGCCACACTTTAACATTGTTCTGCAGCAATTCGCTTCAAGCCCAACACAAATTATTTTTCCGAAGTTATTTACGATGCTGAAAACCATTTAAAACACCTTAATGAACACCGAAAAATGTAAAACAATTTTTTTGAATTCCTGTGATATTCTTCTACACAAGACCATGAATACAGGGAGTCGAACACTAAACTGGGACTGTCTGGCACATGACACTTCTGCACATCATTGTTACACTGCTAATAACAAGTCAACACTGCTTCGCATTCTGTTACATTTTTTAGCTTGTAGGAGTGCGATAATTTAAACAAGAATTAATACGAACGCCATTTGAAAGCGGGACGCGGGAATATGCACCCATGTTGTTTTGAGGAGACACGGTATATATGACATCAGATTCTAAGATACAAAAACCTACACACATCTGATGGTGAGTCCCCAAAAATTGGGGTCGGTGGGGGCTAGTTATTTAATTATTAATGGGTTTCAATTGTGCTGATTTCAAATATCAAAACTACATTTTCGCTGGTGCTTTTGGCGAAAAACGACAGTGGAAACTAAGGCCAATAGTTAGCAGGAAACACCCCCGTTACCAGTTACTGACACTCCACTATAGCCTTTCATTTTATTTAACATACACTTAAAAAAAAATGTTATGCCTTTAACCGATAACATTTATGCACATATTAATGATACGTACTTGAACAATTCTGTAACATTTTTTATGGACGTCTGCTGTGAAAACAGCCCAAATTGCATCACATTGGAGGACGCACAAGTCCACCGTGGCGAACAAAGAATCGACGGGGAATTACACGGTCGAAATGTTGCAAAACAGGCAATGACATTTTGAAGAGGCATCCGCGAGGTGAAGAAAGCTAACGTTGTGAGCGAGAATAGACCCCGAAGCGTGAGGTACACTTTTGAGAAGTGGGCAATCTACCGATGTGAGAGAGTTGAAGTAGTTTTGACACACGAGAGGGAGAGAGAGAGAGAAAAAAATCAGCACACTTGGGCCAACATGCGTACAATCGCCATCACTTCAAATTAAGGTAATTTTTTTTATTTTATTCGCGGGCTGAACTGCTCAATGCGCACATCACAATTATAATCCGAGCGCTGCCCTTTTGGCAGAGAGACGCAGCGAAAGGCAGTGTGATGAAACATTTGTGTAAATTATATTTGTGCGGGGGCTATGTGAGTGCCAGCTGACATTGAGCGAGATTGGCGAACTGGAACAGTGTGGGGGGGGGGGGTGGGGAGGAAAAAAACCGCGAGGTTTAGTCGTTACGTACTTGAGCCAGGTGCTTCACTTGCACACTAACGATGGGGTTTTCCTGCTGGAAATCCGTGTAAAACATGAACACTCTCTTGTCCATCCCACCCGTGGCGCCGAGAGGCCGCGTCAAATCCCCGCGCTCCTTCGGACCCGCTCGGGCGGTCGACGTTTTTAGGCGCGGGCGTTCGTGCGCCCGCCCGCGCGTGCCCGTGAGTGCGTGCCCGTGAGTGCGTGCCGGGGCGTGCGTGCCGGGGCGTGCGTGCGTGCGTGCGTGGAGGGGGGTGTTTTTTTTTTGGGTTACGCCACGAGGGGAGGGCTTTGTGGAGCTCGCACGCCCGTGAGAGGCGTCGATGACTGAGAAGCTCAAACCTGCCGTCCCGAGAGAGAGAGAGGCAGAGAGGAGTGCCGCCCGGTCCGGTTTAAGCACGGGCAAATTGGTGGCGCTGCGGGTGCGCTCAGGAATGATGTCAGTAGGTGACCGCTTCACCGAGGGAGCGAGCGGTGGTGTAGCCGGTTCGTGCTTCCGGCGACCCAAATTCGATTCCCACTCACGGTCAACGACGGTGACGAATATCTGAAACCGGCTCCTAGGCCCTCCCCCTAGGTCGACTCAGCCTCAAATGAATACTTGCTGCGGTGTGTAAACAGCACCACTGGGGAGAGAAAGGCGGCCCAGTCGTGGTGCTGGCCACCCACCCCCTCGAGTGCTGTTCCGGCCTTCGTAGGTGCCCACTAAGAGCACTTGCCCCAACAGTATGTTAAGGCTATACGGGGGATCTTTGTCTTTTGCTGCTGAGCAAACACGGAGTTCTTTGCTTTTGGCCGAGGGCCATTTTGCACCCGACAGGTCTATTGCAGAAGTACATTCGTTCGCAGCAATTGTGTGAGCCCTTTGTTGCATTGTCATGTCACTTCTTCTCTCTTCTTTTAGAGTTCCCCTTTTCAGAGGCTGTACGGAAGGAGGCGATGGAGCAGTGTGGGTGGGTGGTAGAGGTTAACTAGCTGTGCCACGCGGAACCTGACGACCTGAGCTCGATTCACATCGGTGGCGAGTGGTACCACGAATGGTCCTGCCCTCCGACCTCACCCGTTTCGCCAAACCCGCAATTACCAGCGTGGCGAAGTATGGTCAAACAAGACCCCCTAACTGACATGATGTGGGCAAGTGTTCATCAGTTGATGGATTGAGCATGGGTGGAATTATGACTATATATTTTTTTGCTATATGCAGAGCCTTCCAAACATATGTTAGTACAGGCTGGAAGGCTTGTTTAAATTCCCAACACGAGTTTTGTTTTTCTCTGGCAAATATTTGATTTCCAATGGAACCGTCACGGTTCAGTAGCATGTGAAATAATATTTCTATCTGCATACATCAATGAGAGGATGGGAAAATAAAAATTCAAAATGCTATCTGCCTAGACAAATTGTTGTGTTACCGCTGCACGTTGATAAATGCATTGTTGGGAATGCACGCACATACGCAGTCCCATCTTCAGACTGCGCAGCGGATGTCTTTGCAAATGCCTGATCAGTTAAACATCTGCGGTTGCCTGCTCATACGCCTATACGTTATTATTCCTTTACTTAAGTCGTATATACACAGCACTGTATATATATACGTCAAGGTATATATGAAATAGTGTGCGCGTGTTGTTGAGAGGGCGCTTCTACATTGGCCACGCCAGTTGCTATAAATTCCCGTAACGTTGAAGGGAAATGCATCTATGATCACATTGTGAATCCTAAACACCTGAAGGGAGTGCCGTGACCTACACGTGGCTGGTAGGCAAACGACAGTGGCAGGAAAGAGCACTACCTTCGTGTAGAGTCGGAACCAGGGCCAGTGACGCAGCTGAAGGAAGCTTCGAACGTTGGACTGAATAATCACCATGGCATCCCTGTTTGAGAGAACGCACGCACGCACGCACGAAACCCCCCACACCCCCTCCAAATAAAACTCCAGATTTCATTGGGCTTCATAAAAGGTATGACGGCAGTGCAACGTATCGTAGCCATTTCTCTCAATCCATTGTTGAAGGCAGGCCTCGCTACTCCATCAGTTTAGTTTGAGCGTGTTTACAAACGCACTCATGAGGGAACACTCTTCTAGGACTGAAGAGCCTACACCAACAGCTGCCAATATATACACACACACACACAGTAATAGGTAAATAATACTCGAGTATATGAAAAACTCATTAGAAATTGTGTTCACGGGAATCAATAATTTTGCAATTTGTATATTTCTGCAAATTGCTCAGGTGCTGTCGAGTATTTTCTTCCAGTTTTTTGTTTTGGTAACCTTTAGATTTCAACTCCACACCAGCATTTTGCGAGCGACGCATTTTAATGTCTCGTGCCTGTCCCCACGTGCCGCTCCGCACAGCAGAAGCATCCACTTGTAAAGCCAAAGGCCCCCCCCCCCCCACCCCCCCGCTTTACTTTTCTTTCGTAAACTCAGCGGTGTACTTAGGCCGGCGAGCTTCAAAGCCGGGGGTTTAACGTTATCTGGGGCAAAACCCATGCCCAAACATTCCCACGGCTCAACCGCCGGGCAGCCCGTCCATGCTACTGCACTCGCTATCGGGGGCAGGCATCAAGGTCCCCCCCCCACCCCCCCCCCCCCCCCCCCGTGAAACTCAATCGCACGGTAAAACCAGATAATAGGACGAGACCCGCCTTTGACCTCCTTTCGCGAGCGCGAAGGAGCCAAGCTGGTGTCGCGATGTGACGATGAGCCCCGCTCTCTAATGGCCGACCGTGCCGACAGCAGAAGCGCACAACCCGATTTGGGGTCGTGTAAACATAATTAACCCATTGATTTCCCTCGATTTTGTAACCGCTGGAGTCACAAAATATCGGCGCGCTATCACGTTACTGTGTCATCACGCGAATGTTCAAACGTTAAATGTGGAATTTGTGGCCGGCTTCGTACAACTGGTGCCGTAATTGGGCAATTTATAACGATGTGACACTGAGAAGCAGCTATATCTGTGCCATTTTAGTTCAATATGTCCTCGTTACACTGTAAAGTTTGCCTGGATCTTGATGATTGCATTCTCTGGCCATGGACGCTTATCGACTGATATTAAAACCTAACATTAAAACCTAAGCAAAGGCTTGGATGATGATCATGTGTACCAGTATCTAAAACAACACTTACATTTTATTGAGAGAAAAAAAAACCCTGCAACATTTACATTTTAATAAGTTACTCAGAGCTCACAATCTGTTTTTAAGGCCAACCAAAGCGACGTATAAAAAAAGGAAAAGTATAATTCTGATCATAAGTCAATTAATATTTCATGCCTTTAGTTAAATGCATGCAGCAAAATAAATAAGCGGAAACGGTCCTTAAATAATGGATGTCGCCAAAGAGGCATTCCGACAACCATTCCCGAGATGCCGGAGACCCTTAATAATACATGGAAATGGCAGGGAATCAACTCACCTCTTGTCCAGGACCTTCTGGAAGTCACGGCGGAAAACTTTGCCGCGGCAAGAGGCCTGCAGCTTGGTGATGAAGCGGCAGATGCAGTCATCGCGGAAGTCTTCCAGTTTGCCGAGAACGCCGGCCCTGAAAAACACCTGCACGGGGAGAGCCGGGGGCGCATAGGGATGCAAATGGCGCAAGTTCGATTACCCCTGAAGATTTCTTTAAATCTTTGAATAGAAATATATAATTATGGAACAAAACTGAAACGTGCAACAACAAAAAAGCAAAACGTGGAGAGGCTCACGCTTGGAATTTACGTTTAAGGACAGAACGAGGAACACACGGATTAGAGAACATGGGTCGGTAATTGACAATTGTTTAAACTGTTGGGAAAAGTAACTGGGACTGGGGAAGGTCACTTCGCTGTAAGGGATGAATCATGGCCGATGGTCAAGAATAATGAAACGTGTCCTAGAGGACACCTGCCGAGGAAATAGAGTGATGAAATCAGACATAAAGCTTTCGTTACTGCAGGAATACATATTCTATGGGTCGTTCGGTAAAGCCACGTAGATAGAAAAAGAATACAAATATCACGACGTTTCGATCGCAACACAAGCAATCGTCTTCATGAAATCAGCTTTGTGTACAGGTGGACGATTACATTGTGGGATCATCAGAGATGGTGACAGCTTCGGGAGTCCTTCATACAGCAGTGGATTGATCATATATGATGATGATAATTAAATGAAGTACCAATATGACTTCATAAACTATTCTCTTTGGGTGGGTTCCCCATTTTAAATCAATCAGTATGAATAAATAAGCCACTACCCGATTATGCAAAAAATAATCACAACGCCACATAAATAAATACAGGCAATTTTATTTTCACTTGCACCACGGCAAAAAACATTCGTACGATATTTATTTATTTTGCTCCACGCAAAATCAACAAATATTAATTTTTCATTGGAATATTCTTTTGTTCCAGGGCAACGGTGGCGCTGAAAGCACATGCACGAATCGGTCCCCCGTTCCTTCCTGCAGCACTTTGCATCTCTCTCACCTTTGTGAAGCCAATCCTGTACTCATCCTCCACAAGATTTGTGGATTTCAAAACCTTCTCTGTGATGGCCTTAGGATCAGTCTCCGTCTTTCCAGCAAGTAGGTTAATGATTGAGTAACTAAGAGATAAAGAAAACGCACGGTGATATTATTCCTTCCAAAAAAAACACGTTTTTAAAAAATCTAAATGCGTCATTAATCTGGAACTACATAAACACTTCTTGACGGAAAATCTACCAACTACACATTGCGATACAGCATATACACAGACGTATTTTTATTTCTAAACAGTATGCACACACATGTAAACATATCAACACTTCATAATAAAGGTTTTTGGGTTAGATCGCGTTTATTTATAAATGTGTCGTAACCCTCCACCACCCGACACGGCCAATCAGCAAAAAAAAAGTGTCACGTTGACAAAAGACAAATAATTCACTACTTTAGCCCACCGGTGTGTTGAAGAGTGAATCCACATTTACAGTTTGAGTACGACGTTTCGCTGGTAAATACATCCAGCATCATCGGGCAATTCGCCAGAATGGTAAAGCACTTGCTTGCTCCCGGTTTTATATATATATATTATATATAATATATAATACTCAAACTGTAAATGTGGATTCACTCTTCAACACACCGGTGGGCTAAAGTAGTGAATTATTTGTCTTTTGTCAACGTGACACTTTTTTTTTGCTGATTGGCCGTGTCGGGTGGTGGAGGGTTACGACACATTTATAAATAAACGCGATCTAACCCAAAAACCTTTATTATGAATAATATTGGTCGCGAAAACCTACGTGTTAAATATCAACACTTGTTTGATAACTTGGTAATACAAGTCCACAAAGACTGAATGTTCTATCTTTAAACATAGCAATCACAAACATAAATGCGTTTTGTATATATCATTGTATAGGTGATAACGCCCCGTAAATACGACAACATTATGCACAAATCACCCAACCCTGTCCGATCTCGGAAGCTCAGCAGATTTTGAGCCTGGATAGTGCTTGGACGGGTCGCCAGCATGTGTATAACACACGTGAGCAGTAGAGGGCAGTGAAGCAAAATCCACTGCTGTTCTGTACCCCCCCCTCCCACCCACCCTCCCACCCTGACCATCTCGCACTGACCAGCGTGGTGAAGCATGGTCACATATCGCCCATGGCATGGAGAGCATGGGGAGGCCGTCTATACAGCGGTGGATTGACAAAACAGGATGTGCATGTGGAATGATAGCACCCAGGGACAGAGCCTCAGATACATCTAGAGTAACTTTGCTGTTGCTTCTTAAACAAAATATTTTGACAGTCGCTTATATAAATTGACTTCAGGTGTGTGCCGTATTTGGAGGATCTTGACTCGCTCAGCTTTCAAGACCGGCGCATGACTTAACTCATCATGCCTACAGAGTCAATACAATAAGTACAGGTATTGCTGTAGTTTGGGATAAGTTAACAGATGCCACGCTATGAAAAGACTTGCCCCCCAGCAAGGAAATGTGGATTTTTTGTGACTCACTCAGGGCCACTAACACATGCGGATTTGCATTTAAGTATGCATTCAAATGTCTCACCAACTCAAGGCGCCTTATCACATCTCATCTCGACCATGCCCTCCTGCAGTATGGCCAAGGAGACTCCGAATGGCAGATCTCCCTATGTGACACAAGATGTCCTTGCAAATGGGCCTTGGTTTAGCAGTGGGGGGCAATGTTACTATGCTGTTTTTTTCCCCAATTAAGTAATATTCGAATCTATTTTCATATTAAGTATTTTTTTGTAATTTTGCCAAGTTGAACTATGACACTGGCACATATAGCCTACTTTAAAAAAAAAATTATAGAGAACGCCATGAGGTCTTTGACGTTCACCATGAAGCAGAATGCAAGTATTCATAGTAAATTCCTCCATGGTGTTACCCAGGGTGGCCCGCTGGGCTCGAACAGCAACGTTGCAACAAGTGGCGAACGTGCTTTAACGTCTCGGCCATCTCACCGCCCCTGAGCAGATGCGTGCAATTGTGATTTTCTGGCTGGAACGGGATGGGTGTTTAGGCTCACCGCTGCACAAACTCGGGGTAGAGAGTTCTGTTGGGGAAGCCTTTGCGACAGATACGGATGCCCTCCAGCACACCGTTGCAGGCCAGCTGGTGCAGGATGAGGTGAGCGTCCACCACGCCTGTGTGAAGGTCAGGCCAGAGGCCGTTAGTTCACACAGCAAGAACACAGAGGCGACGGGGCCCCTGTGTGGGGGCTGCACGTCGCATTCACGCAAACCTCCGCGTAAAAAGAGAGTGCGACTTCAAGGAATGCAGCCGCCACACACGCCTGTCTCTGCAGGACGGCATTAGGATTTCGACGAACCTTACTTTACTAGAATGGAAATTATAATTGCCCACAAGCCTCAAATTATGTGATGGACATCTTAAGCCAAGCTCAATTCCATGTGCATGGTTTTAAAATAAATCTGGAAACGTTGAAATATTTCCGTGGCTGAAAACAGAGATCTGCTTGTGTGTTATACTCGTGTGTACAGTATGTATGCACTAGAAGTGTGTGGTTAAACTGATTTCAATTCCAAATTGGAATTTAAGATTTTTTATCGGCTTATTTTGCTCCTAGTAGTTGTGTTTAGTTGCATCATTTTACAGATAGTGTTTATTTTTAGGAAATAAAAATTGCCAATTTGTGCAAAAGCAATATCGCTCTTAGTTTACAAGTGCTGCAATGTGACTGGATGGTTACAGCCTCGGACATCTGGTGTGCCCAGAACATTTTACACATGTGAATGGCAGGATGACATTAACTGTCAACTTCTGGATTAATTGCTTATTCCAGGTTTTTTTTTATTGACCCTCCATTCACTTGTTATACGGTGAGAATAATTCACTCGCAATGACTTGAAAATAAAGAACATTTGCATAAATCATGATGCATTTCAGCACTTAAGAATAATTGTTGTTGTTTTCATGTAACCTTGAAAAACGGAATGTCTCAAGACCTGGATGGGTCTGGGGTGGCTAAAGAGGTCCCTCCTCTCCCTCCCTCACCCCCTCCCTCCCCTCCCCTTCCCTGCCTCCTTCCCTCCCCTCCCTCCCTCCTTCCCTTCCCCTGCCTCCCTCCCTCCCCTCCCTCCCTCCACTTCCTCCCTCCCCTGCCTCCCTCCTTCCCCTCCCCTGCCTCCCTCCCCTCCCTCCCCTGCCTCCCTCCTTCCCCTCCCCTGCCTCTCTCCCTCCCCTCCCTCCCTCCAAATCCTCCCTGCCTCCCTCCCTCCTTCCCCTCCCCTGACTTCCTCCCTCTCCTCCCTCCCTCCACTTCCTCCCTCCCCTGCCTCCCTCCCTCCCCTCCCAAGGACCAGCTTCCTTCAGCTGCGTCACTGGCCCTGGTTCCGAATCTACATGAAGGATCCGCTGTCTTGCCACTGCTATTTGCCTACCGGCCAGTGTAGTTAACGCAATCCCTTGAAGAGCTGGAGCATAATGCACGATAGGCAAATGCAGATCGTATCGTTTTCGATCCGTTTCTCATTTGTTTCCAGTTTGTTTACGTATATATGTTGAACTTATTTCGCACCGTACGTGCCAACCGTGCTGACTGTGTCGTGTACTCCCCACCACCCACCCCTGGGTTTTTGTATACCCCCACCCCACCCCCCCCCTTTAAACAAGGTCACGCCACATGGTTGGTCAATACTTGTTCAGGCGTGTTGGATATTTTAACGAGAATGTTTGCATGTGGGGAACAAAACAGCGCACGGATAGCTTAGGTTAAGTGTATTTTGTTGAACCAGTTGAGAAATCAAGAGTTCAGGATGAGTCTCGTTTGCAAGAGTGAGCTCGTGCATGAGTCTGCCATTATGTGGCGATAATTGCTAAGTATAATCCCAATCGAGTAAATTTGCAGGTAATTTTCTAATATGGGTAGATTATGACCCAGACGTCGGCACACATTTATTATTATTACACTTGCAGTATTAATCAGGGCGGCCCGCTGGATTCGAACCGTTAACTACAAGCGGCCAACGTGCTGGGCCGTCTCGCCAGGTATGTTGAGTATTTGGCTGCTATAAATGTCCACGTGACAAGCCACTTCGTTGAGCGATCATTTGTGCCCAGGTCGATTCTGAAAAAGAGCTACGTAGCTCAGTGGGCCTTACCTGGTAAAATAAAAAAAAGTTTAAGAGTTATGTGACTAACATACTTGCTGTCCTGGCTTTTCGTAGACTTGCCAATCTGTGATCACGTCACGCGATTCCTTCTGCATGATTACCAACAGTGCCTCAAAAAGTGCTGGGTTAATTATACATGCACTGCCCTGTCGAGCAAGGAAGGTGTCAGGACAGATTTCAACTTCCATAGAAATGAATTAAAAAGCACTTTTGGAGTTGGTGCCATTCTTTATAGTGCAAGGCTATAAAAAAGGCGCCACGTGGCATAGACAATCATAGTCTGCAGTAGTTTTACACAAGACGGCCACGTTGCTGTGCGCTTGCCTTTACTCAACTGTAATTTGAAAGTAATTTTCAAAATTGATCGAAATAAAAAAAATTGGCCGCCACACACGGCCTACAACCCCTTCTCCAGAGCAATACAAAAGTATACAGAAGACACAATTTCAGGAAAGGCTCTTCTTCAAAGCAGAAGGACAGTTTTTCAAAACATCTCCTTATATAGATTATTTTGTTTACTTTGATCGCCAGTCATCCACTGTGGAACAGACGGCGAACATGTTTTGGTCAATGCACGCACAGTGTTGAACGGGGCGACCGCGTGGGCTTGAGCCGCAATCCTCTGCAGTTTACTCGGCCAGGTCAATGCCCCGCTGACTCCAGGCGGATAACCGCCAGCGTCTCTCCACTGCAGCCCAGCGTACAGGAAGGCTATACCGTGCACACGGGTGGACGATTATTGTACCACTGTAATTTTATTTCATTAGTTAAAAGCAGAATGATGGAGAAGCATCATTTTCCACATCGGTAGCAGTATGGCGGACGATGATTTGAAAAATATAGTAATTCAGACATCCACCCATAGGTGTTACGAGTAAGTAATCACAACGGGCCAATGGCCCCGTGAAATATTATTGCCTGCTCTCCAGGTCAGGTCACGCTTTTTGAAATACAAAAAAAAAACCGTGCAACGTGGAAAGGTTGCTTTTTTTGCTTACTTTTAGTGCGTTGCTCATCCTCATTCTACATTTGGTTTTGAGTTACAAGCAGAGTGACGAGCACACTTCAATAATGATTCGCAATTAATGTGTTGGGTCAGATCACCTGAGGATGCTGGCCATGACGGCCGGCGAAACGTGGTACCCAATTGTAAAATGTGCGTGGATTCCTCTCCAACAACAGCGGTGGTGCTTCTGAAGCGGTGATACATCGCTTTGCATGTTTATCACGTGACAGCGTCATTAATCGGCTGTGTTTGGATGGAGGAGGGTACAGGACACACATTCTCCTTACCGTGCTCTGGCCCCAAGAAATGTATTCCGAATCATAATATTAATCACGAAAGCCTGCACGTATTACACTTCAATAAATCAGTGGTAGTTTATTGTCGATGAGACTTGGCTCACCTGATTTCTTGAACTCATTGGGGACGATGCAGCGGACAAAGTGAGGAGAGGTGCTGTGAAGGGTCGCCATGAGCTTGTTCAGCTGCTCCTGGATTGCGCAAGGCAGCAGTGGAAAACACAATTTGTCTCTACAGAGAACACACCCGGTGTGATATATAATTAAAGCAGATTCTTACTGGTTGTATCGTAACACATGTAACCGCGATTGTGTTGCTAAGATCTGTACTGTATAACATCTGTACCCGTTGCAGGAAGCCTGTGAAATAGGGCTGAACAGTTCATTGGGCCCTTCCTGCTGAAATAAATCAAATCGATCTGCTATCTGTCTTCGAGATTGAATATGAAAGATGAAAATGACAGTGGTGAAAAAGCATGCAAGTTGTGCCGATTATCTATTTGGATTGTCAAAAAAATAAGTCAACACTTTTAAGAAGGAAACAAATATACGAAAATAGGCAACATTTTGGGCAATGTCCTCTCCCCATGGCAACACAACTTATATAAAAGGCAAAACATTTAGGAAAGGCTCTTTTGCGCTTGTGCAGCACACACTTAAACAAAAACTGGATTATATAAAGGAAGGTGAACTCACTCTATAAAAAACTGATACGGTCTGGAAGGCTGAGCCTTTCTTCTGCTTCTGCTTGGCGCCGGCTGGGGGAAGTAAAAATAGATCACAACAAGATAAAGCAACGATGTGTCGCTTTCACAGCGATGAATCCGCTCTTGTGCCAGTTGCGCCTGTGCATTGTGGTTTTGACAAAACAAAAGCGTAACAACAAAACCCCAGTTGCATATTCCAAATCATTACTTAACCATCACAAGGTATTTCAAGAACAGAACAGTGACGTCCACAGTCATTATTTGAAAAGTCACTCGCTTACTGTTCAATGGCGCAACCATGTATGTGTATATTTGTGGTTTTGCAGTGCCACTGTTACTTTATTATATTATCATTGTTGATGCAATGTTAAAAATGCATCACGTTTGCTGATTTTTACCACAGTTAGTAACGGAAACAAGGGGTAGCTTTACGCCAAAAATTGCGTAAATAGGCACATTCACAATCATAAACAACAATCTCAATCACTTCATCATGCCACTGCTGGATGAAGGCCGCCGCATGCCGTGTCGGTCTTGGGGGTCATTTGGCCGTCCTTCATCACGCTGGTCAGTGTGGATGGGTGAAGGGCATCATGGGTGGGGAGGTCAAGGACTGGTTCAGATATCAATCACCACCGATGTTAGCTGTGTCTGGGAATTAAACTAAAACAACTAAAATACAAACTAAACTATTTTTTTTATTTTACCCGGTAAGGCTCACTGAGCTGTGTAACTCTTTTTCAGAAGCGACCTGGCCATCACAAACGATAGCCCAACGAAGTGGCTTATCACGTGGAAATGTATAGCAGCCAAATACTCTGAACGCGTGACGTTGATTCTAAATGTGGAGGGAAATCCCGGAGGGCCCAGAGAAAAATCCACCCCACCACGTAACTGTGGCACCAATATGTAATCAAATCATTACAATTGATTACGTATAAATTATAATTGATATGTGATGGGCGACGTTCTGGGTAATGGCCCCCCTTCATAGCACATTTGTGCCTGAAGAAGCGTCTGAAATGTCGCTTACTGTACGTATGCATACTTTAATGCAGCCTCTAACAGGCTGCTGGGGTAAGTGTGGTTAGTAGCGAGCAGAGACGCAGACAAAGCTCCCCCGTGTAGCCTCTAACAGACTGCTAGGGCAAGTGCGGTTAGTAGCGAGCAGAGACACAGACAAAGCGCCCCCGTGTAGCCTCTAACAGACTGCTAGGGAAAGTGCGGTTAGTAGCGAGCAGAGACGCAGACAAAGCTCCCCCGTGTAGCCTCTAACAGACTGCTAGGGCAAGTGCGGTTAGTAGCGAGCAGAGACACAGACAAAGCTCCCCCGTGTAGCCTCTAACAGACTGCTAGGGCAAGTGCGGTTAGTAGCGAGCAGAGACGCAGACAGAGCTCCCCCGTGTAGCCTCTAACAGACTGCTAGGGCAAGTGCGGTTAGTAGCGAGCAGAGACACAGACAAAACTCCCCCGTGTAGCCTCTAACAGACTGCTAGGGCAAGTGCGGTTAGTAGCGAGCAGAGACGCAGACAAAGCTCCTCCGTGTAGCCTCTAACAGACTGCTAGGGCAAGTGCGGTTAGTAGCGAGCAGAGACACAGACAAAGCCCCTCCGTGTAGCCTCTAACAGACTGCTAGGGCAAGTGCGGTTAGTTGCGAGCAGAGACGCAGACAAAGCTCCCCCGTGTAGCCTCTAACAGACTGATGGGCAAGTGCGGTTAGTAGCGAGCAGAGACACAGACAGAGCTCCTCCGTGTAGCCTCTAACAAACTGATGGGCAAGTGCGGTTAGTAGCGAGCAGAAACGCAGACAAAGCTCCCCCGTGTAGCCTCTAACAGACTGATGGGCAAGTGCGGTTAGTAGCGAGCAGAGACGCAGACAAAGCTCCCCCGTGTAGCCTCTAACAAACTGATGGGCAAGTGCGGTTAGTAGCGAGCAGAGACACAGACAGAACTCCCCCGTGTAGCCTCTAACAGACTGCTAGGGCAAGTGCGGTTAGTAGCGAGCAGAGACACAGACAAAGCTCCCCCGTGTAGCCTCTAACAGACTGCTAGGGCAAGTGCGGTTAGTAGCGAGCAGAGACGCAGACAAAGCTGACTCCTGGGGCAAGTGGCTCGCCGCCCTAAGAGTGCGGTGCGCTGACGAGACTGCGCCACACAGCGCCCCATCCTTTATTGGCGAGCGAGAGGTTCCTGCCATAACGACATTGGCGCGCACGCGGGCATACACACAGCTGTCAACCCATACGGTTTATTCTTGTACAGGGAAATTGAGTTTTCAGGTCCATACGGCGTGCAGCCGTTTCAATACGGGCAAAAAACACGTGTTTTGTCTATTTGTTTGTGTTTCTCCCTCGTGATGGGACTTTGTAGGATGAACGTTGAGATTTACAAGGTGGCACGGAGGTGACCAATAAGGTCTGAAATAAGGTAGGGCACTGACAAGGGTTTGCCAGCTCCGCGCATATTTGCGTTTGCCTCGCGGCACCTCGTTGCGGGCATCACCTGCTGCTTCCTCCTCCTTGAAGAGCACTGACAGCAGGGGCATGCTGGAGTTCTGGAAGAGGCTCACCACCGTCTCATTCAGCGGGTCCTTGTTCTTCTCAAGCCACCCCTGCGTGTTGTAGCCCACCTGGGAGACGACGCAGTTGTATGTGTATATATGTTAAATCGGTTCGTCCACAATTTTCAAGAGAAGTGCATTTTCCCTTCCCCTCCCCTCCCTAAAGATCCCCCGTATAGTCTTAACAGACTGTTGAGGCAAGTGCTGTTAGCGAGCACCTATGAAGGCCGGAACATTTACACGAGGGGGTGGGTGGCCAGCACCACGCCCGACCGCCTTTGTCTCCCTAGTGGAAATGTTTACACACCGCACCAGGTACACATTTGAGGCTGAGTCGACCTAGGGGAGGCCCAGGACCGGTTCAGATAATCGTCACCGGTGTTGGCCGTGAGCGGGAATCGAACCCGGGTCGCCGGGTTCGTAGCGCAGCGTAGCGCTGACCGCTACACCACCCCCCTCATGTTGAATCACCATCGGCTCTCCCTCGCACACACACGTGCGTGCGTGCGTGTCCAGAACGAGCGGGTGGTGTGGATTAGTAAGCAAGATCAGCAAGTCGGGCTGCAGCGTCGTGCTGTTTCCACCGTTGAGTTTCAAAATGTTTGGATCCTTGCAAATAGTCTCCAGCTGAGGTGATCCATGAGTTGGTGTCGATGGTGCAGCTCTTCAAGTTGGCCTTGACGACGGGACATCCTTGAAGCGCTTTCTCTGCCCTCCGCAACGGTCCGTTGAAAGGAGATAGAGACTTTTGGAAATCTCGTTGAGTAATCGGAGTTAAACACTAGAGGGCAGCACTGTCGTGCACGCTTTGGCACAGGGTCACGTTTGTCGCATTGACAGTCAAGACGGTATTTTATTCATTCTCATCGCCAGAATTTGGCCAAATGGAAGTGCAGCACACAAATGTCACGCTACATCCTCTTTTAGTTTTTTTTTTATTTTCATGCAGACATTTTGGTAGCTAGCCTGAGGCAACCGACTCATTATTACACTCGATAGCCCGGTTTAATCACGACCAGATTCAAGCGCAGACTCTCCGCACCGCCATCTCTGCGCTCTGAACCCCTGAGATAACCTGGCGACCTCCCAACAACGCGGGGTAATTGAATTAACCACTAACTTTACACAGCGGCACAATTGTAAAGCGCAACGGGCGACGGTGTGACAGAGTGACCCTGCGAAATCCTATAGAAAGTTAACAAGACCAGCCCCATGTGAAATTTAACAGCACGCTATAAAGCGTAGCCCCTACGCAATTACATTTGATGTTAGAAAACTTAAGAGCCGTTGCCAGCGAAGCCGAGTGACTCGAGAGTGAAGGTCATTAGCTAATCGATCGGACGGACAGACGGACGGACGGACGCATCGCGAACATGACATCACCTCTCTTCATTCACCCACAACCACTAAACCCCGTCCATTAAATCTCTTTTGTCAAAATTCCCACGTCGGGCTTCGCGGACAAAGCCAATATGACAACGGCTGCCCGATGGCGTCTGTAACCTGAGCCATCACGCGCTCAGCTTATGCACGACTCGTGTGCACGCTTTGTTGGGGTGGCTTTTACCGTGCCGGCGTAGTGGACGAGTTCGAAGGTGGCCTCTTGCCCAGCCTTCTTGCCCGCCTTGGGCTTCTGGAATGGCGCAGACTTGCCCAGGTGGTTGTCGTACATGGCCGCCTTGAAGGTGGCGTCCGTGGCCTTGGGGAAGACGCACTGCTCCTCCAGGATGGAGAAGATGCCCATCGGCTGCACAGGGGAGAAGTACGTTAAAAATAGAAGTTGCTGAAAGAAAAAAAAGCACACCGCACGTTAAAGGTGGGCTGGGGTGGCAGTGTAGCGGTTAGCGGTTAGCGCTTCACTGCCGCTGGGTTCGTTAGCGCCGTGAAGGGGTTAGCGCTACACTGCGCGAATTAACCCAGTGACCTAAGTTTGAGTCCTGCTCACGGCCAACACCGGTGACAATTATCTGAACCGGTCCTGAGCCTCCCCTAGGTCGACTTTTAGCGTTAATTGAGTGCTTACCTCCGATTTGCATGGTTGGCTACGTATGGTGCGAAAGAAGTTCAACATAAATGCAACCAACGGCATTGGGGTGACAAAGGCGGCCAAGTGTGATGCTCACCACCCACCTCTTCGTGTACCATGCCGGCCTTCATAGGTGCTCGTTAACAGCACTTTCTACAACCGTCTGTTACAGGCTATGCGGGGGATCTTTGTCTTTGGAGGCAATCTCAATTGGCCATGATGAATGTGGGCAGCCTCATTGTTGTGAATTTTATGTCCATTGGTAATTGCTTTGGTTTAATTGGGATTCAGGAAGAGAGCTTCGCATCAAGATGTATTTATGAGCGCTGCCTCTGCCGCTCAGCATGGAAATTCATACTGCTCAGGCCTCGTTCATCACTGGGCCTGTTCGTAACTCTGCGAAACAGCCCAACATTTGTTTTCCAATCAACAGCAATAACAAACACAATAAACGCACACCGCACAACATGCATCTGTTTGGGTGCATTGGCCATGGCGTGTATCGGTATGCTGAGATGTCAGGGAAATATTCCCATACAGCCATTTGTAAAGAATCGAATCTCAAGATTGGACACACGTTGCACAGTTATGAGAACACTAATCCTGAAGTGTTCCGCAACAGAAGCGGCACGCTTACGGCAATATACACACGTAAAGTGTACGGCAAATTGAAATCTGGACATCAAACCTTCTCCAGGAGGTCAATGCAGGCAGCGAGATCGAGGCCGAAGTCTATGAAGACCCAGTTGATGCCCTCCTTCTTGTACTCCTCTTGCTCCAGCACGAACATGTGGTGGTTGAAGAACTGCTGCAACTTCTCGTTGGTGAAGTTGATGCACAGCTGCTCGAAGCTGTTGAACTTCACGCAGCACGTTGGCGACACAACCATAATCATCGTCATCGTCGTCGTCATCACAAACGAAGTCATCGATATCAATATAGGCATCGTCACTCACTCACATTTAGAACCCATTAGGATTTTCCAGTTTTAACCATTGAGCAATAGAAAATTAAGTACTGTGCTCCCACTTTCTTCAGGTGGCATTGTTCTGAGTTACGTGTGTGCGTGATTGACTCGTGCAGAGTGTGTGCACTCGCGATTCTAAAGCGACAATCTTCACTGTGTACACTTTAATTTCAATTTATCCACGAAAATATTTCACCTGGAAAAATCCCTCGAAATTGAGCATCTCATATGCAAGGGTGTCCAGGATGACATTGACACGTACGTAGAAATGCTATACATCTCTGCTTGTCTGTTGCATGGGGTTCTGAAATCCATTATGCTGCATGCTAAGTACGTTGCTAGTGCTCTGGATTTTGCACGTTATTTTGGGTTTCAGTATTATATAAACCCAATGAAAATGCTTCAAGCCCAGCAGCATTCCACAAACACTAAACCTCGGGCCTAGCTTCATTATCTGCTTCACAGTGATGGTGACCTAGATTAAACTGCATAGCAGTGATTCGTTTGCTATTCAATTGCAAAAAAAAAATACATTGTGTATGTATAGTCGACTGTTATTCCTTGTCAATCACATGTCTTCGATGAAAACTGCATTAAATTTTAAATGCACGCATTGATATCAATTACGTGCAGTATGCCGGATAGTGCCAATACCCAGCAAGTATATCACCCCAGTGTGTCTAGCTGGCAGAGGTATTACTCTGAAGTTGAAGACGAACGTAATAATCCTCAGCGGATTATATCTAAACAACAGGTTGAGAGAAGGGCTTTCAATCAACATAACTCACCAGGTTAATGATTCACGTTGTACGGAAAATTGTGTTCTTCTACACTGCAGAACTTTGCCAATAGGTGGGGGTATTGAAGGACACACCACATTCAACATCTAATATATATTCAGAGCCTGGCCACACTTTATGGGGCTGGCTGCGTTTCGAGCCGAGCCATAAAGGATGCGTCCTTTACTCTTATTCGTTTTTTTTTTTACCCCGTCAACAAAATGATAGTTACTCTAACACACGCCGTACTCAGATTGTAAATGTTGTGGCTTGGCACTCCAACACACCGGTGTGCTGTACTAGTGACGAATTGGCCACGTTCTGTTAAACGTGACAACCCTTACTAGTTGGCTGTATCGGGTGGTGGCGGGTTTAACAACACATTTATATATTTACACGATCTAACCAAAAAAAATTGTTTAAAAAATGATAGTTACGTAGCATTCCAGACTAATGATTCATATTGCTCTAGGGCAATGGTTCTCAACATTTGTTTGTCTGCTGTAACTCCCCTTGTTGAATCTTGTTACAAACGAGTAACCCCCTCCCCCCTCTTGCCTGACCCCGAACATTGTTCTGAGAAATAAATGTTATGAACAATGAACGTAAATATGTTAACCAATTGTCCATTTTGTGAGGTATCCCTAACTCGCGAGTGACTGCAAGCTAATAAAAACAAAATCAACTGGCGCTCGCTGGCTCCTCTTGTAAACCCGCATTGTTTACCATCAATGAGTTTAGAAAGGTCTTCTATATTGTTCTAGGTTACCATGTGGATCTACCATTTGTCGTCGTAGTTGTTTTACATCGCCAGACTCCTACGTGACTATTCACCGATGACTCTCGTTTATGACGTAATGTCACGCGTTTATAAATCACCCTCACGTGGACTCCTTGGGATATTCATTGCCAGGTACCCCGCAGGTTGAGAGGCACTGCTCTAGGCGCGCAACAGGGCAAATGCATCCCGATTCCAGGCGGTGTAGGAGACAAACGGACGCAGACATTCACCTCGAAGATCTCAAAGCCAGCGATGTCCAGCACGCCGATAAAGTATTGCCGAGGCTTGGTTGTGTCAAGGGTTTTGTTGACGCGAGCCACCAGCCACTTGAACATTCTGTCATAGATGGCTTTGGCCAAGGCACCGATCGAGGACATGCACTTTTGAGGCAAGTGCAAAAAAACAGGGGGGGGGGGGCAACGGAAATACGGAGTCAACGTCCAAAAGTAGCCGTCATTATTCCGGTCTGAGACAAAATCAAACGCGTGCACTCTCAGACCGCTCTTCTGCGTTTTCTCCTGAACCTAAACAGAGCCTAGATGTATGAATATATTTGCTTTGTCAAAGAACCCCACGATACATTTGTACGGGCATCAATTAGAGTTACCAGCTGTGTGTTTTAAAGTTAGTGCACATTCACTACACCTCACAGGGTTCACGTGAAATATGTATTACGACACAATTAGGGCTGTTCTGCTAGGGTATTTAATTTGATGATTTTGTAACATATGTCAGTGTGATTTTAGGAACAAAAAAAATGCAAAGCGAGTGAGGCAAGGCCCTGCTACTAATGCAGTATGTTCCATTCCCCGCCAGATTATGATGCTGGATAGCAGACGTATGTGATTAATCATAGCAGCAGCCTTGCACAACTGAACATTAGAAGAGCAGTGAGCTGTTATTATTATTTTTTTTCTTCTCGATAATAGCACGTAGACAAAACGGTTATCTGGCACGGTGTAACCTTCATATATATACCTGATCCATGTTTTGGTTCTTCTGCACGTATTCATTTCCAACCTTCACTTTGGGCCGCGTGATGCCCTTTTGCAGCTCGCTTGAGTCAATCCCTGCTAGGGAAGCTACTCGATCCGCCACTACAAACCATCGGCATCAAAGCAGAAATCAGAACGCCACAACAACAAAGCAAGAAACATGTTTTATGAATGCGAGTGAGCGTTTCCAAATTAAATGTCAATAATTGCTCGTGGTTTTCATCCTCGAATGAGGAATGAGGCTGGTGCCGATCTCTTGTTTCCAGCCCTGAGCCAGCCATAGACATGTACACATTCCTATGACAGGGCTACTTGTACCCACAGGTCAACCACGGTTGACTTTTAGCGAGATAACTCATTTACAAATTAGTTTCCCTTTAACAATACATTAATTCAATTAGTTCAAAGGTACTGCATGCATTATTATTTTTACTTATGCATACATATACGTTATAATTTAGTTGCTTAACATTCGTGTTTTCCTTCTACAATTTGTTTACACCGGAGGAGTCCAACAGATACAAAGCAGATATCCAGTAGGGGCGGCTCAGCAAGTTATAACAACAAGCAATGCAACAAACGATCGGAGTGCAAAATAGAAAAAAGGTTAGCAAGCTGCGAAAAACAAATACATCAAAATAAATGAAAGTATACAAGTACAAATAGCATAAGTGCTGTACTTAACAGAGCTTTATGTATTGAGTCAAGTTAATAGGATGCGATAATCAGACGTCCTGATGAGTTCTCTACTCTGCTGATTTTAAGAATTGCCAAAGATGCGAATGCAGGAATCTCCTGACCTGCAGTCTTGAGACTCACTTTGGTTTTCTATAATAATTGGTGTTATAATATTAGCATTATGAAAAAAACACATTTCTTAAATGTGAATAACAATCAATTTAATTGGTAATATGTTGTCATTCAGACATTTTAAGCTGTGTAGTTTTTCTCCCAATGCCTTTATCATTTTGCATTTTAAAAAACCTTGTAATCATAACAATGGCACGTGTAGCATGATGTGTAATTCAATATACATATGAAACATTATACTTTTCCATTTCAATTAAATATTTTAGTAGTTGACAAGAACCAAAAAAAAACATTACCTGCGAAGTGAATAAAATACAACCCAATACTCGCCGAAACAATTTTCACATTTCTACTTCTTAGGGGGGGGGGGGGGGGTGTGCTGCTTCATGATACAATAGTAACTTACAATCTTGAACGATTCATCCAAGAATGTGTGACAACGTTTAAGATTCGCATCGCAACAGTGACTAAGAACATCGCCTGGACTAACGGTTGTGAACAGACAATGGAATCTCAGCTTCTGCGGGGGGGGGGGGGGGGGGGGGGGAACAGTCATTGGAGGCCTTTGGGATGGATGGGCAAGGCACAGCTGACTGCTATTTAATCTGTTGTAGGAGAGATGCACCGTGGCTAGGATGCTGAATGGAAGCATTTCCTCAGTACGACCCCACTCGTGGTGACCACGCCCCATAGCGGTCAATGCTTCCTACAAGACCTCCATAAAAATAATGACCACGTTGTGCCTTCGCTCAGTATGCAGTTTTAGAGTTTATATTGACATTCAGTTGTGTATTGTTTGGGAGAATGCGATGTGGAGGTCACCGGCTGAATCACGCAGCAATTTAGGAAGCGACTTTGTACCATGTCTTTTTTTTTTAAAGAGGCAACTTTTATCATGGAAATAAACGAACAAAGTGCGATGCAAGATGCACTATCCCGTGGCTGCATACTACCTGCGATGTACATGAAATAGCTGGGAGATCATTAAAAGCCATTGCACGTGACGTTTGCTGCGAGACTTACAGACAAAACGTTCTCTGGCACGACGAAACGTCCAGTGCACAAAGCAAAGAGCCACATAGCAAACCTTCTGTGCCATCGACCTCCGCCTGCTCCTCTCGGGGCTTCTGGCGAAACTTCATGTTGCCGAAGTGCATGATGCCGCCTGTCAATTTGTACAGACTCATCTTTTCTTCCGGAGTGAAGCCCAACACATCAAAGGCTTCCTGCCCAACAACCACCAGGAAAGAAGACGTCTCAAAAAAAACAAAACAAACCATTTGCAAACGCACTTTTTTTGTATCGTCTTCAGATCAATGAACGTAATAGCCAATGGCGGAGCCAGGATTTTCAGGTAGTGGGGGGCTACCCCTCCAGCAATGAAAAATGATAGAGGAGTTTGTTAGTAAGTAAGGAGTTGTTAGTAAGTAAGGTGTTGTTAGTAAGTAAGGTGTTGTTAGTAAGTAAGGACTTGTCCCTTGCTTTTTATTGGACGCGTGTGCGGCGATGGCGCGGCCATCGATCGAGGGTCGAATTCGAACCGCGTTGTGTGATCGGCATCGCGCTCGCTGAAGGTGTTGATGCCTTCAGGGAAGTCGTGGACTGTAAACGCAACTGCGCACAATTCTGAGTCACTTATAACTGCTTTGCCGTTACTTATTGCCAATTATGGACTCAGACTATTGTCCTATCATCTCATAGAGTCCCTGGCACATAATAATATGCTACACAGTGGCAGTGGGGGTCGCAAAATGCCGATGTATTACTAATAAACTCCAATGAGCCGATCGAAATTAGGGATTTCGATCGGATCATTGGGGGGGCACGTGCCACCCCCCCTCCCCCACTGTTTCCGCCAGTGGACTAATAGCCACCAATTTTTGTAATGAACGTCGACGTATATATTTTATAAAACCGTACATTATTAGTAGTGGAAAAAGTAAGATGAGACGTGTTAAGTAACAAGTTATGATGACCTCAGAATTATAACAGTAGTGTTTTGTAAATATGTTTGGTTTAAACAGAGATAACACATACGTGGATTTGTCTTTTTGGACAACCATCATTGCATATCTGCTCTAATGATAATAATAACAACATAAAAAGAGTGTTGCACATTGCCACATGTCAAAAAACACGTGTGTATTTTCCTACTTTACTATTGTTTATTTAATCCATTGATGATAATAATGATGAAAAAGGAGATTGTTTCACATTGCCGCATGTAAAAAAAAAGTGTTGTATTTTCCTACTTTGCTATTCGCCGTATTTTAAACACCTGTCAAGAAGAGTGCCAAGTGCGGTGCTGTATTGTTTTGGTTCGCTGCCTCGGCAGTCTGTGGCAAGCGTCATAATGGCCACCTCCTAGAAGCCACTGCCGTCTGCCTTGTGACAAAACAAGCAAGCAAGACAATACCCCTCCTTCACATACACGTCCCTCCACGCTTCAGCCACGCGGCTTTCTCTGTGTGCGTAATTTCTGCAAAAATTGGTTCAAACACAACCAGACTATGGAGCGGTTTCAACGGTGTCTCATCAGCAAAGTCAGTCTTGTTTGAACCAATGCGGGTGAACGGCCAAATGTTAATAAGTAAGGGCCCTCTCCGTTATATATGGGTCTTCGTTTGATGGACCGATATGTGAAGGAAGCTTATTGTCCGTTTATTTATTTTGCTACTAATGTTCTCGACAGTCAACTAATGCTTATCTTCAGACTTGATTGAACGTTCAAAAAGAGCCTATCCGTAGTGCCCACATATCATTTTTATACCCATGCATACAGTGACTTTATTATGTTTATCTTACCAGGTAAGGCTCACTGAGCTACGCAGCTCTTTTTAAGAAGTGACCTCGCTATCACAAATGATAGCTCAACGAAGTGACGTGTCATCACGTGGACGCTTATAGCAGGCAAATACTCTAAAACAAGGTTTTTAGTTACGACCTGATAATTATAGCCTTGCACCATTCTATTTTTTGTTGTGGTAACATTATAAAATAATTAGAATAATTACAGCCCTTGGTCAATCCACTGCTGGACGAAGGCCTGCCCACACCTCATCAGTAACGTGTGGTTTATTTGCCCACACTTTTCCATGCTGGTGAGTGCGTGTTGGTGACATGAGTGAGGCCAGCCGGGCCTCGTTTCAGGTATCACTCGTGGCTAATGTAAGCCACGGCCATGAACTAAACAAATGAAGTGCATAGCCAATGTTAACGCAATGGTGTTTTGTTCAGCCATTGGTGACCAGGCTGAAACCATCACCTACCAGCATTTACTGTTTAGTTATTAACTTGTGAACCAGCTGGAACAAAATTTGTCTTGAACATTAAACCATCACCTCTATTATATCACAGAACTCAATCCACAATAATTCTAATGTTCACCACGTTTCTGATACCCATAATGCAGCACTTGGAATAGAGATTTGGCCGCTACTGCGTGTGCGACCAACATTTAGGGAGCAGATAATTCACCGGCCCCTAATGGCAGACTCAAGTGCCATTTGCAGTCAGATTAAAGCCCATTCACATGCCAGTGGTGTAAATAACTCGTGAGGCATAGGGAGAGCTGCCTCTGGGGATCCCCTTGGTGCAACTGCAGCAGGGCATTGAAATGGTTGAGATGGGATGATGTGAGCCGTTTTGAGTTGCTAAGCACCCTATAAACGAAAATCTGTACCCTAATACAGAAACCTCACATTTTCCCGTCGAGTATTTAACAGAGCCTACCGCCGGTTGCTTTCACGCGAACACGTTTTTGAAACCCACGGCGCTGCGGTGACACGCATCCGCCACTCATTTTTTTTTTGCCGCATCGACACGAAAAAAAGAACCACCACCCCGCGTCAACGTTTCGAACAGTGAGCGCAGGCTGGCAAAGAGAGCCGCGCCGTTGCTCTCGAAGGTGACGTACGTCGGTGAGCATCATTTCCTCGGCGTCGTCCATGTTTTCCACAGAGGTGACGCCCTGGGAGATGGAGGCATACTCCTTCGGGTTATTGACCAGACCGATTTCCTCTGAATGGATAAAAACGAGACAAAAGAGTATAGACGTGAGCGCAACTGTGGCGCCCGCCGCCATTGAATAGCGTCGAGAGAGGCCTGCAATGTTCTAACAAAGAAAAGTTGGACCACAAACAAAAAATGCCGGTGATTGTCTTCAGTTGTATGTGTAAGAGAGAAAAAAAAATCTGACGATAAAAGCATGCGTTGGTGTACCTCATGAAAACCATGGCACCATTAACACACAAACGACGTGATTTAAATTACATCGACCGCCTGTTAAGGTGAAAGAGTTTAGCCGTTTCAGAAACGTCTTGGAAGGCTCACCCAGGAGGTTGGGTACTTTCCCTGAGAGGAGTTGATAGAAGATGTGATAGCCTCGTTCTGCAGGCTGCTGTGAGATTACCCGCGACTTTTCCAGCAGATCTGGGGGAAAAATGCAGACCGTCTCGGAATGAGCAGTGTGATCAAAAATACAAAAAAATAATGACATGCAAAAATATTAGCGTATATGAATTTCGCAAACATGTCACTTACATAATGAACGAGAAAATATGTGTTAGAAGGCGGCTGCACTCACATGTTTCAATATCCGCTCCGGAAAGTTTCCCAGACACGGCGAAATGGATTCTTATGAATTTTCCCTATTCAGGCAAAAAAAAAAATTATGAATCTACATTGAAGCATGCGTGCATTAAAAAAAACACACACACAGATCACCTTTAGTGGAGACGAAGTGAATGAATTATGACTCTTTTTACATCGTATTTTCATGTCATGTGTACGTAGCAATCGTGCTCGAACCGAGAGATGCAAAAACTGTTATTTTCCCTACGAGTGAAACCGTATCGAAAGGCCGAACCCATAAAAACAAACTTACAAATCGGGATGAATTGTTGTTTCTCGTGGTTTTGGCGTTGCCAAAGGCCTCCAGCACAGGGTTGGCCTGGATGATTTGATCCTCCAGGGAGCCCTACGCATGAAAGGAAAAGCATTACGTACGTGAAGTTTTACCTGCTGCAGACAAAAAAAAATCAGAACAGTCCGCGAGGTTAACCCTTGCTCCATTGAGTGGCTTGAGATATACTGTAAGATTGCCGCTGTTGTAAAGCACATGGGAAGATTTCTGCTTTTTCATAAAAAAAAGACCAAAAATAAAAATAGGAAGCTGAATACTAATTGTAAAGTCTCATTATAACCATAACGCAGCAAACGCTGCCGTAAACATTTACCACAAACTCTGGAAGTAAAAGTGGACGAGTGGTTCACGATCCAATTTCGTCTTCTTCTTTCAACCGCTATGCCCTTGATGCACAAACCCCCGGATTCAAACGCTCGGTTCCACCAGACACAAATACGTACATAATTGATTATACTTTCAATTTCTTAGATGCTCGATCTCTGTCCTCTGCTACCCGTGTTTACAAGACGATCACCACGACCTGTGTCTTTTTGTGACCAACCCCATACTCATTTAATATACAGAGGGACTTATCAGCTCGGGGTTTGGAAGGGCGCATTGTTTCACGACACAATCTAGATGTGTAAAGTGTCTGAATTGAATTGTTTTTCATGTTGTGCAATCGGAGATGACTGATCGGGCTCTGGGTCGTGAGCGGTGATCATGTGAGAGGGGACACGGGGGGATTGCAAACCTGTGAAGCATGGCGGAGGGAATCGGCCAAAGTGGGGGTCTAAACGTGGTTATGAAAGCTAAATCAGAATGTTTATTTATCCTGCAGAAATCCGATGAGCTATGAAGCTCCTTTTTCGTAGATGTCCAGTAGGAGCGGGTCAAAAAGCTACAACAACAAACAATGCACAAAAACAAACACGATAGGAGTGCAAAGTATAGGAAAAGGTAAACAAACCATAAAACTATAGGAAATAAAAAACACATAGAGTATTTGAGCAATGTAATTGTTTGCAAATGTGCTGGAGCTCTCGAGGGGTCTCTACAGGTTATTTTGGCCTACTCCTCCACGCTGGCCAGACGTCTTGGAAGAGTACCCACGCTTTACCCCAGCACTAGTGGCACGCTGTTTATCTGTGACATGCTGCTGGGTGGACAGAGGTGGGTTGGGGGGATTTAAGAAACTTATTATCACAACAGGGTTGTCCAGCAGCGGGAGACATGTAACGTGGGACTGTTCTGGAAGGAGAACAAAACAATCCTTAATGAATTATTAAATATGAAACTAGATGCCTTGAGGTTGAAGCTGTATGTGGTAATAATAATTATGATGATGATAAGCACCATCAAAAAAAACAAAACTGAAAATAACTTCAATTACAAACGGACACAACAGTTCGACACCACCGTTCCCACAATGCACTATTTGAGCGCAGCAGCGGATAGAACTTATGTGCAAAGTCACGTAGGTAGAAATAAAATAAAACAAAAATGAAAACAACGAAATTTGTTTATTTTTACCTACGTGACTTTACCGAAAGAACCAAAGATTATGGATCCTTGCAGTCACGAAAACTTCAAATCTAGAATTAGAACTTATCTCTCCGCAGATAAGCTTCCTAGGGCTCCTCGCATGCAGCACGTGGACAGTGGCGTCTAACAGCACCGTCACCTTGCTCTGGTCGATCTGTTTGGTGCCTCCTCCGATGTTGGCAAAGTACTGGATGACCTTTTTCGTGTTCTCAGTCTTGCCGGCACCGGATTCCCCGCTGATGCCACGGGACGTGAGCAGGAAAATACCAAAAATTTCAGAGTCAAAAAATGCATGCGACCACCGCTGTCATCGTCATCACCAGGCTATCGTCAGGCGGTATAACACGTGGCAGCCCAAACGTTCTAAATCTGAAACAGTGACAGCGAGAGTGCATTCTACATGAAGCGGCAGTGTGAGGCGCACATTTATTTTTCCACGTATTTATTACGTATCCCACTGGGTGCGACGTTTATTGTATTTATGCATACGGTATACGTTATATATTTTAAATGCGTGTATACGTGCCATTATGTGTTTGCTATGCATGTGTCAATAGACACCCAAATAAAATATTTGAATAAATACATTTAAACAAAATATAGCCCATTGCGGCCCCTAAGTAGAAACATTCTCGTTGTGTGCCCCCCTTTCAAATGAAACAATCCGTGTGAGATGTCAGAAGAGATGTCGACAATCCCTACGAGAGGTACATGTGTAGTGAGATAAGATCAATCTAGACAAAGTAGAGGATGTAGTGTGAGGTAAAAGATGAATATACAAACAAGATAAAAAATTATTAAAATAAATTTATTTTAATGTTGGTTGGCTACGTACGGTGCGAACTAAGTTCAACATGTACATATAAGTTGTTGTGCAATAGTAGTTGAATTTGAGCTGATATTTAAAGGTTTTTCATGAATATGGCGCCTCTTGAGCTTCTTATTGCCTCAATAGCTTTTCCTTTAATAATATAATAATTATCATAACGTTTAACCCTTTCTCAATCCACTGCTGGATGAGGGCCTCCCAACTTCACCATGCTGGTCAATGCAGGTTGGTGGAGGATGGTTCAGATGTGGTTGGCCAGCGACGTTACCTTATGGCCATGAAGCAAACCCAGCATATAAATAAATCATGTATCAATCATTACTTACGTAATCAGCATAGACTGGTTTGCTTTATCTGCAGGTAAAAAAAAATGAAAGCATTACAAAAAAAAATTCACACAACAATAATATGGCGATACTCTATCGAGCGTGCATACCCATGCATGTTGATTCACAAGTTTTCATCAGTAGCCATGATCAATACACTGCTGGATGAAGTCCTTTCCGAGCCACCGCCACCTGTCAAGATTCCTGCGACGTAACTATCCATCCAGTACCTGCGCACAAAACCCATCTCATCACTCCATCTCTTCGGTGGGCGTACACCTCTCCCTTGGACGCAAGTCCCATTCCTCGGCCGCCAATCCGCTATTTTATTCTTGACCACCGGGCCCTCGTCCCTTCTGCCCAAGGCCCACCGCTCACGTTTCTCCATCGTTTGAACGACGCCGTTGGTCTGCGGACGACCTCCGGTGTGTCGGTGCTCCTCTCTTCCCGGCACCTCACCGCGGTTCCGAGTGCACGAGCGCGGCAAAATCGTAACGCCAATCGCGCGGCGCGCAGCGGGAGCGGGGAGGGGAGCTTTGTTCCGCGGAGCCGCTTACTTATCAGCATGTCGCTGTAAGCGTTGTCCGAGATGGAGAAGAGGTGAGGTGGCACCTCGTTGCGCTTCTTCCCACGGTACATCTTGGCCACTCTGCTCCCGTATATGGGCAGCCACTTGTACGGGTTGATGGTGACGCAGAACAGCCCAGAGTAGGTCTGCACACGGCAGAATGTTTGCGATCAGAATCTTTGCGTCGACTTGGGAGGAATCCGATGAGCTGCGCGGCTCTTTTGCACCGTTATCATGCGCTTGCGATTACCGCTAAAGTGGCATCTTCATCAACGTCGAAGACCGTTGGCGACTGTAGCGGGGTATAATGCACCACAGGCCATTCTCTCACTCTGCAATTTGCATACCCATATTGCTCCCACAGCTGTTAAGATTGTTCGTAGCACAGCGCGCTAAACCACGGCACTTTACAACACCACGCGTGTACACCGGCACGTTTCAGAACGGCTCCTATTCCTTTGCTGCAATGTTTGCGCTCAGGAGAAATGGCAGTGAACATGGGATGCAGGATAAATAGACTTCATCCCCATCACTTCTTCATTTACCATGTCAACCCCTGGATATATAAATACAGCGTGCTTCAAAAAAATGTTAACACTTTGGAGAATTTGCTACAATAACACAAGAAATGTGCCTCCGGGCTTTGGAGACCACCTAGAGAAGATTCCAGGCACGTGTTGACAATGATGGCGAACAAGTGGAGACTCTTTGACTTTTTGAATCTATTAACACACATTTGTTATCATGTTAAAAACGAGAGTCCTATGTAAGTGTTAACATTTTTTTGAAACGTCGCGTGTGTGTGTGTGTGTATATATACACACTATCCGGTGGATACTCATAACAATGCAATCGCCTTCTCACGTTCCCCTTCAGCTCACACACAATTGAGAATCCCATGCGCAGTTATGAGCACGGCTGCAACGTCGCGAAATCAGCCGCCACAACGTCGGCCTGATGAACCGACGACGACTTTACGGCTTGTCGCGGCTGTGTTGTTCGAGTCTGCGGTGTAGTGTTTGGGGTTGCACCACGTGACGTTCGGCACGGCGAAGCTGCCAGCACGTGGCCCGAATCGCCGGGGACGTCGCGCCGAACATACACGCGGTGCGATCCCAAAGACACCTCCGAGAGCTGGTGGCTTAACCAATTAAGGGCCGCAAGCGGAGGTAATTGAAATGTTGCGCTCTGCAGAATGGTATCGCTGCATTGGCAATTTGAACAGAACGGGCGACTGAGACTCGGTGAGACATTTCAAGAATGTGGCATCGAGGTAGAGAGAGAGAGAGTGCATTCAACAAGTAAAATGAGAACCCCCAGCGGCTGTCAGCAGTCACACTTAGTTGGTGGATTAGCTGCAAAAGACAGCGTTTAGCCGTGTCACTTGTGACGTCCGGCAAACCTTTTTGACAGTGCCGTGCTCATGGCATGCACACCGCTGTGATTGTTCAATGTTTCGTGTACGAAGCCTGCCGTGTTAGTCGTTTTTATTTGTTTGATGACCAATGCAGACTGAAACTTAGTTGTTTTATAGGATAGGGGAAAATGTTGCCGGACACCCAGTCTCTTTACAAAAAAATGTTCGGTTAATTTGAAGAATTGCTGTTAACATCGATAAAGGTGTTTTGTTGTATAGTGCACTTCACATCAATAAAGGCATCTCCGAGCACTTGATGTAAAAATGTATTCTTGACAGTCAAGTAGTCAGCATCAGTTTTGTACAATTCGTCGTGTTTTAGAAACATAAAGGCATTTCAAATGTTCACATCGTACCATTTACCATATGCTTAAAAAAGAGAAGTCACTAAATCATAACAATGCCCTGCATCAATTGAACAAATACACAATTCAATGATGGTGGGTGACATATACAAGATGTTAGTAACAACGGTGATTTTACATTTTCTGTGTTAATACTTCACAATTATAATTGGCCTGATGGACCCTGAATTTTTCATCACTAAGTATGCTACAAACATTCTCTGTCATTGTTCACATGATGATGTATTCATCTACATGTTCTTTTGACTATCTTTAAATAGCAAACATTTTGTTGTTGTTATTATTATACATATCATTGTGATATTCCAAACATACTTGATTTACAATGTGCCAGATTGAACTCAGGTTGCCAACGACTCATCGCTCAAATCTACTAACTGTTGTGATAACAAAAGAACAAGCGGCAAAGCAATCTATGCAGTGCTGTGTATATCCGTGATTGAATGGAACGTCTATCCGACTCGTAGAGTTTCTGACAGATACGTATAAACAAACCCAATCCCCCCCCACCATACGAAGCAAAGCGCGCAGACAATTCACAAAAAATATTGTACGCACGTAGATGCGCATTTTGACGTATCTCTCCTTGAGGTTGTTGAGAACGCTGGCTTCGTTGAGGAAGGTGAGGTTGGCCATGTCTTCTATCTGCTCAAACTTGGGAGGGTTCATCTCCTGCACGATGTCCTTCTTCACCTTGGCGATCTGCGCACAAGAAGAAGCGAATTTCTGCGATCAGCCACAAACGTAAGCTACCTGGTGACTATGAATGAGGTCCTGTGATCACAAGCTTTATTGATAGCAAGCTTGACAGTAAAAGCAAACTTTATCGTAAAAATTTTAAGGTGCAGCCCTGCGATTGTTCGCCCACACTGCTGCTGACTGAATGGGATCTAGGGAGCCCCTCTCGAGGCTATTTTGGCCTTCTCTTTCACTCTGGCCAGACGTCTTTGGAAGAGGTAGGAATACCGTACACATTTCTGCTGCTGGGTGGATAGAGACCGGTGGATTATAACAAACGTTCGCCAAATGTTTACCGCCGTTGAGCCAAGGGATTGAAGCTCCACAACATCTGGAATCGCAAGCCCGGTGCGATAACCATCGCATCGTGGCAGCTTCCCACGTTTTTCATTTTCTTTGACGCCCCCAGAAATCCCTAACATTCTGTCGTCGAGCAGCCGACGTGTTTTGTTTTGTTGCTTTTACAACATGCGACTGAATCACAAACCTCATTATTGACGGTAAACTTGACGGACACGGTGTTGTCTCCGTGATCATCCTGGATCAGCGCCTGCAAGAAGCCCTCCTTCTCATCTTTGACCCAACAGTTTTTCTTGATGTCAAAGGGACGGGCTTGGAACTCCAGCTTCTCCGAATCCGTGGGCTTCAGGAATGGCATGGGGTCCTCATCGTCGCCACACTCTCCTTTGTACGGCATGGTGACGTCTGGATCAGAGAAGTTGACTCAGCCTTATACTGCAAATAGAGAATAATTTAAACAATGATGACAGGACGTACCTCGACGAGGACAGACACGGCTCAAGTCAAATGTCATTTCTGGCGATTAACTCTTGCTTAATTTCTTAAACGTGTCCGTTCTGGGCTCCTTGAGCCAATGGTTACTGATTACTTATTGGTGAATTTACATTGGTTATATTGGATTCATCTGGAATTAAAAAAAAAATGTCACGTTTTGTAGGCTGAAACCAGTTTTAAAGGAACCTCACAAAAAGAAAATGTATTGTCAGGTGCGGTTTTTAAAGTTACACAGCATGTGCTCATGTTGTTGTTACACTTCACCGAATTAACTTGTTTGAGTTGTAAACAAGAGATGGGGAATTTTTAAATCAACTGCTGCTAATTCTGTCAAAATAGGCAGAGCGTTGGGTTTCCAGGCACACCAAACAAAAAACCGACCTGGAAAAAGTCAGCCCCCGAATATCGCGTGGAGTCACACACGAGCTCACATATATAGCGGAGTGGCTCCGAACGTGGGCTGGGGAAATTGTCAAAAAATAAACCCATAAGATTCCACCGTGGGCTGTCGAGGACGTCCTCGGGATACCGTGTTGGAACTTTGTATTTTGGCTTCAACTGATCCCACTCTGGAGGTTTAGTGAACGCAGAGAGCTTTAAGCCCTTGTGTTCCTCCAAGGGCGCAGCGCATTACTTTCAATTACACTTTGCAAATAGAAGAACATGGCTATAAATATCCAACCACTGGCACACAAAATAATGAGATCTAGCAGATGAATCATTGCATTGTTCAAACCACAACTGATGGTATGTATATTAAAATAATCATTAGTGTATGCATATCTTTATTATGTGCACGATCATTGTGCATCGATCACAACCGTGTTTTTCTGCCTCATGTTACAGTACATTGAACAAAGCAAATTTTTCATGAGTTAATTTAAAATAAGAAAACAATTACCTGTATGTCCTTTGATGTCAGATTGCATGCTGTGCACAATGCACATGCAAGTTGACAATTCATAAGTTTGTGACAGTACGCGACATACAAAACAAAAATCAGAACGGGTAGCAGCGATTTATTACGACAAACAATAATAATAGTTAAAGAGGGAACATTCTTATTCTTGATTCTTTCGGTAAAGTCACGTAGAAGGGAAACAATAAAATAATAAAAATATAAAAAATACAATTCTCACAACGTTTCGGCCACAACACAAGCAGCCGTCCTCAGGTGAAGAAACAGAACTGTCGGAAAGACATTTGGAGCGCTGTCTTTCCGACAGTTCTGTTTCTTCACCTGAGGACGGCTTCTTGTGTTGTGGCCGAAACGTCGTGAGAATTTAATTTTATAGTTTAATGTGCATTATTTTATTATTTTATTATTTCCCTTCAACGTGACTTTACAGAAATAACCAATAATATGAATCCCTGCAGTCACGAAAGCTTTAAATCAAAATTTGAGGGAACATTCTGTTAAAATCAAGCATTGGTTGACGGTATTGAGTTAGATGAGATGTAAAAGCTGTGTCATTCGGTCAATACATGAAATTTATGATCGAGATGGGCAAAATGTTATATTGAAGTGTCAAACTAAATATTGACAAGAACAACTTCACCAAAAAAGTAATATGCTATGATCTTGTATTTCTTAGTTTTATGAAAATCAATGGGCAAGTTGTTTCATCTGCAGCGCATGTTTCTCAGTCTTAATCTCTCCATCTTCATAAACAATTTGCTCGTGGCTCTCTCATATAAAGAGTTGTATTTTTCGACTGAAACGCTTACCACCAAACTGGCAATCCAGTAACAACTAGTCACAGCATCGTAGTGCTTTAGTTTGCAACAATTCCCACAGAGCGCGCGGCATGAGAAACAGATTACAGCTTAACAACATTGTAAAAAAAACGACTAAACTGCAGCCATAAAATTACTTAATCGTTCCACGGTTGACAGAAGGCCCTCCGTAAGAGAGAGAGACCCTCTGTAGAAAGATAATATTCTGGCCTACTCTTTCACACTGGAAATATGTCCCGACAGAGGTGACAGCACCGCCACTCTACCACACCAAAAACAAAGATCCCCCGCATAGCATTAAAATATTGTTGGGGCAAGTGGTGTTAGCGAGCACCTATGAAGGCCGGCACGGCACACGAAGGGGGTGGGTGGCCAGCACCACGCCCGACCTCCTTTGTCTCCCCAGTGGCGATGTTTACACACCGCACCAGGTAGTCATTTAAGGCTGAGTCGACCTAGGAGGAGGAGGCTCAGGACCGGTTCAGATGTTGGCCCTGACCGGGAATCGAACTCACACAACCGCTCTACCCCACCAAGTCACACGCGACCCACTACTGATCGACTCACCGTGGTCGACCCACACTTGGTGGACTAGAGGCGTGGGTGATTTGGGAAGCGTGCATCAGGAGCTATAACAGTCAACCTCTGGACTGTGCAAGTCAGCACTTTGCTCAAGCATGAACACCACGGCAGAGTAGGTTGTACTCACGCAAGTTCAGCCTGATTATGATGCAAACATTGCTTCATAGTTACCTCAAGTTTAATGCAGCCTGCTTGTGTGCATTAATTATACAGGCAACGTTTAAAATATTCAAACTGTTAACCCTCTTCCTTCCCTTCTATCAATTCTACATTCCCCTTAGCTTCTTAATTTACGCTTCTGTCAACAGGAATGTTAATACGTTCATTACCAGCCTAATGACGCTGCTAATGTTCCACAGCCCTTTGATTTTTAACTTCCTATTTTAACTTGTAATATAAACAATTGAGCACAGCTGCCGTGTAACACTGGAAGTTATTGCGACACGGGGAGTTGGCTGCCCTTGATGGATCCATTAGGGAGACATTCGGAACAGGGCTGGCATCCCCTTGATACCGGAGGTATTTGCTTGGTAAAGAGAAGGCCAAACATGGGGCATTGTATACATTGCGTCCCTCTCCCCGACAGCACTTGGTCACAGAATGCTCCCGCTCTGGAAATATTCGTCATACGTTTTACATGTACTCACAATGCATGACCTTACAATGCATTCGTTGCTGACCGAAGAATACATCGTGCGGTCGCACTAGGTGACACACCAGAGCGCTCGCCACACGCGAAGCGCAACACCTGCGCTGATCTCGTTAAGGAGCATGAACCGTAATCACGCGGTCATCCTCGCAGCAGCAGCAGCAGCAGCGGCAGCGGCGGCTGCTTGTGGCTGGCCGTCGAGCAAAGACTGCGGTCACCGCATCGCGAGCGCTTTCAGAGGCGCTCCTGCGGTCGTCTGGAACGCTCTTGGTTCCATTCCGATATTGGGACGCCAATGGAGCTGTGCACATTTAAATTTCGATTGAAAACTCATTTCTTGAGAACTGCTTTTTGCGTTTAGTTTGCTCACTGGATATTAACATATGGAAATGCAATTACTCGGTCACACCACTGCTGGTAAAAGAGCATCCACTATGGCAGGGACAGAGGTTGGAATACCCTCACTTTTACCCCACAACACACGGCCTGCCGATCAACTAAAATTGTATATACACACACAGTATATCTTGTTATTCTCGTGCAGTCAATATACGATCGCTACCATTTTGAACGCGTTGACCTCAAAGGTCAAATGTAAAATTTAGCAGCTTTTTAAAATATGCTGGTGGGCATCCCTGGCCAAACTAATGCATTGAACAGTAACCTTAGTCTGGCCATGGCTTCACGGCAATGTCTAGCATTTGGCAAATTGCTTTTTATCCTGTTTAAGTAATCAACCTCAGAGTGTTCTTCTTAAGGGCTCCTCATCCAACACTGAACCTGTCACCATCGCTGTTCCCGAGAGAGCTCTTATTGAGCTACTGCCCTTTCGTCTCTACATCAATGACCTAAATTCTATTACACCACGTGCAAGAGCCTTGTATACCACGTGCTGATAACGCTTCTCTCTACAAACCCTATCTCCTCCATTGCCATCTCACATCTCTTCAAATGCCCATTTGATAACTCGGACGATACGTGACGATGCCCAAAAGCGACCATAAAAATGCAAGAACACTGACTCCCACCCCGTCCCCTCGTGCACGCGATTCTTAAGTAGGTGTTCACCCTCTCATTGATATACACACATTGATTCCCTTAGGCTGATTGGATTGTTTAATCACCTTATAAATTCTGTAATACTCTATTGTATTAACACCAAGGCCGTAATTGTAATATATATTGGGGGACACACATCCCCCCCCAATATTCAAATATACTCAAAATGTCCCCCCCCCAATATGTTGCTATAAAATAGATTTCTGTTTATATTATTGTGGTTATGGTTGTACTTTATTAATCTCTAATCTCTGCCATTACATACAATGAAACAAGAAAAGGTAAAAAATAAAAAACAGAGCAATGTAATACAATACACTATTAGACATTATTGTAGAAAATAAATAAAAAGTCCATCCTATGTGTTAGTGATTTTTTTTATATTTTAGGCAGGAAATTCGTTTTCAAGTTGAGATGTTTTTCTGGGGGGGGACCCCCAGACCCCCTGGATGATTTGGTCCCCCCCAATGTTGACTCCATGGCTACAGCCTCTATTAGCACTGCATTGTTCCTGGTGAAACCAATCTTTTAGTACGACTTCTTTGTCCGACATCATCATGAGTTGCACAATTTTTTAGAAACTCAAACCACTACAATGGAAAATAATGCAGATTTCAAAAAGCCTAACAACCGGAATAAACTCTTAATGTAGGCATATCTCTCTCTCACATCATTCCAACCTCATGCCAGATTTTTCTACAGACGCCGTTTGGCCAGGGGGTGGGGGGAGGGGGTTTGTTTTACCAAGTTTAACCATACTTCTCCACGCTGGTTACCTGTCCACCCCTTATCAGTGCCCTACCTCATTACAGACCAATTCAGATCTTATTGGTCACCCCGTGCCCCTTATAAATCTCAACGTTCATCCTACAAAGTCCCATCACAATGAGGGCCGGATTAAGATGTTGTAGGCCCCTGGGCTACAGGTACTGTGAGGCCCCCCCAGTAATATTTTCATGGGTTCCCCCTTGTCACTAGTGATAGCCAATGTTTTCATGGGGAAATTTGAATCAGACGCCATCCAGACATCCACTCTTCGTCCTTCCCTGTGGAAGAGATATGTGGATGACACTTTCGTAATTTGGCCACATGACCTCTCAGCTTTGAACCATTTCCTAAACCACATCAATTCCAGACACCCATCCATCAGATTCACCATGGAAGTGGAAAAAGATGGCAAGCTGCCGTTCTTGGATGTTCTGTTTGAGAGGAGGACTGATGGCTCTTTGGGACATTCTGTTTACAGGAAGTCCACCCACACAGATTCCTACTTGAAGCCTGATTCCCACCACCACCCGGCTCAAAATAATTCTCTCATCAAAACATTATACCACAGAGCTCATTGCATTTCTGGCCAACACCACCTGACCAGTGAATTGGAAC